GAGTTTTTTTTTTTTTTTTTTTTTTTTTTTTTTAATCAAGAATAATAAATAACACTTGGAATATATTGAAACAACAAATTGAACTCCGAGAAAATCTGAAAGAGAAAACAACCCAACAATAATGGGCTCCCCTCCCCCCCCTCCCCCCCATTCCCCCTTTTCTACCTCGCAGTCGTAGATTCGAATAATCATGATTCATTGTGCGATGGTGTTGATTCTCCAGGCCGTGCGCCGCCGCAAGGCAAGAAGACAGATTAGCAGAGATGTTTGTCTATACGTGTTACGAGTTCCGAAGATATTACGTGAAAATCGCAAATTAAAAACACAATGCTACATTATTATAAAAGAAAAGAAAAGAAAAGAAAAGAAAAAGAAAAAAAAAAACAGACGATGTATTTTGGGTTTCTTTTCATTCGTTCATTCATTCTTTTTTGTGTTGGTTCGCGTTTTGATCATCATTGGATCTATGGAGTGGGGAAGAGAAATAAGATTGGGAAAACGAGTTGTCAGCCATAATCAGGGAAAGTTAAGAACAAAGGGAAGGAGAAAGAGAAAAAAAAAAAAAAAAAAAAAAAGTTAAGGAAAGACAAAGACATGGATTTGATGGGGCTGTTGCCACTTATATAAACGTGTCAAAACAGAACCGTTTTGGCCCCATCACGCAACCAACCCCAGAGTGAGAGTGGGAAGAGAAGGAAGATGAATAAAATCAAATAAAAAGAAACAAACACGGCCTAGATAAGAGCACATTCATCGTGTAAGGGAAGACAAAGAATAGATGAAAAAATATTGGCAAACAACGCTATGCTGATCGTTAATAATTGACATAATAAAGTAATATCATCAAAAGATGAAAAGAGATATGTTTCTGAAGCGACAAATGACACAGGGAACGGAATGTTCATGCCACAACTTCCTTCATTCCCCCAGAATCTCGGTCTGTTCTGATCCGCTGCCATTACCGTCATAATCATCATTGGCAACTGGAATCGGGCCAGCTTGGGCGATATGCAGATGACTCAACGACTGCGTCGAGATCGGATTTTCGACTTGAGTATAATTGCCGATGTTATTGCTATCGCCAGGCGGTGCAGAGACAGAGACCTGACCCGCTGGCCCATACGCCGTTATATCGTCGCCATGATTGCCGAGGCCAATACCGACACCTACGCCGGTGTTGCCGTCTCCAGATCCTTGATGCTCATTTCCAATCCAGTTGAGGTTACGACTCAATCCCATAAAGAATTGTCCCGCAAAAGATGCGACCTCGTTGGCCAGATTGCGCTCCATGGCTATCTCGATCATTTCCAGGTCGCGTTTCTGCTTTTCCTCACGTTGTAGTCGCTCCTCCTCGATCCGGCGACAGGTTCCGTCGAGCTCTTTGGCGTGATAGCAGTTGGGACATAGATAGTTAAGGTGGCAATAAGAACATGTGCAGGGCGGGTTTTGCTGGATACAATCTTGACACACGTGGATTGAGCAGGAGGTACATTCCCGCAGAATACAGGGACAGCGTTGGCGCTGGTCGCCGAGTGCACGATATTGTGGGCAGAAGATCGATTGGCAACCCAACCACTTTTTGCGGACTTCGGGGGATGCTTCGAAATACATCGAGGCGGGTGAGGAGGAGCGACTGTGGGATACGGAGACGGGTGTCTGGATCGTAGAACTGTGATGGATGGCAGGCTGGTTATCAGAAAGAGCGTTGGAAGGACCAGGTTCAGTGGTTGAGGAAGGTTGGGATAATTGAGTGGACACCATGTTAATTATGGCTAGATTGAAACGCGGTGACGACGCAGAATATTCGGCAGTTGTTGGGCCCCTGGTTGCGCGACTTTGATCTGGATCCGCTGGTGGGTGTGCATTTTGACTCTCAGATTTATTACTAGAAGTAGGTGATTGGGCGCTTGCAAGATTCGTCTTCTCCATGACAAGATCCCGGTAGCCACATATCCGAAGACGTAGACCCCGTAGGTCGTGTTCCATACACAGAGGCTTGGTACACGCCTTACAGTGTACTTTCCATTGTGGTCTGTCAAAGCATTGCTGACAGAGATTTCTAGGGCAGATAGAAGCTTGGTAATCTGGCGGCCCAAGTAACCAGCGCATCATTTCCGCATGGCCATCTGGACGATCATGGTCTGGAGGGTTTCCATATGCATCCTTGGGGAAAGTCTTCAGCCAGTCGTTGGTGGAGAGTTCGGGGTCTTCCCAACCTTGGCCACGTGGGAGAGGTGTTGCTCGGAGCCGGTCGACTTCTCTGTTAGCCACTCCAAGACTGATTCCACCGCCTCCACTGAATGCAGGTTCAGTGCAGCACCAATGAAATTTCAAGTTAGGGTATGTAAGAACCGGAGCTGCCTGATTATTCACGTTCGCTGCGTTTTGATCCTGGTCTTCCTGCATAAAACATGGGGATACGGCCATTCCGGGTGCCCACCATGAGTGCTCAATGGGAGCTCCCTCGCATGGCTTTTTTCGAAGATAGGGACGATCGAATGCACAGCTAGCACACAGGGTCTTTCGACAGCCAACGCAGTGCATTAAAACGCTACACTGTTCGCATCTTTCGAGAATCTTCTCGTCGCACTCATCACAACCAATATTCTCTACAAATCGCCTATGGCTCTTTCGCAAATGGGTAGGAACAGTTTTCCCTTCTCCATGTTCAGGACCCCCAGCTGTACCCAGCGCTTGCCCGAAGCAACCTGTTTCGTCATGCTCCCATAGCCGTCCATCACGCTTCGGAGGCTTATCTTTTTCACTTATCGCTCCAATCCAATTCTTTGACCTCCACAATCTATCGAACACGACCCATACCTCCCTTGTGCCCTGCGGCGACCTTGACGATACATAGCCCCTTCTCCTAAAACAGCGTGCCGCAGGAGTGGTGCACCATGCAGTATCCGTCCAAATCCCTAGTTTATGGCATAGCTTAACGAAATCATGTGTTGGCTCCGAGTCTGAATCCCGACGGAGTAAAGAAGATGATAAATAAGGACGTCGCCTGTGATGGCGACATCGGTACGCATACAGACTTTTAAGTGCTAGACGTTTCACTGAGGAGGAATTTGGACCTCTCTGGTTGATTTCTGCATCGTATTGAAGCTTGAACATGGTGAGGTATGGAATGATATGGTATTTCAAAGACACGTTTTTACAACCCCTCACAGAGAGGTGTTCAAGAGTATCTCTCCGCATGTTCAACACCGTGGATGTGAGATTTTGCCCATTGACCGCTGTGTTATCCAGATCCAAGCTCTTCAAAGTCGGGCTGAATGGTAGGATTACCTGGAGAAGCAGCTGATCAAGCGCGTAGGGTTGTCGCTGTGCTGATGCCCCGTCCGTACCACCTGATGCTGGCCGCACCTGGGAGCCAGACTGAAAAAGCAGCCTGAAGGACAGGTATTGCCATGCTGTTGGATAGGACCTGAGAAGACCTCTAAGAAAACGCGACGTATGATAGATCTGGAAAATGGTATCTGTCGGGGCTTGGAGAAGAAAAGATTCGAATATGGGTGAGTGAGTGGAAAAAACACGTTCAAAGGTTGATAATGGTCGTTCCACGGCCGATTCAATTTCTGGAGCCCTTTCGGCGGCAGCGCAGTCGGCGAGTATTGAAGGTGGTGCAGAGTCCGGCTCTTGGAAATTGTCTAGTAAAATCTGGTTTGTAGGCGGGTCACTAATAGAAGCCATGATGACGGCGGGCAGCGAGGGAAGGCTGAAGGTGTGGTGTCCAGCAGGACAAGGACAGAACCATCATAAGTCGTAAAGGAATGAGAGTCAAAGTGAGGACATGGACCTTCTGAAGAGGTGGCCTGAAAAGAGCGATGAAAGAGACGTGTAGAATTTTGTCTGTTTGTGGTCATCAAACCAGTCTGTATACAGGGTACAATATATCCATGCCTGTTTGCGCAACACGAAGCAAACAAAACCACGGTTCGAGAGAAAGGCTTGGTTTCGTCCAGGAGGCCCTGTCAGTAAAATGCGATGGTTATAATAATGTTCCCAGTGCAGGTTGAAAGAACTTTGCCCGCTCGTTTCCCACCGTCGGTGTTGAGCATCATCAACTGTGTAGTGTCCTCCGATGACCGTGTTACAATCCTTGGAGAATCTTCAAAGGGCTGTCTTGGCGCTGGTCACGCCCTGCCACGTCAGATCCACGTGATAGACGAAGGCATGTATGTTTTTTAATTTTATTTAACTATTCATTATATATTTATTTTTATAATGATGTTCTTTCAACAAAATTCCCTTCCAGTAGAATACAGATTTCTAATGCCTGTCCTTATTTTCGCCCACAGTGTAGCCCCGGGCAATTCCGTTACGCCCTTCCACAACTGCTGTGCCCTGCTCTCCATCTTCTTCATATCTGATATTAAAATCACTTCCCAGCCCTTGCCATGTCCTATGTGAACGAAGAAACTCAGCGCCTGGAGAGAGGACTCCGTTTATAGTTGCCAGGTCAGCGTTTTGTCGCTTTGCAAGAGCCCTTGATCCTCCAGCTCGGCCGGATAGTCCTGATGTATCAGAAGAAGCTAGAGACGGTTGCAGCGGGCGGGTACTCGAAACCGAGATATAACGCCCGGTGCGCAAATCAAATTCCGGGGGAGCTGATTCTTCCTCAGATGATTCATCACCACTGGCGTCTCTAGGAGGCCGGTCATTAGGTGAAACAAGGCCAAGAGTAGACGAGCCCACAACACCATTCTGACCACTATTACAAGCATTCGCAATGTCCAGGACCGTCTGGTAATTGCTCTGCCATTCGCCCGTCCATACGCGATCCACATCGCCCTTTAATGCAAGTTCCAATTCAAAGGGTGTAATCACAGGTTTCCAGAAGTCACTGCTATCCACGAGTGCGCTCTCCCAGCATCCGATTACAACCCAGCCACCTATTTCACTGAAATTCGCTACCTTGGCCGCATTCAGTTTGCCAACGACAAACGTGTAGCTCTTCTTGCCAGCGGCAGCGATCTGGGCCTTGACATGCTCCACTACATGAAGGTAGTTTTTAACGCTTAACGTATTTATCAGGATTCCGAAGACGGGAACTGTGCTAAGGGAAGTTAGAATGGCGTATCTGCGCCGCAGCGAGATAGCTGTGGAAACGAGGAGTGGTTTTTTAGATCCTGAAACCGGCTGCTCTGATTCCTCGTCTGTCGGATAGATGTGAATAGCACCAACTCGAGATGAAAGTGTAAGAAGAAGTGCAGTGGGTGGGTTAGAGATGTGAAATAGTTGCCATTCCCGTAGTGTCTCGGGCATATCGCTTACTGAGTCCGGCACAGTCCGGTTCGGGATCGGAGATGATGGATTGTGCACGACAGATGTAGCAAACAGGTTTGTATATCCTTCCCGATCCGCCAGCGTCGATGTGATATTCTCAACATGGTTCGCAAATGTAACATCTGCTGCAATGATAACTTTCTCTTCTCGGTTTGGATACGTCTCTTTGAAGCCTTCGATCACCAAAGCAGTATCAAGCTGTCCGTGAGTGAACACGTAGATGACAGGCAATCTTGTTGTTGGCGATAGGCATGCTCGCCCATAATGTACCACCACATCGGCATTTATGTGCTCGGCTGCAACTTCATCCACGCAGCAGGTTCCGTAGGAGGTGTCAGCAAGAATGTAGAGACGATAGTGATGCGGGTCGGCAATATTCAACGACTTGGACACTGAGTTCGCCACATAATCTACATCGCCCTTTTGTAGTCCATTCGCAGTATACTCCGTAGCAAGCTCGCCTTTTACTCCGTTTCTTGCAACTCTTGTTCCAGATGAATGAATGCTTTCCGAGGATGCGAGGCCGCGACTTAAAAGTTGAAATACCCTCGGCGCATCCGGGAGCATATCATCTGGAAACTGTAGAGCTACCCGCTTCCATTGCCCCTGTCTTATTTCTTTCAGAGTGCGGTCGATATCGTATTTAATGTGAAGGTCATGGTCGGTACTAGTAATTTTCCCGGAAAGGTGGGGGGGCGCGGGGTTCGCTGGGGAATCAAAAATGTGAGTTTCTGGGGTAGAAAGGACCGGGGCTGCTTCTAGACCGGTCGCCATGGCTGCCGTGATTTAATGCCTAAGATGATAGGCACTGTAGGGTGGGAGGATGGATTGTGGCATTTCTATGTCGAGTTCATCAAATTCTGACATTCTCAATAACTGCTTGTTTCTTACTTTTTAAATTGGTAAGGATTAACGTAATTCCCAAGCGAGCGAGCAGCAAAACTAGCATATCTCAACTAACCAGAATTTAAATCAAATTATCTACTCCCACCAACCACTAATTAAATTAAATTAAATTACTTGAAGTTGAGGACATCTTATTCTTGTATGCCCAACAGTATTGCAATTGCTGCAGCGTTGTGGCGCTCGTATGCGGGGTCTAGGCTCCGGGGCCGCAGGTACGGAATGTTGAATAACAGGCTGTTCAACAGGCTCAGCTGCAGGAATAATAAGATTCTGAGCTTCATTCCTAGTTAGACCCCCTGCACTTGGGATCCTGCGTGTAGACCTCTTGCGTTTTTGTTTCTCTTTCTCATTTGCATTGAAAATATCCTCATACTGCTTCTTCATAACCATGGCGCTGACCATCCCGTATTCGCAGGCCTTGATTATTTGGTCAAAGCCTTCCACTAACCCATGAGGTTGATCCTGATCCATAAGATTTCTGACCTTATTCACCTGCTTCTGCAATTGCCGGGGGTTACTAGGTGTTTGTAGGATCCAGGATGACGTTGAATTGCTTGACCTGCTGGCTGGGGGAGTAGGGGTTCGGAGTTGAATATTCAGCTGCTGAACAACGCATTGAGGATCCAATGGAACTATTCCAGTGGCCCTGAACCCACTTTGAATGTTTGAAGCCTTGAAGGCTTCCCGACGTGCTGCAGGATAGGCATCTAGGAAATCTGCCTTCTTAATGGTGTTGAATCCTAGCCGCATTCGCTGTTCAACTAGGGTTCCGTACGCGCGCTTTAAAGGTGCAAAAACACCCACATCTAGTGGCTGCAAAAGGTGTGAAGAATGTGGTGGCATGCAGAGAGGAATAATCTTATTCTCACTGCAGATTTGGTCAAATTCCGGAGTAAGATGACTGCCGTGCCCGTCCAGAATAAGAAGAATATGGGTTCCAACCCTGCGTGGATTTGCAGCTGGAATAAACAGCCGTGTAAGCCATTTGATTCCTATCTCATCTGTGGTCCAGCCATTAGGACTAACATCCAATCTCCAGCCTTCCGGCAGCCCGTCAAACCAGCCTTCCTGAATATTGTGACCTTTGAGGATAATATACGGCGGAGGGGCCCATCCTGACGCGTTGACTGACTCAATTGCAGTCACCCACTCACGATTCCCAGGCTGTATAAGAGTTGCTCGTCCTTAGTGCTCAGCACTAGTAATGACCTTGGTAGTTGCACAGAGCCCCATTGCAAACCCAGCTTCATCAAAGTTGTAAATATCTTCAAACACAATCCCATGCTCAGTCATTAATTACCCTCTCTAGGGTCTTAAACCAACCCTCCACAATCCTGCGGTCTTCACACTTGGCCCGATCATGGTTATAGCGTCTTGAGAAGCGGCATTGGAGCTCTGGACGGCGTGCCACTAGATTTGACACCCAGTTCTTGCCAACGCGAGGAGGGTGGTTTGTATGGCTAGGCTTCCGTATGGCAAGAAGATGATTAGCCATATTCTCCACAAATGCAGGCCGGGGTGGTAGTCCTCGTAAAGCTAGGTCTAGGATCCATTGAACAAGCTTATCCTCTTCAGCAGGAGTTAATTTATGTGAATTTGCGCGTAAATTCACCCGTGAAGATCGACCACTGAGTCTATGACCAAGTGTAGAGCGTGGCACATTAAAGATGCGTGCAGCTTCAGAAATAGAGGATATTTCCTGCTTTTTAATAGCATTTATCGCGAGTTCAAGTCTTCCCTCTATCTCTATAGAGTTCCTAGCATCTTTAGAGCGAATTGGTGGCATAATTGCGCGTTGAAGTGGATGAGTAGGTAAAATTAGTAGGTGGAAGAATTTGGCTGCTCGCTCGCTTGGGCTGCTCGCTCGCTTGGGAATTACGTTAGCGTCATTTTCCTACTGACTAATGATATTTTTTCCAGAAGTAATTCGTCAGATAGAAGACAGCCGGATCTACCTCTCTTAGCATTAAAGTGTTCGCCTTGGATAAAGCAACTGATATTGTGAGGAGCGGAATTCTATGTAATCTCAAGAAAACTCCAAAGCGTTCGCCAGTAAAATGAGCATAAATTTCCACATATTTCAGGAGAGTATCCTGCCACCTATTTCGTCCGTGTATTGCCCCAAATTCGTCCACTGGTTCAAGTTCAAGCAGGGAAACAAAAAGCTGCAAGACCCGGGTATCAAATGCAGGAGCAGAAAAAATTGACAAGCTCAATCGAGTCCTTTGAACGCCATGACATGCTGCCCATCGCTTTTATCTTTGCTTTTGCCCTTCTTTCTCTTCTTGCGTTTCTTCTTATTCTGTTTCTGGCCATCAACGCTGCTATCATCATTACCATCATCATCGCTGCCCATCACGAACCGTTTGCGAGAATGTTGTTCATCCTCCTCGTTTTCGCCATGCCCTTCACGTTCCACAGCTTCATGCCAAACTTTAACAATCGATCCACCACCACTTATCATTCGTCCTCCAACATCAAATCCAAGGCCTGCAATTCCCTCCAGCTCATCGTGCACAACCTTCGAAATAACCTTATTGACTCCAAGCTGCACAAATTGGACAGCCCCATCCGATTGGCCGACAGCAACAACCTTGCCAGCTCCAATACTATCAGGAAGTAATGACAATATCTCCAATGACTCACCTCCATCAGGCTGACGATCCACAATAATTCTCTCGTCCTGGTCATCCCAAGCCCCTTTCTCCCAAAGAGTCAATACCCCACTTGCCCCCCCAACAACCAGTTTTTCTCCTCTACTTGTGCCACCTGCTTTCAAACCAGTAACGTAGACGGAGCTGATCAGCTCCTCATCTTGGTCCTCACTACGAACCAAAACTCCTCTGCGCAAGTCTGTTACCGCTATTGTAGTGCCGCCTGTGGTGACCCATTGCTTGCTAAACCCGGAAGTGCTTGTTTCCGATGGGGGAAGTGGAGTAAGTGAGGAAACGTAATCGTCGTGCGGGTGGTGAGTTTGTTGCGGTCTTTGTGAAACAGGAGAGGGAGGTACACGGAGGTCAAAAAGATGGAGCGCACCAGAGTCCGTAGAAAGAATAATGGTCTCTGGCGAAATCGCATGGATTACAGTGGGTGGATCAATGCGGTCGTGAGTCCTGCTAGGCGTGACTAGGTTAGCTCCAAGCTCTGAAGGAAACATGGGCAAAATAAAATTGGCTGAAATGCATGACAGAATCAATCTTGAGCACAGCCGTGAAGGCGCATTGGGAAAGAGAGTATAAGTCAGAAAGAAATTCTAAAAGAAAACTGGCGTAATAAGCGCGCGCATGCACGCACTTACCCTTCCCCTAGCCGTGGAACCGCAATCTTCAAATTTACTACACCAGTCTCTGCTTTCGCAGCTTTAACCCAACCATCAGCCCCTGCTGAATAAAGTGTCTGGCCATCAATCCCGAAACCTAAGCATCGGCAACTGGCTTTGTGTCGTCTCGTCCTCCAAGCTGTGTCGATGTGTCCAAGCCCATTTTTCGTTGCGCCTGGGCCGCTGTCACTTGAAGGAGGAATGCGAAATGTTTGAACATGACCTGACGAGAGACCAACTGCGACAAGTGGCTCAGTCGGATGGATTGCCTGCGCAAACAGGTCGCTAGAGAGAGGGAGACTGCACACGTTGTCGAACATGGCTCTTTAGCTCGTACGAAGCTCTGTAGCTACTAGTACTTGCTGGAAAGTTTGATGTTGCAGGCAAATTGGATGGTTAGGAGCAAAATAGGAGGGGGGCCGCAAACAGTTCTAACACCCAACTTATACACCCCTAGATGAGGCAGAGAATTGAGGTCATCTTGAACTAGAATTTGTCAGGGCTGGTGGTTATTGTTGATGAAGGTGAACGAGAACTGAAAACTGAAGCTCTGCTAATCCCGCGGCCCGGGTGTTAATCCGTCATTAAGTTAACTTCCACAGCTTCAGCACTAGGATTGAAAAGGCGCTTCACCAGACTCTCCAGCAACATAGTTATACTATATAAATGAACCCTGGTTATACACCCTCTACGGATGAGGTATATATGGCATGGCGCATCGCCATACTAAAATTGCAATCACGGAAACATCAAATATTCAGAGAAAGATGCTGCTTTTGCTAACCAAAGTGTTGATCTTCCTTCTTTAATTGGGCGGTTTTTAGGCCAGAATCGGCCCATACAACGTGTGGCTGGCTAGGGCCGGGCGCCAGACAGACACGTTCCTAACTAAAATGTTTCAATAGATCAAGGGAGAATGTTGAGGGATCATCCTAGCTGGCGCCACCCTGCTGAATTTATTACTACATCCCCATCCTGATTCGATTACATGGCATGTCCAAAAATGGGTGGTGCGCTGCAATTGGGCTGTCGTGACTGTAGCATGCTGCATTGTCAAACATGAGCTTGGGAATATTGTGTGGCGAATGGAGAGGAGAGCAGTCTCTCCCAGCCGTTTTGAAGGCTGCACTTTGGGAACTTGTAATTCTTCTTCACTTTCTTTAAATTCAAGTCTGTTCTCTTTCTTGCGGTGTTTGTTTCGCATAATATATACGGAGTACGTCCGTGACCTTTGCTTCGCTGATCTTCTAATCATCACATATTTTATCCACAAGCAACAATGACGACTCCCATCCCCGGGCCCCCAGGCGTCCCTCTCCTTGGTAATATATTCGACATCAACCCGAAAGACACATGGGGTTCATTAAAATCTCTCGCGGACAAATACGGTATGTCAAGGGACTAGTTCACTGCAGTGCGTGAGTGCTAATTCTCCAGCAGGAGAAATTTACAAGGTAAATGCCCTCGGCCACCAAATTGTTTTCATTGGTAGCGCCGCTCTTCTCGAAGAAATATGTGACGAAACACGATTCCGCAAATGCGTCACGGGCCCCGTCGTTGAGATCCGTCGAGCAGTGCATGACTCCCTATTCACCGCCTATCATCACGAAAAGAGCTGGGACGTAGCACACCGGATCATGGCTCCTCTAGTAAGCCCGTCCGCTGCGGAAGCTATGTTTACCCAAATGGTTGAATGCGCCGCGACTCTCGTTTCGAGATGGACCTCAGATCCAGGCCAACGAATCGATGTGACAAGTGACTTGCAACGTTCAGACCTTCAATCGGTACTAGCCTGCTATTTCAATCAGGCTGCCAATTATTTCGGAGGTCCAGAACCATCCATGATTGCGGCAATGCAAAATTCTACCCTCGAGGCTATGAAACGGCCTAACAGGCCCAAACTTCTCACACGTCTTTTGTATCAACGCAAATTCGATAAGGATATCAAAACCATGCGCTCCTTTGCAGCGGAAATCATCGCAAACCGCAAGTCTGAATCGGCTCCGAAAAGCGATATGCTCCATGCGCTCCTAAACAACCCAGACCCAGAAACGGGCGAGGTGTTAGGGGAAGAAAGAGTGATCGATGAAATCATCACAATTTTCATAGGTTCCGCTACAGCTCCCTGTCTGGTCTCTTTCGCTGTGTACTACCTGCTCCAAAACCCCGAGGAAATAGTCAAAGCCCGGGACGAGATCGATTCTATTCTCGGGGCAAACGGCGAAATTACCTCGTCCAATTTATCCAGCTTTGCATACTGCGAAGCAATCCTTCGGGAGGCATTTCGTTTATCTGCCGTAGCCCCAGCTTTCAATATCGAACCCATTCCGTCCGATGAACCAGACGAAGTCCAACTTGCTGGAGGCAAGTATCAGATCTCACGAAAACAACCTATGATCGCCGTTCTATCAGCTGTGAATCGTGATCCTGCTGTGTTTGACGAACCAGAAGCTTTCAAACCAGAGCGAATGCTCGGAGAAGCCTACGACAAGCTTCCATCCGGAGTGAAAAAGGGATTCGGCAACGGGAAGCGTCGATGCTTTGGGAAGGTTCCTGCGTGGCAGTGGTGTCTAATTACGTTGATTAGCATTCTGCGCAAGGTTGATTTGACGCTTGCGAACAAGGATTACAAATTGGCTTCAAATGGAGCGTTCTGTGTACGCCCTCTTGAGTTCTTTGCCTTGGCTGGGCCTAGGGAGCGCTAGTTACCTTGATGGAGTGGTGGGGTCTTCACAACCTAATGAATGGGCTTAGAGGGTTTGAAAGCTTACTTATAATGATCATGCTGCTTACATGTATCTATCGCTAATAACTATAATGTATACATGTAGAGGATTGTCGGTGATATTTATATTTTGATACTGCTCATATCTACTCACTGAGTAAAAACTGACTTCGTTGATTTCAAGTTCTATATAGTCATGGATAAAGCCTAACAAACTACAGCATCTCAGATATCAGCTACGGCATGTTGTTTACAATTTATGTGCCTAATGAAGTAAGACGATGTAAATCCCTTTTATTGTCAAAACCACACTGTCAGCACCATAAAAATTGCCATACTCGGCAATTCCATATACCCCCCCCCCCCCCCCCCCCCAGCACCGTATGAAAAAATACGGACATACCCCTTTGGCTGGGAAGCGGCAATTTTCTGGGGAGTGTCGGAAAAATTTTGATACCGTTTACATCTTTTGCTGGACATGGATGTGACAGTGTAGAATGAAATTCATATATTTATCTCTTTTGTTTTGGTATATGCTCTAGTGTAATGAAACCGAATGCTGAATAGGCCACACTAGCTGAGATCACTTTTCCTTTGTGCCTTTTGGTTGAATAAGGTCCTCATAAAAGTTAACTCGTATCAAAGCTGCATACCATGCTCTACTAGTTGGATAAAGGAGAATTCCTTAATCGCCATAGTCTTTAAGTTCGCAATTTTATTTCATGTCTTGAAGTCCAACATCGATGATGCTATAGCTACTATGTGGCTCCGTAGTTTTGAGTCCCTAGTTACCCTAGAAATGGGCTGAGGTAATAGGAGAAGCTTGCATAACTCCACGTTTTTCTCCGTGATTCGCTCATCTTATGCTCAATTCTTGCATTCTTTGAGCAGACGTTTAAAAGGAAACAAATATTAGGGTTTGTATTATCACCTGACTACCCCTGAGTCCCAAAGCAACATCAACGTGCCTTTGCCTAATTCCAACTACAGTCTGTAAACGACGGGGGCAAGAGTCATGACAGCTCTGTGCGACTATTTCTTCGCTTCTTCCTGCTATCGGGGATAAATTCGGACTTTGAATATCCGTTTCCTACATGCAAACGTTGTCCCCAGTGGCTTTTTTTTTTTTTTTTTTTTTTTTTTGGCACTCGTGCTCCCCATCGCTCTACTAATCATATGGGCACATGTCAATGCTGCAAGGGGGCCATGCTCAAGAGCATACAAATGTCTGAGACCCCGTTTCTCCTTCCGAGAGATTCAGACGCAAAGTACCTCGGGTGCTTCACGGTGAGGAAGTTGCGGTTTCCCCAGATCAGTACTACTTGGGCCATGGTACGGCCTAAGGATTGTCCATCAATCTCTCAGGACGTGATGACTTATGGGTAAGTAAGACGATGGAAGCGTATAACTCCACACAGAGCACTATGTGATTGAAATATATTCATCATACCCTGCTTCTCCAATCATGATATTTTCTCGCCGCGGACACCGGATCTCCAAAAACGGTGGTGATGTGTGTCATCTTACTGCTGAGGGCTGAGATCGGTTCCAACGTTTCACCCTAGGCCTAGTTATTTCAGAGGACATGGGCGCCAGTAACTTGACAGATCGGCTTGCAGACAGAGTGTAACTTATGATACAGGAACACGTAGAAGGGGAGTTACCGGCCGCAGCTGAACTCGAAACCAACTGCTGCAGGAAGCTCTCCGCAAACGCTCCGCAAAATGTCGCATACAAACCAGGCAAGCTGAATGCAATCGTACGCAGACATCTTGTTAAATATGAATTCTTCTATTGCCTATATTTTGTTCATATGCGATTTATTCTGATTACGAAACCAGTTTACCATTCAGAGGAATCAAATATAAAATTGCAATTTACGGCAGGGGTTCATGTTCTATTTCTAGCGAATGATATGCTAACGGTTTAATGGTTCGACAATCTGGCAGGCACTCTACTGTACGCGGGGAGGAAGCCCGTTGATCCTCCAGAGCAATGGGACAATCTATGGACCCGGCAGACAGCATACCTGTAATATTTCGCGAAATCCCTATTCATACGAACCTTGATTTATTTTCATCATTTCAAAATTCTACTTTTTTTTTAAAAAACAAATATAAGCCACCTGTTCTCTCCTGGATTAACGAGCGAATTCACAGGCTTCGGGACCACACCCCGTTCTATATTATAATTATATCAGTACACATATGATATGCCACCAAAACAGAATACCAGGGTGGAATCAGATAGTTTGGGAGGGAGGCCTGGTAACCATTTAGATAGAACGCGAGAGAAATGTCTTAATGAACGGGATAAGCATGGGATAGATGAAGAAAGCATAGTGTTAACTGAGCGTATAAAAGAAAATTCCAAATAAACATAAATAAACAATTCTCCATGGAAGAATTCAAGATGGGGAAGATTCGAATAAACTACCCAGTTGAATCTCTACAGAGAAGCTAATCACCCAACCAACCAATACAGTCTCAATTGCATTTTAATGAACATGTTCGATTCTAGTATGGTTTTGGCACTGAGCCCTTCCCTCACCAGGTTGACAATTATATTTTCGCAAGCTTGTCTTTGATAAATCTATATAGGTCTCCGCAATTAAGAAATACCATTCCCCAAAAATCTACCCAATGGAAACACTACCATAGGAACCTCTGCACCAACCCTGGTTCCTGGGGCCACTCAAATCCTCTATACAGAAACATATATCCAGTAACCGCATTGATCACAATGTACCACGCAGTCTCGACGAGCAACGGAAGGTAATATAGGAACCTAGCACAGCGCACGGCATAATATGACCCATCTACTGATTCATTTATTGGGATTGATGGGAGCCGGACGTGGAGACGCCACATCACCCACGGTATGAGGAAATAACGTGGTTCGACGAGTGGTGCGGTGATGAGGGAAAGAGAGCTGGTTATTAGCCAAATTAGGACGAAACTAAGGCGAACTTGGGGGTTTCTCGCCGGTCCCTTTGCTTCCCTGTTTAGGGTTGATTTTGTTGTCTTCGCTGGTGGGGTTTCGGTCCCGTGGTGTAGCATTTTTGTTTCTGCTTTTGCCCTATATGTTGCTGATGGTGGCAGGGAGGGAGTGCAGAAAGTTGCGAGGACAGCCCATCCACAAACGAAATATATTGGCGTAGCCAGATACTTTATCAGCAGATGTCGAAGTAGAATGCGGAAGATATAAAAGACGTAATGCCGGTTGTCGGCTAGGGTGAATGGGTGGACAAGAGTGTTTAGGTGGACGGTGAGCACCATTAGTGGGATAAAAATTGCCGCGGCTTTTACGTTGGGAAAGAGTTTTATGGTGCGGCGTTGTAGATTAGTTATCACGAAAGTAGTGAGGACGATCGGCCAGGAGAAGAATATAAAATAGGGCCATATGTAAAGTATTTGTGGGAGATGTAGGCCTGCTGTGTGGAATTCTTTGTGGCCTATTGGAGTAAAAATCAGTGTGAGATGGAAAGTTTTATGGATCGTATGTTAAACTTGTAGGCCTACCTAAAACTACACTTCCGTTCCATAGCACAAATAGTCCAAATGTGCCGAGGAAAACAAGGTAAGGAAGCAACGCCGGGATTATTTGGATAATATGTGCTACCGTTGAAACACCTAACGAGACTAAGGTCTTCAGATAATCTACGGGGAAATGAAATCTTAGTATCAGGAATCAGATTCATCTTCATTGGACTTGAAGATTACCTTCAAGTGAGGCCTCGTTGACTGGCGGATCATAGAGTTGGTGCAGCTCCCAACTACCCCGAACAATTCTTACAACATCAGTTGGCTGGCAGTCCGACGTCATACTATGCAATGTCGAAACGGCCTGCAGTCCACCCAAGAAAACGGCTACCCAAAATATGTTGGTTTGTCGGAACATGAGAGCGAGAAGGCCCCATATCAAGAAGCGTGCGTCTCTCCATGACAGGATATTAAACTTCTCGCTGGGGCTGAGTCGAGCATCGTGTCTGCGAGTTCGACCGAGATCACAAATATAGGCTTCTACCACAATTAGAAGTGCTGCGAGGTCCGTGTAGTAGAGTCCGGAAAAGAAGAAGAGGGGAGGGAAAAGACAGATATTTAACACCGTGAGATTCCTCTCCCAGCGATTTCGGCAATTCACCGCAGCTGAATCGCCTGTATTCTGAGAATCTAAAAATGTCTCATTCCGTATACGTTTAATGAGTGTCCGTAGCCTTAATTGAAGTATGTTGAACAAGACGATGCTATTTCCTAGGCGGAAAAATGAAGCACCAGGATGCGCTGGGCGCAATCGTACAACAAACAAGATGGCCCCGATTATGTATGAACATAGATATACCCCAGGAGGAGTAGTAATTTTAGGGTCCCATTGCCGCCAACGATGCTCCCAATATGCTTGCGCTTGTCTGACATGGAATACCTCGTCCAAGTACGGGTCTGGCAGCTCTGAATCGATTTTGCGCTGCCAGATTATGAGCAGGATGGCTGCGAATAATATTGTGGACAATGCTGGCAGGGCTCGCCGGGTTCGCCGTTTATAATGAGCCATACTAGCGACTGATGTCAGGTTTGGCCCCATGTTTCGCTTGTATAAATACTTGAACGCATCTGTTCCAACACTTCAGGCGGCTTTCCGATATCAGATCGCGCATGACATTGTTAACTAGCTGCAGCGATCATGGAATGAGATAGATAAGATAAGAATCGATTTAATGGAACAACTTATCAACATAATGCAACAGTGAACGGCTCCATCTTGTTTCCCTCTCTATTTTGCATAGCTGTTTGGAGGCAGGAGAAGGTGCAACGTCCATGGATGCATTAGGACAATATAATCACCTGACCGAGGAATGATGACTAATTCTGCCTCCGTAGTAAATTTAGACACGAGGATCGATGGCGGGGAACAAAGCACGCGCCTGCAAACAATCAGGGTCGAATATTTTCAAAGGGCCCCTCTATGGCGTTCCCTCTTCCCCGGGGCATTACGCCTCCGGAAATTGCTTTCCTCTGTGAGATGGAAATGGTCACTGTCATTCCGCGGCAGCGACTAGAAGGGCTTGAATTGTTTGGAGTGAGTGTTGACCCTATCTACATAAGAAAATCCATACGTAAAACCTACAATCCGCGCATATGAAATAGAAATCTGAAAAGACCAATTCTCCCCAGTCAGCCAATATTGGCTCTTGATAATTAAAATATTTCTCAAGGGCTTCTAACGGGTTCATAAGCTAACCTTTATCAACATATCAAAGGGCACAGTACCCCCCCTTCTGCCACCACGACGAACAAATCTCCCACTCTGGTTAGCTCTCCTCCTTAAACGACAACGCCGCGCAAATATTCTCCCTCCCCCATGGCTAAACCCCGAAGCACTCACTCTCATTCTCGAAGTAGAGACTGACCGCGACTCCCTTGGAGACGCGTTCTCTCCACCCCCACCGCTGATTTCGAACAACCTCAATGGCAGAGATAATGGCACGGGAAATCGAAATAATGGCCCACCAGCACCTAGATATACATTAGACGGGCAACTTTATTACCCGACGCCACCGTTTATACTGCAGAATACCGCGGAGGATAGCATGACAGCCCCTTCTCTACCATATCACTGGTTGGAGCTTTCGACAGTGCTGTTAGACGTCGCGAGCGATGACCTGGTTGACGCGGACCAAATCCGCCGGCTAATAAAAGATTTGAGAGAAGTACGGCTAGCGAAAATGAGGATTCAAGTCAAAGGGCTAGATGCCACTGCTGTCGGAGGTGGGGATGGGTTGCCGCTAACTGGCGTGGGAGCAATGGAAATTGGGGAGAGCAGAGGGTTTATGTCCGGTGTAGCGGAGACGTTTAGGTATGTGTCCATTCCATTCACTTGGGGAAAAGGCTTAGACCTATATATTTGTTTTCTAAACGCCCCCTGCGAGTTCTAATACTAAATTCTGCATGTGTGCGTTTATTCCTAGGCAAATCGGAGCGTCGAAAGAAGAAGCTTCAAAAGAACGGGATGCCGAGGAAGCTGCAAATACACAGTACGATGAAACGAATGATGATTACGATGACATGGAATTATAGACCGATGCGTCTCGGACCCAACAGCTCTCATCTTGTGGTTGATGTAACTATGCGAAGAGCCAAGAAGGGAATAGATAATTTTGAATCTTCTATGCAGGGCGAAGTAATCGTGGCTATACAAAGTAATTAAGGAAACAAGACACGCGCTGTAAATACGGCGGACGTTTTGCTGCACCAGAGGAAAACGGAACGAGTAAATATTATCCATGGGTAGTTGTGGCAGATGATTATGTCCCCTCCCCCCTTCCCCGACGTTAACCACCCATAACCCACCATAACTTTTTGTTTTTGGCAGACGATCTATCGAGAAATATCAGACCAGAAGAATTGCCTCCACAACCTGGGATGGCGGGTTCGATTCGACTAGGTCCGGTTCCAGTAGAGTTGGGATTGACAGATTCCTAAGTATTATTGCTCTGCTGCTCTATCTTTCTCCATTAATCTTCTCCTCGCAGCAAGAATCATCTCATCTCTCCTCTTCTGTAAATGGCGCTGCCTCTCAGCTCGGTTTTGTGACCATGCGCTTTCTTGGTGTATTATCGTCCCAGAACTGGTGCTTGTCACTGTCTGCGGTAATTCCGACTGGATTCTATCGGCAAGATTATATCGTGATATAAGGTCTTGTGCCTGTTGTTTAGATGCGGGTGGAGCAGGTGAGTTGGCTTGAGTCTCAGCGGTCAAGGGAGTCGGTAATCGGGGTTGGAAGGACGGCGGAGGCTAGGGATGATAAGAGATTTTCAACATATCAGCCACATTCTTCTTGCCATAGCTTTCCACTTTCAATCTCAATAGACACCATCCAGGTCCAATATATGGTTATTAAAGGAACTACGACTATAAATATCCCACGGAAGTAAAAGATGTCGTGATTATTACGCCGAGGAAGACAACAAGGTTTTCCTACTCACTGTATCTAATCCTCGGCCAGACAAAACCCTCTCGGTCGTGGCAGCCATGTTACCTCCATTCCGTTGTAAATCCCACATGAGGTCTCTCCGGTCTAGTTGAGGGAACATCTGCGAGAGCTGCTCAACATGGGCGGGATCGACCCGCCTTCCGCCACCGTGACGCAGTGCATCATCATTCGACGATATAGCGCCATTCCTCCCCAAGAACCATCGGATTACGAAGAAGGAAAAAACAGCTAGTGTGATGAGAGAGGGGATATTAAGAGATGGTTCTGCGTCGGCCATGTATGGGGGGAGATTTCGTCGTGGGGATGGGACAGGGCGTTCGGCAGTTGTTTAAAGTTCGCCTGGTATGTGGTTCTCGTCAAGAAACAGTACTGTTGGTTGTGTTATCGCTGTAAGAGTTAGAAATCGGGCTGTAGGTAAAAACAAATGGCAATACCGAGAGGGGTTCCGGGAGGCAGAGGACGATGATTGTGGTATTTGCTCTTATCTGAGAGGATTTCATCAAAGAGGGCGGCAATAATATCGTCTTATTGGTTTTATTAACGCGCGATTAAATCACGTGCTATCTAGACTACTGCGGGTGGCGGGCTTCCTATTACAGACTAGCGCCCAGCACTCGGGACACTCCTCCTTCCAAGAACCGTTAATGGGCTAACCACAACGTGAAACATTCGGAAAGAAAGTAAGCTATGCCTCCTCCAAGGCTTAGTATTAAATTCTCGAGCTTGCTCATGACTGTCCAGGGACAAGGCTGTAAATCAAAGTGAAGGTACGCAATATTGAAGAAACACAGCGAGCTAACGTGAGGAAAACCCAACAGATGCATACCAACTCACTCAGCCTCACACACCATGTGCTCATAATGATGAACGGTACTCAGTGCAGTGTCGATCAACCGATGGGCGTACACTTGAGCGGGCTTCAATACAGCTTGTATAGGGTTCAAATCTTCGGCCAGAAATGCCCTGATTGAACCTCTATCGCGACTCTAATCCCTAGTTAATGATGGTTGAAAATTTCTTTGCGAAAACTTGAACACCTGATATTTTGAACCCTGTTCAACACCACCGTACTAGGATGAAATATTTGTGTCTGAATTATGCTTGTATTTTAGTCACTCTGCAAAAGCTCGGAGGCGTATCAGCCTATGACATTATGCTTGGCTTGTCAGGGTCTGTTACAAGTCTATGCATGATGGAAGAACACTCAAAAAGTCAAAATCGGAAGAGTTTGACAAAACCCCTCCTTTGCTGAGATGACGGCGTTATTCGCAAGTATCCTGAAACGGAAGCTGAACATGAGCTGAACATGAGCTGAACATCAAGCCGTTTTCCAAAGGCAATGGAGTTTACGGAGTTTACGGCATATAAAGAGAGGATGCCGCAGTAATCGAGTCTTCAATGAATTTATTATTTTTCATCCTACCACCCTAACGGTAATATCATATCCAATAACCCAGCCTTCAAAAATGACAGAAAGCGTTTCCTCCGTCAAGAATGAAGTGTATATTTTTCCTCAGGGGGAGGGGGAAGCCAGAAGGTTGATTATTTTCCTATTCTTATTGAGTGTATAACATTTCCCAGCTAAACAAATACATCCCAGGTTGTCAAGCCAGCATCCCATAATTGTTCGATTTGCTGGGGGATTAATTCAACCCACCATCCCCAAAGAAAATATTAAACGAGTTGCCGATGTCGCAACCGGAACAGGGTAAATGACTGCCTCGGTTTGTCGATTAGAGGCCGCGATTTGGCCCAGCACTGAAAGGCTGACAATGAACCCGCCGTCACAGGGCCTGGTTGATTGATACCGCAAAGGAATTAAATAACCCAACGAATACATATCATGGGTTTGACATATCGGTGGCATCGTTCCCCTCAGAAATCCCAAGTGACATGGGAAAGATTAGCTTCCTGGAACACAATGCACTAGAACGCTTTCCAATTGAGTTTCACGGTCAATTCGACTTGATAAACATCCGTATGGTTGTACAGGCATTCAAATCTGCTGAAGTACCAAAGGTGATATCAAACTTGATGGAAATTCTCCGTATGCTCTGTTCACCCCAACTTGAGCTCTTCATGAGTCTCTTGTGTGTGCTAATTCTGTTCAGGGCCTGGTGGTTTCCTTCAATGGGGAGATCTGCTATGGAAGGACACCGAATCCGTTCCCCCCAATGATGACCTTGAAGCAGTCATGAAGCTCGGTCGTAAGCACATGAAGTTCCATGGTGTTACCGAAAAGTATGCATAAACTTTGAAGTCCCCCTCGGCCCTCCTTTACCCGATCGACAGAATAAGATCAACAAAATGCTTACTTGAGTGTAAAACACACAGCCTGCCTGCCCTTGTCGAATCGACCATGAAAGAGTTAGGGATGCAAGATGTAGTCTTGACAAGAAAATCGGCGGATGATGCGGTGCCGCCTCTAAGTGTAATAGAGGTGGATAGTGCATGCGTGCCAGCACTTCTATCGGCGCTGTCGAAATTTTTGGAGACGCACTTGATCTCAGAGAACCAGCCTATTGACAGTGCCGTGATCGAAGCAAAAAGAGCTGAGCTATCTACCCGTTTTAACGAGGCATATGCCAATGGTTATACTCTGATTTGGTTCTTCTGTGTGGTTGTGGGGAGGAAACCCCTAGAATAAGTGCTGGTGTACGCAAAGGTTAGGTCGCAGAGAGTCATGAGATCAGCGTAAATTACATGAAAATTCTTTTCGGCGCTCTATGTATTTTGTACAGAAAAAGAAGTAGAGTTGCCTCTATGCTGCTTCTATCCATATAACACACCACTCGGGTAAAAGAAGGAAGAATGAAAAACAGCCGGAGCCAACGTCCGTAATCTAACTAGAAAGACAAAATGCGATTTATATCATTCACAATCATCTCGCCGTTTCCCTGAATTGCTTAAAAATAAGAAAGTAACCAAACACTAATATTCCTCATCCACAAAATGGCTCTCGCCTCTGTTCCCAAAACGCCGGAATCGATGGATACACCGGTAATAAACAAATCCAAAAAAGAGCAGAAACCACAGGCAAAAGAAAATCATCACTTCAAACCATACCAGAATAAATACCGAGTATATGTCAAGGGAAAACATGGGGTTAAAAAGAAGAAAGAGGCATCACAACATGCCCAATGCCACAGTACATTATAGGCCGTCTCACTTCAAATCAGCCGGTGTCAGCGCTTGAACAACGCTGGTACCCTCACTAAACCTAGTCCTAAAAATACGATTTGCATTCTGGAACATGCCATCCTTCAAGCTGACCACGATAAACTGCGACCCCTTAAATCGTGTCTTGATCAACCGGCCGATATTCTGCGTGTGCGACAAGTCCAATGCAGCGTCGACTTCGTCGAGGATGTACATGGGTGCAGGCTTGAATTGGAGAAGAGCCATTATAAGCGAGAGAGCGATGAGAGATCTACGAGAACATGAATGATTCTTCTGGTTAGTTGGCTCGTCTCGTGTAGAAAAATTAAATGTGAAATCAAGTGAGAAAAACACATACCGTTGCCCACCGCTCAATTCTGTCAAACTCTGTTTCCACACTTTACCCAGACTAACCTTTACCTCCAGGCCATCACTAATCTCCTTACCCTCAGGGGGATCAAGTTTAGCGAAGCTGCCCGGAAGCAGCTCTGCAAATATCTGGCCAAAGTCACTGTTAACCTTGGACCAAGTCTTCTGCAATGCTTCCTTCTTATACTCGTCAAGACTGATGATAGTTTCCTCGATCTTCTTCTTGTCCCGAATGACAGTCTTCATCATATTTTTCAACGCCACTTCTTTCTTCTCAACGCTATCAATCATATTCATGACCTTGGGGTTGATCTTCTTTTTCATCCCTTGGAATCGCTCCGTCAGGTTACGTAGGGAGGCTTTGCATTCGGCAATATTTTTGCCCTTGAAATCGTACGGCGTGCCTGGTCGTCCAAAGCTATCTTTTTCATCCAAGATCCACTCGTGTTCCTTCTCCATGCTGGCTACCAGCTGTGCGGCATTTTGCTGATCCTTTTGGAACTTCTCGATTTGGTGGCCTAGCTTTTGCAATTCAAGGCCCTCTTCTGTAATTCGTGCCGCTTTGGATCGAGATGCCTCTTCCAAAGCTCGAAGCTCATCGTCAAATCGAGTTAGTTTGGCCTGTTCGTCCTCGAGCTGGGCTTGAGCAAGATCATGTGCTTTCTGTGCGTGGTGTTAGTGAGCAAGTTTCGCTTATAGCAATGTATTACAAACGTTAGGGATTTTAGAACTAACTTTGCATTTTGCTTGCTCCCGTTTCAAAGCCTCAACTTCCTCCTTTTGAGCATTCAAAGTTTGGTCGACTTCGGCACGCTGTTCTTCCGCAGCACTTAGGTCACTTCCAGCCTGCTCGGAATCAAGCCGTGAGGCCTGGAGCTCTTTCTGCAACGTCTTGACAGAAATCGAGTTCTTGCTGAGTCCTTTTTTGAGCGAATCCAGCGACGATTGCAATTCCGCCAGCTTGCTATCTTTGTTGCTGCTAAATTCTCTCATATCCTTTTCAATACGCTTAATGTCTCTGCTAGCTTCGGTGTGTCGTTTCTTGGCATCTTCAATGTCCTTCTTAAGCTGCTCGATATTTGTTTTCATCTCTTCAACGGCATGGATAATCTGCCATTTGTTAGCAACTTGACGTACGTTCTCCTTCAAGGTAACACTTACAGAAGAAGACGAATTCCCATTTATTTGCTCTTCGGCTAACTTAATCTCATGCACCTTAAGATCGAACTCTTGCTTTGTAGCTCTAGCAAGGTCCATCTTCTTCTTCTCCTTCGCCATGGTTTCCTGTAGATCTCGGAGAGCTCGCTCATTTTGTGCCAGCTGCCCCATAAGTTCATTCAGTTGTTGCAAGATTATGAGGACGCCGCTTGAGTTTGGCGAGCTTCCTCCCGACAAGGTTCCCGAAGGATCATACACGTCTCCTTCGAGAGTTACGCTCTTCATACGCACGGAAGGGTCGAATGTAACTCGCTTTGCGGTGTCAGCATCCTGGCAAACCAGCGTTGTTCCAAAGACATATTGCATCGCCGAAGCGACCTCATCGTCGTATCCTATCAAAGACAAAGCAAGATCTACTTTCCCCGGTGCCAGATTCTTCGCAGCTGCAATCTTCTCAGCCGAAGCCCTAAAAGATGAAATCTTGTTCAAGGGGATGATCGTGACACGTTTTCGAAGTTTACCATTTTGCAACAGGGCAGTACCAGTTTCCGCCGTATCGACAACAACATTATAAAGACGTCCACCGGCGCAGATTTCGAGCGCAGTTCCGGCCTGGGTCTTATCCTTATCCAGAGTGAAAAGCTGGGCGACCAACCCTTTAACTTTCGACCTATCAAAATTCGGATAAGGATCAGAATAGTTAAAATCGATATTTGCAACCTTTCGCTTCATGGAATCTGCCTGGCTTCGCAGCTCTCTGATACTCTTTTGCAATCTGGATTCTTCCTGGTACATCTCTTCTTCTCTACCCGGTTCAAATCCTTGTTTGGCGAGTTCTGACTCGAGCTTTTTGGCCTGTTTTCGAAGTTCTTCAAGGTCCCTTAGGAGATTGGAATTTTGCTCCTTGGCCTTCCTCGCTCTGGGTTCTTCCTCTTTGATCCTTTTTTCGAGATGGGATATCTTGAGTTTCGCCTGTTCTTGCTCGGTGGCCGTGGAACTAAGTCGGTTTCGCGCGTCTTGAAGCTGGCCCTGATAGCCGTTTTCCTGGCCTTCCTTTGATGCAACGCCTGTTTGCAGTGTTTGAAGAAGTTCTTCTTTCTGTTCAACTTCAGCCGTCTGTCTGTCCAGCCCTGCTTTTGCATCATCATACTTGGCTTGTAATTCATCATAAATTTTCCGTTTCCCTTTCAGTAGAGCTTGCAATTCAGTCACTGTCTTTTCCATTGTTTCTCTCTTTTCAGATTCATCCGCCATGCTCGAAGTCTTCAAGTCTAATAGAGTGGCCAATCGCACCATTTCATGGGAGTGAGTTTTAACTTGGTCTTCCAACGCTTGGAATTTGCCCCCTTTTCTAAGCTCCTTTTCTCGAAGCGCTTTTACCCTCTTCACATCTTCCTCCAGATGAGATATTTCACCCTTGAGCCGCGCAATGCTATTCTCTAGCTCGGTAACTTTTCGCTTTTTGTTGTCAAATTCCTCTCCAGCCAGGCGTAACCGCTCCCCATTCTTCAAATAGTCATGGGCAACAACAAGCCTAGTCAGACGCTCGAGGTCACTTTGAGTTTGCTGGAAATCTAAGAAAGCTCTCTTCTCCCCTCTTAATTTCTCAAGTTTCGGCTCAATTTCCTCCTTCAGCAGTCCCTCGATTTCCCGCACTTTTGTCTCCTTCTTTGCCATCGTCTTTCCAGCCTTTTCCTTTCTATCCTCAAACATACGCGTTCCAGCCGCCTCTTCAATCATCGACAAAATCTCCACCGGCTTCATATTTAACACCTTCGTAATTCGCCCTTGCATAATCAAGAAATTCGGATTATTGATATTCAGCTGCACACTTTGGAAAAGGTTCTGCACAGTCTGCTGTTGCGCGCGGTGTCCATTAATCAGGTATTTGCTGGTGCCGCCCAATACAATCTGCCTCGTCACCGATATGCTCGCATATTCCTCGAACCCAATTGGTGATTTCGACTTGTCGCGATTATCAAATACTATGGTCACGCTGGCTTTCGTGACTCCTGCTTGGCCGCGCTTGTAGATCAGGTCTTGCAAATTCTGGGCGCGTACAGTGCTCATATTTGTGATTCCGAGAACAAAGCAGATACTGTCGAGGATGTTGGATTTGCCAGAGCCGTTGAGGCCGGTGATCGAGTTGAAGGATTCGTCCCTAATTGATAAAATGAATTCAGTGCCCTCCTCTCTCTAAGCGCAGCATAACAGCCTCAGAACCTACCATCCCGATATCACAGTGCGCGCAGCATAAGATTTAAACCCCTACACGTAAGGCAACATCAGCATATTATGCCAAAACGAAGTGATGTGAGTCTTTAAAATATCTCTCTTCCACTTATCGCATGTACTCACGTCAATGATAACCTCCACGATCCGCATGGCTGCTGTTTTGTATTTCCCCTCGCGGTTCTGCCCGCGGCGCACAATTATTGGCCCGAATTAGGTTTTCTTAAACCCGGACTTCGTGATTCTATCGATTTGTTCCAAGCGCAGATTAGTTGTACGGAGCTTGATATGCGTGTAAAAACGCGGAGACAGGGGATGCAAAGTTCGGTCAAAAAGGCGCGATGATTCGAACGAGCAGGCTGCTGCTTGTTTTTGATGGTGTTCTTCGCCCTTTTGCGCTGGTTATCCTTCCGAATCGGGCTTGGCATGTTGTCATTTTGCCTCTTTAGGAATAGTGGTGGATGGCCGTGCTTAGTCATTGTTTGCGGGGGGTTATTTAGTTACAGATGTTTCTTGTTTCTTCAAGCAATGGCTCCCGATTATCAACGAAATAAGTAACGAGGCCTGATTTTTAGATGCCCACAATCTTCTTACTTAGTGCCTGATTGTTCAGAGCCGATATGCCTTTATTGTCAAATCATCATGTGTCAAGGACACTTCGTTTAGAAGCAATCAACCCACGGCAGAGCGTCTGTTGAGATTCTGAAAGAGCATATTACATTTCAAACGATTATCCTTCAAACGCTGCAAAGAACATTTTTGAAAAAGCACAAAAGTGGGTTTATCATTTACGCTAAGGAAATGAACTGTAAATTAGATAAACGAGAGAGAGAGAAAATAAGGGGTAAAAGAGAGAGAGAGAGAGAGAGAGAGAGAGAGAGAGAGAAGGTATGAAACAACTAAAAAATGAGAAACGTAGTATCCTCAATGAACCCCTCAACCCCCAAATTGATCTTTTTTTTCAAACCAATATATTCTACCTACTTGCCTCTGTCATCAGCTTGAGAAAAAGACTATTTACTGCCAAGAACTCCCCTCCACTCCTCTTCACTCCTCTCCGACAAGGTTCGTACCCTCCCTCAAGCCCTCAACGACCAATTCGTGTCCCTCGGCTCGTTTGTAAATATCCTTCACGTCATCTGTAATATTTTCCCAATTAGCTCCGGAAGGGCTTTCTGCAAGATCTGATACATATATATGCAAATAGAAAATTTACTTACCAGTTGTTGTTTCGAAATGGCTGGTGGCATCGTAACTCTTCGAAATATAGATGTGGTCCTTGCTGCCATCCTCCAATGGCTCATACAATGGGATCGGTGGGCCCATGAATTTCTCTTCGATAGCCCCGAGGCGCTCAAAACCTGGCTCTAGCTCGATATGGTGGTTCGCTTCGTTTTCGGCAATGGTGGAGACGATAGCGATGTAGTAACCCTTCGGGCAGACGTTGTGTGCGGAAGAGACCATCGCGATATATATATCTGGTTTATCATATTCATGCTTAGCAGCTGGAACATAGTTGCGCTACTCTTCAAACAATGGACGTGAATATGTTTTGTGGGACTAAAACTTACCATGCTTTCGGCCAACCTGAGATTGAGGAATAATCAATTGCAGGGAGTCGTTCGAATCCGTTTTATCGATTGGGTGTGTCAAGATACAAATGGCCTTGAGCAGGTAGCCAGTGACCTTGACTTTTCCAGGGAAGTAGGTGGGGTCACCGATGATCTTCTTGGTTTTTGTTGTAAAGGTTATGCCATCTCCCGGTTCGCCCCTTTCTTTCATAGTGGCCTTGATGCCTGACACCGTATCGCCATCGTAGAGAACCTCGTCGACGTTGGTATTGAGCATGTATGTGCCCCCATAGATTGCAGACAGCCGAGCAAAGCCCTGGGGAAGCTCACCGAGACCAAAGAGTGGGTAGATATAGGGAGATTTGCCATAACGGGCCATAGAGTTGACATAAAGACGGATTCTGTCAATTGTCTCCTTCGCCTTGCCCGGCTCTGTAATGTAGTCGTCAGACTGGTAAAGCGCCATTGAGTGTCCAATAAAGTCCTTTGTGGGCGGTTCCAAGCCAAATTTGTCATAGACTTCTTTCATAGTGCATGTTGCCATATTTAACCCTGATACTCATATTAGTACGGATCGATTCGGGACAAAAGAGATTCGGCAGAATGTCTATCGAACCTTGGTGGGTACTTGGGTTACTTTCATCGAACTCTCCAACCCACTCGAGGAACTTCTTCGCCCGTCGCTTTTCGAACAGGCCCATCAGTGAAGATCGAAGCGCCTCGCCCGCATCAGACGGGACTTTGGCAACAGTGGCTTTGGGGCCGCTTCCCTGCTGCACGTAGCTTCCCGCAATCTGCCTGAATTCCAGGTATCTGGTAACATCAGTCGAGACCAGGATATTTGTCAGTTCCCCGTTCGACATGAGAAGTTTGGGCACCAAATCGACGTTCCAGTCGTTGACACGGCCATATTTTTTCCATGGTTCTTCACCCGGTTTCACATCGCGGAATTTTTTGAAGAGCTAGTTGTGTAAAAAATAGTTAGCGATGGGTCTCGGGACACAACGGGATCTCGCTAGGGAAACAAACTGTTTCTATATTAACAGAGGCAGCCTCTCTATTGAAATCGTTAGTAAACTGGGATGTATCAGTGTTCCACCAGGGATGCGGGGGCTACGCCAACTCACCCTCCATAGTGGTCGTTGCGGTCAATGTGAAGAACCTTCTGCCCCTTGACACTGAGTACGCTGCATGAGGGATTAGTTAAGAGCTTCTCATAAATATCGTATTTGGGGCGAGGTGGTCATGTATTTACCCCGAAAGAACACACTCCGTCAAACCTGGAAAGTCGGTCAGTTGCAGCCCAAAGGTAGCGGTGGGGTAAATGCCATACCTGTACCCATTACCACCACATCATATTCAGGCAAGATGTCTTCCATAGTGAAAATCAAAGATATGTTACTTCAGGAAGGCAAGGGCAATTCTCTCAGAAAAGGGTAATAAGGAGGTTGAATATGCGGTAGTTCAGTTGAGTGAGGGTAGTAGTGTTGTGAGGAGAAACATTGAACAAGCTCTGTGTCTCTGGTTGAGGACCATGCTTTTACTCCACCCACCGCTGGTCTGTTCCCCGCAAACACGCTATCATTGGATTCATGCCGACGCCCCTTCTGAGTTGGTCGGCGGAACTACTCATTAACATCAAGCAATAGTGCAATCAATATCAATCGTACGTGGATTAGGCTAAGCTATCCTGCCCTATTTACGAATTTGATAAGTAGCAATCACCTACAGGCAACCGCAAATAGGTAAAATCGTCTGAAGTTGTCAGAGTGGCGTCGTTTCCCATGTTGAGAGCGCAATCACTGTGGCATTATTGGATTTAAAGGAAAGGAACAGTAAAGCCACGTTAAAAAAAGAAAACCGTCAAGAGTATTATGAAACACAAATTTATTAGAACAGGTTGTTCAACCCAAACTCGGAAGGCAAAAATTAGTCTCCATTCTATTAAGCTACGAGAATGCGACCACAATACAGTACGTGGTAAAACGGATGGCACAAGAAGCCAACTTAGGAAGATGGAGGAGTCTTCACCGAATCCGATGCTTCACCTTTCGGTTCCTCCACATCTAAGGCTGGCGGCTCATAAGCATAAGCCTCCGCTTCCATCACTTGTGCATCAGCAGGAGAATATTCGCCGCTTTCATAAAGTTGTCGCGCGTCCTCCCAGGCATACCATCGCTCGCGAAGAACTTGTTTGATCGATTGTTGCGTACCACGAACCTGTTATTTCCAATAATGAAAGAGTTAATCAATTTGTACGTCCTTTGAAACAGGGGAAGAATTGGGCAGGCGAAGATTTTAGGCGTTTGCAAAATATCATCACAGTTGATATAAAGTGTAATAATCAGGAAAACGGTTTCAAACACATATCATTTCTATCGGGCTTAAGCGGTCCCAATAGAAGTCATATCGGCGAGTGAAAGAATGTTTCATCACAAAAATGAGGCCATAGCATAGCGAAGGAATGGCCAAACGAATGCTGTTGACAAGAAATAAAACACTTACTGTTTTGTCACGATTGTTAGACTCATAGTCCCCATAGCCAGCTTGTAACCGCTGTCTTTCATAGCGGGCGGTAGCTATTCGGTTGCGTTCTTTCACGCAGAGCCAGTAGAGCTTGTGAAGGTCATCCCATGACTTTTGCCTAAGCTCTTGAATCGACCAAGCGCGCCCTGGACGATAGTATTAGCGACGTTGCCTTGTCTTTGCATTGACTCAATCGTTCGTCTCAAATAATTGTGTGTACGTACCATGAGCGTATTCCTCTTCTGGGGTTGGGATAGGTTTCCGATCAGGGCCAAAAAATCCCCAAAGGCCATGCTTCGGATTGCTAGGCCTTTTTTCCTGCTCTTTCGGTTTAACTGGACGTGGCAAAGGGTATTTCGACACTGAAAGGGGGTACCTCGGACCGGTTCTGTGAATAGCAGACACACCACGGTGTTTGCTGAGGTCCAGTTTCAACCCAGGAGCAGGAGTGGTGGAGAATTTTAAGCATTGGAAAGAAGCAAAGTGTAATGAAGGGAATTGGAGAGCAGGAGCAAGGAAAATGGGAGGTAATTCGACCAGCGGAGTACCTCCATATAGTCTCACAAGACGGGTGATGGTTCGAGAAGGCATCTTTCAGAGCTGATGAGAGGGAATTGATGTTTTTCGAAGGGCGAAAATTTTCTGGCAAATGAGAAACAAACTTCTGAGGGCTAGTATATCACGTGATTTAACGAGAACGACCTCTCCAGGCTGTGATGAGCATCCTGCAGCAATATTACTAGTAGTACTCCGTAATCAGGGGACCTTTGTGGACAGTCTGTGTTTACAGCTGGGGTTTTGAGAAACTTGGAAAATCATTTTGTGCCACAGCCGCGAAAGTTTTTCCCAGAAAACTATATAACTTACGATACTTATTGGTAACCCCATGTGCACAAAACGAATGACACCGTGACCGTAAATAAACGGACGCCTTTGAAAGCATCGATATTTATTCCATCTTTCAGGCTTAATAATAATTCCCACTTGAACTGGACGGGGTACGGGAGCAACTATAGAATACTGCCCAGTAATACATTTTAATTCAAGAATTGGCCGTTCCCAATAGCACACCAGAAATTCCGCAGTCTCCAGCTTTGTTTCAGACATACCATTATTAACATCACATATGCAGTTGTAATAGTCTGTCCAGTATTCTTCACAACAACATAATCTCAAAGAGCTGCCGCAAGGTTGCGTAGCTCTTTACAAGAATGCGTCACGTCGAGCGGATCCATGTAACCTATAGCCGCGCGCTTGGCGCTTGAGTTTCCACTTGCTCCCAGCGTTAATGCTGCTGCATATGCTGCTGGATGGCCATGGTCCGTTACGTTTGTCCTCCGCACGCCATCGCCATCTTGCACATTGATACCACTGGCGCTATCCCGCAATATTCGTTTTACCTGAAAACACCCTCTTAAACGCTTCCGAAGCTTCTTTCCACCATGAATAGGCCAGGTTTGTTCTGTCGTCTCATCCCTCCCGCTCAGACCTTGGTACCGGGATAACTCCTGCTCCATGGCCTTCCACTTGAGAAAATGCCATTATTCCTCTGCGGTGTATGTTTCTATGGGAACTTGTTGTCTCCTACTTGGAAGGGTGGTAGCTCATTCAAGCAGCCACACCTTAAACTCCATACCCCAGAAGGAGCGTTTCTCTCCGCAGTTCTACTCGTCGTTTTACCATTGCAACAATTTGTCTGGATGAGAGGATAGGAATGAGATACTGATATTTTGGGTTGCAATGCAGGTCCTGGCCAACAGCAGTTGCGGGGGATGTCAGGCTTCCCCACCCAGCAACAGCCCCAAACACGAACCACAAATCCGTCATTAGCTTCTACGCGCCTCCCAAATGGTAAACTCGGTGCGGTTTTTATTTAGTATCCGAAGTCCAGCTTTACATCTATAGACTGACTGGGGATCTAATGTAGGAACGGGTGCCAACTGGGGATTTGGGTTGCCAATGGGGGGTGCTCCCGGGTTACAAAGTAGCCAGCAAAGGACTGTGAATACCATGAACAGCTTTGCACAAGGCATAAGTGGATCTCAACCAGCAACACCATTAGACCTCTCGTAAGTTGCCATACCAACATGTCGTCATTTATTACATCTCCATCCCACATTGCTACGGCTGTGTATAATTTCGCAAAGTCATCAACTTTCCTCAATCATCTGTCTACCCCACGAGGATGAAGCGCAGAGGAGCTCCCCATCGGGGCGGGAGAATCGCACGTTTACACCACCGCCAGCTGAAGCTAACCCCAGATATATCTTCTATCAGCGAATTCCCCTCCCTCTCCAGTGTCCCGCAACAATCTCAATCTTCAGCTTCTGGGCAAGCTACTTGGGCCAACGCTAGCCAGCGAGTAAATCAACAAAGTGCCATCCAAAGACAGTCGCAAACACCTACAACCCAGCCGCCATCTCGAGTTTCGCAAACCCAACCGCAGTCACAATCACATGCTTCTCACGAAGACCTTTTTCCCTCCGCAGCACAATTCGCAGCACAGCTAGATGACTTCAGGAATGGAGGCCAAGGCATAAGTGGTCAGCTTTCAAGCACTCAACCTCAAACAGGAAATATTGACGAGTTCCCACCATTAGGGAGAAATGCGCCAGCGGACATTGGCCAGGAAAGACGAGCAAGCCTTCTTCAGTCCGGAGCCTTTGGTAACTACGGAGGCGGGATGGCCTTTCCTAACCTCAACCAGAGCCATTCTGGCCAGGCTCGTACCTTACCCGGAAATATGGTTAATGGACAGCAAGATAGCAGGATCATATCTCCAGGCGCAGGCGGGTCAGATGGTCAGTTCCTACCCTATGTTGAGTTATATTTTTGTTTCTGAGTATTCACCTCCTCTGCAGTTATCTCGGCATCTAGATCTCCTATGGGTCAAGTACAGAATGGCAGACTTTCCCAGGAGAAAGAGGTAAGCACCCCTTTCATTTTGCGAGTTGGCTCTCCATATTAACCGTTTGTAATAAGGATCTCGGAACTTCGTCTACACAGCGATCTATTCGGCCAGAGGCATACTCAGACCAACAAAGCCAGTCGGTCATACAACCGCCACCCCAAAGTCATCAACCAAAATCCAGTAGCTTTGGGGCCGACGGTCAAGAACAATCACTACAAGGACAATCCTCTGAGCAAAGCCCACTCAGCCAGATGCCCGATCGCGATAGGTTCGGGCTTCAAGGGCTTCTGACTTTGATACACAACGAAAATCCCGACGTTGCTGCTCTAGCTGTCGGACAAGATTTGATGACTCTTGGCCTGGATCTAAATCATCCAGAGTAAGTTAAAAGCCCTCTAATTTTTCACACCAAAGAGATTTGAAGTGCCTTAACAATTCTACCTTCCTATCAGACCGCTTCATCCATCTTTTGCTTCTCCGTTTATTTCGTCAAATTCGGCTGTACCACTCCAAGTGGATTACACCTTACCAGGCTGCTATAATGTTGCCAATGTCCAACCGCTGCAAACCCGTATCCCTAGCTTTAGCGACGAAACGCTTTTCTATATATTCTATAGCATGCCCAGGGATATCATGCAGGAGCTTGTTGCAGAAGAACTCATGGGCCGGAAATGGAGATACCACAAAGTGGAGCGCGCATGGTTGACTAGAGATGACGCATACCCAAGTCCTGTTGAGGTTGAGCGAGGGCTCAGTGAGCGTGGCTTCTATCTCTGGTGGGATCCTTCGTCCTGGAAGAAAGTCAGGGTGAGTTTTCCTTTTTTTTTTCATTTTCGCTTAGTTGCTATGCATTTCAACATAATACTTGCTCCGGTTAAACATGAGACCCCTGTATTCCTACGGAAGACAATATGGCTAACATAAGTCAAAATTATTCGGTTTTGCCTCAAATCACAGCGTGAATTCATTCTCCGATACGCAGATTTGGACAACCACCTCGAAAGAAGAGGTTTCGTTCAAGGGGTTACTTTCCCTCAAAATGTTTGATGGGCAAGTTCTTCGGAACATTTCTTAACGAAATGGGCTTGTACATGGCAATAGTTTCAGCGACATTCGTCCTCAAATGTCAAGCACAGCTACCATTGATTTCCATGTCACGATTATAAGTAGCATAACAACAAAATGGGATAGATATAGAATGATATGGAATCTATTATCTATTTTCATGACATCTTGCCAACATTTCCACCTTTTTTTTTAATTCCAATTACCATGTTCTTTTTCCATCTTCTCGAGCTTATTTGACCTTTTCTTCCATTTCCCCCTACCATTTTTAACCCCGTATCCAGCGCCGGGTTGTACGGTTTATTTATTCATTCTCCTACTGCTACTCCTTTCTAACGTGAAGGAGCACTTTTGATAATGATGGCCTTGCTACCATTTTTTCAAGTACTTATTTTAAGTAGCTTGATGAATGGAGTGAGAAATATGGGCATGTTAAAGAGTGATATGATATTTTATTTTGCCGTCTACATGAATTTTATATGCATTTGCTGTTCTGCATCAATGCCAAGCACGGGCAAATAGTATTCGTGATTTGCGCCAGGTATGAGATGGGTATAGAGGCAGCCATCTTACTTATCATTTTTTTCCCTTTTCGTTATTCATTATTGACTAGAAAATTTTTGCTAACCATGCATGAAGTCCACAATTACTTGAAGCAAGGGCCACACCTTCATGCATACCAAAACGTTGACTTATGATGATTATAAAGCTCCCCGCTTAACATGCCCTCGCCGTCAGACATCCCATTCCCGTCCCTCACTCCCCAACGGTCCTAAAAACAAAAACCGAAGAATCCACTCATAACCTCCCCGCCTCCGGATCCGTATTAACCTTATCATGTTCCCCAATAACACAAACCTCCCCAGTATCCACCCTGCTAATCTCCGACCTAACCAACGCCAGCCGCTTCCCCGCGTGCACCAGCTCATTCACAATCCTCACCTCCACCCCCATCGGCGCCGGCCGTACGAACTTCACATTTAGCGTTCGCGTGACGCCTCCCAGGGAGAAATGGCCCGGTTTGGAGAGCGCGATCAGCAGCCCGGTCGAAGTCACATCTATTAAGGTGGTGGCACAGCCGCCGTGGAGCGCGCCGACCTTGTTGCAGAAGGGTTCTGTGACGGTTAGGAGGAGGGAGGCGCGCGGGCACGGGCCGTGGGATACGGACTCGTAGCGGACGCGATTGCGGAAGAGGTCGTGGTTATAGCCCTGTGTGGTTTGAGGGGAGGGGTACGGAGGGGGGTTAATGGTGTTAGTTTTTGGTGATTTTATTTTTGTTGTCTTTATGTTGTTGCAGATATGTATATATATTGAGGTTTGATAGTACATGTACATGTACATTTGTACGGGGCTGTGGGTGTGAGTGAGATAGGAGGCCTGGTTTGTCCCTTTTTTTTTTTTTTTTTTTTTTTTTTTTGAGAAAGATTTATATATATGTACCTTGTAGGTATCGTTTTGTTTCTCTCCCTGATGGAGTGCCTTCATGCGCTTGTGGAGCTCTTCAGACTCCATCCGCTATGCAAACACTGGGGAAAATACTGAAAGTAGGAAAAACGTAGGGGGAAATATTCGGAGATAGATTTAAGGTACACGGTCAGTCAACTGACACTTGATTGAGAGGGAAATCAAAAACCAGAAAACGAGCGACACGAGATGAAATCGAAGGCATTTGTCTGCGTGGCATATGTATGTACAGATGTACAGTACACAACACAAAACAAATGCATTGACCAAAAAAAAAAAAAAAAAAAAAAAAAAGCAAAAGCGATAAGCCTGTCCTGCTGCTCTTGCACAAGGAGGAGCAAGGAGGTAGGGGAACATGGCAAACTGCACGAGCTCGGGGGAAATTGCCCGCGAACGAAAGGAGGTGAACGGCCAAAAAGGGGAAAGGGAAAGAGAAGAAAAGGAAAAGACGAACGCCAATACTCCGTACACCAGGCCATTTTCCTTGGATCCTCCGAGCATGGTGGCTTGAGAATCTCGATGCGGAGAGGTGGAGAGGGAAACAACTTTTTGCGCAATGCAAATCGTGTGCAGCTGTACAGATTAGTATGTAGCCGCCATCAGAGATGGGAGCTGATCGAAGCCCTGTATCGCTAGAGCGTCAAGCGACTGGCTAGTTCCCATTTCCGTATGAAAGATCCTCGCTTCTTATTGGGAGGCAGATGGATTGCCCGGGCCCGAGGAGGCTTGAATCTGTGTTCCGGGGAACGTCGCACAGGCGGCACGCTGGACACTCAGTTGCCCATCATGAAGCATTTGGCAAACTACGAAAGCTTGAAATCAGGCCTGATGTGCGGTGCTGCCCGCTGTGATGTTGTTGGCTCTTTGTGTCAAGGTGAATAATGGGATAATGGGACTTGATATGGAGCAGGGTGTGGATGCGACCAATGCTGCTTGTCTAATTGTTCCTGTAAATGTTCAATATCAGTTCAATATCAGTTCAAGTACGGAGCAAGTTGTCACGCGTCAGATACTAACTACGGCGAGAAAAAAGTATATATATATTAGCGAAACCAAACTCCATTATCTTCAATGCTGCTCCTGGCCCAGCTGGAGCCACCTGCCACAAAACTTATTTGTTCTTGTTGTTGTTAAGATTGATGGCAGCTTCCTGACTGTTTTTACATCAAAATGGCTCCGAGTATCCATCGTATGAGAGGTCACTAACTCCCTTCTTGAGTGAATCCACCAGCCCTCCTATATTATTCTAAAAAGCCTAACGGTTGAGCTCCTATCATCCATCCTCCAACATATAGTCCATACGAGTACAAAAACCCGGCGCAATTGCTCCTTTTATAATAACCTCCAGGGTCTTTGAGGATGACGTTACTCGCCCCTTACACGTCTCTGATGCGAATTGGTCAAGGGTTAACTTCGGTCCTCACATTTGATTTCAGGGGTTCCTGAATGCTAATTTCTAGTGCTAGGTTCAATTCCTATACGCAACAAATTTGCATCGACGACGCGATAATAGTTCATGAACAAAACGATAGTTCAGAGAGCCCACATCATTGTCTACCAGGCGAATTCCCACAAGATAATGCTGATGCCGCTGAGAGAGACGACAACATCCTTACAGTGGAAGAGGCTCCACAGCAAGTTGATAACGCTTTGCAGCGACCTCCTCGCACGAGGACAGAAAAAGCTAAGGCTTCAAATGTAAACCAGACTGTCACTTATACTGCCCATGCGATCGACAATCTTGCAGATGTTGTCGACACCCTTAATATCTCCTCAAGTGCTACTATCAGTTACGCCAGCAGCCACAGCAATGGTTCCGCTAGTTTTGTAAAAGAAAACAGTATCAGCGAAAGTGATATCAATTTCATCGTCTCTGTCAAAGTGACCAACGAGCTCCCCATCAACCCAACGCAATTGGAGTTTCGGCCGCTGGATGGCTTGGAACCCGATCAATTCTCAGAGGTATATGGTGATTGTTTTATCGCCGGCTTCCTTGAGGGCGGTGCATTTTCAGCCATAGTTAGTATCAAAGTCCAGGACAAGAATAAGATCTCTAGGGTGAAAATGGCGGCAGAGATGCAACTTTCGGCTACCAAATACTTCCAGCCCTTGAGTGGAGCCATGGCTGATAGTGAGAACCAAGATATTTGGACTGACACTGAGCTCAGCGTGTCAGTAACCTGGTCAGGGGGTGGGAGCATCAAAAAGCCAAAGGTGGGAGACAAACTCCTTTTTTTTCCTTTCGCGAACCTACAGCTGACTTTAAAATTATTCCAGGCGAGTTGGGACCTGCCAACTATCATCCAAGCTGCCAATGACTTTCCCACCCAAGTTTCGAAGTATCCACAGAGGACTCAGGCCATCCTCATGAGCTACAACTCCGTTCGGTCATTCCATGAGTTTAATGCAAAAGCTCCACGACCGTTTGTTGTTTTAGATTATCGTTTGTGTGGTAAATGTCACTTTTGACTTTCCTAACTACTGATAATTGACATTAAGCTTCCCAGAGCTATATACCGCCGACCTTCTCAGTGCGTTCATCGCTTATAAATCTCTATGGAAATTAATCTCAAAAAGTAAGATTCAATCAAAACTTCCTGAGAAATAAGGTCTAACTTTTTCCAGTCATAAAAAACCCTGATCTATACCAGGCAAAAGAAGTCACAGACAAGATCCCGAATCCCATTGACAGTGACCCCATTTCCCTAAATCAAGCCAAAATCGATTGTCGAAAAGGAATGACTATGATCCTCGAAGAGGTACGTTTTCCGTCGTTTTCCTGAGCTGTGCTGCGTAGGCCTCCTTCTAATGTCATAGACAAAAACGCTCGCGCGAAAACCCCATCTCGGTATGATCGATGAGCACGGTACTGTGAGGCAACTTCCCTGCGGTTATGCGTCGGAACTTTCTGCGCGGCTTCCCGTACGTAAATCCAGCTCCGGTATCTCTTCATATGTGTTCAGTTTGCTAAATCTTCCCTTTCAATAGATATATATCGGAACATTTGGGAACAGTGACAACAATGGCATCAGCTGTGCATCCTCTGTTCCCGATGAAATGAACATGATCAATAAATATGTCTCGCGCCCCTCCTTTCTTCCACAACTAGGAGAAAATCAAGGGGGAAATTTTCCACGAGTTACCAATACATTCTATTCCACAGCTTCAAGCACTTCGCCTGATGGTCAAGTCGGGTTGCCAATGTAAGTCCCCGACCGATAGAGCCTCAGAAGGTTGTCACCACTAACAAGATCGGCTTAGCCCCAATAATACTGTGGAAAGCTCAGATGCTGTCGAAAATACAATCACGAACGATACTTGGGGACAAATGAAGCCTAATAGATCTTGTATGCCAGCTCCGCGGTTCATCGCTTCTGCAAACCTAAGCCTTCTTAGTATGGTCTACAATGCCCTTCTCCTGAAATGCTGTTTCCGAAGGACCAAAAAAGTGAAATTCAGGACTCCAAGAGAGAGTTCGAACCAGGAGTATCCTATTCGACAGGATCAAGTGGCAGTCATGCCTGGTGCAACCACATCCCCCTAAAGCTTTATATAACCTTACCTTGACGTACGAAGTTGAAAATTTTATATATACTAGTAGTACTATTCAGGGGAAATTTCGAGCGAGAGCAGAAAGGGAACCATGGATTCAGACTGTGACAAAATCATATAAATTAAATTATACTATAGTTATTGGTTTAGTAGATTAGGATCCAGAACGATCTCCATAATTGTTCAATAGCTCAATGAAATTTCATGGAGAAATCCAACTGGCAGTTGAGGGTAGCAAAGTCACATGATTTGGCGTTCCTTGAGCCGCGAACTTCAAACCCAGAAACCTTTAAGCTTCGCAGCCTGAGCTCCTAACAATGACCAGCTAAGCCGACAGGCTTAGAAAGGTTCCGGATGACAGTGACTACATGACTTGACCGTTTCAATATACACCGGACACGGTTCTACTTGCCATTGTCAACCTCACTCGCTCTTTCCCTTTGTTTATACTGGAGACCAAAAAGCTGTAATTCTCCCGAACCGAGCGCCATATTGACATTTCTCAACGAACAGTTGGCTTTTTTGCCATTGCCATTGCCATTGCCATTGCCGTTCAGATGCGATGCACATTCAAGTTGTGTTAACCTATATCCACTCCTCCTCGATAAAGTCATCAGATTCGAGGTGAATTGAGTGACCGACCAACTGCTTGCGTAATGGGTGACTTCGGGGATCCCGCACCCCCGCTGAAGCGGAGAAAAGTCGCAGGAACCGTTGGCAATGGTGCGGGAGACCGAAAAAAGGAGGTTTCAATGGGTGGGCATACTGCAGATGATGTGACCAGAACTACGAGGGGGGAAAAAAAACGCTGGAAGTCAGAGGTTGGGGGCGTGAGCGGGAATTTGAACGGGACGTTAAATGGACATGTAGATGTGGAGAACGGGGAGGAGGATGGAGGGAAAGAGTTGAAAGAGAATAATGCAAGCGTTCCAGAAACTTCGTTGAAATCGTCTGGGCGGAGCTTGAGGCCTAGGGCTCGTTTGAGAAGACCTGCAGAGCAGTATGTAGTGATTGAACCTGTGAAGACGCCGAAGCGGCCTCTACGGACGGGGAGGGGTGAGAAACAAGCAAATGGACGGGGCCAAAGAGGAGATGAGAGTGCGGTGAGCTCTTCGAAACTGAAGCGGCATGGGAGAATGGCTAATGGGACTGATGTTCGAACGGGGATGAGTCCCAATGCTGAGGTGCATGTGGGGAAATCAATGGGGGAAAGAAACGGTACGCCCTCGGTAAACAATCGAGAAGCGAATGATGGGGATGTGTGGGAAATCCCTAGTGATGATGGGGAGGTAGTAGCAGAGGAATTGCGAAATGGAGTTACAAATGGTTTGGGGTTAAATTCATCTGTCCAACAAAATGGGGTGGAATATATGGACGAGGATGACCAGGATACGTCTGCCCTACAATTACAACAGGGGCTCGTGGACAATGATACTCACACGCTCGAGCCTGAGGAATTACCGCCATATGCTTACGAGTTCAAGACATTGTGTGAAGAAAACCAACTTGAGAGCCACGCCGGGTCTCTCACAACATTTGTTCTCAAAAAGCTTACGGGCAAACAGCCCATCCCACTCCAGTGCCTTGACTTCCAATATCAAACGGTTCATCAACTCGTCGAGCAGACCGTTGTCACGGGAGAAGGCAACTCGCTACTTCTCCTTGGTTCGCGGGGCTGCGGAAAAACCGCTGTTGTGGAAGCCGTCATTTCATCTTTGGCAAAAGACCACAGAGATGACTTCCATGTCGTGCGTTTGAACGGATTTATTCATACCGATGACCGGGTTGCATTGAAAGAGATTTGGCGACAGCTGGGGCGCGAAATGAACACGGAAGATGAGACAAGCAAAGCGATCAGCTATGCTGATACTATGACTTCATTGCTAGCTCTCCTCTCTCATCCGGAAGAGCTTTTCGGAGTCTCTGAAGACCCCGATGCCATCGCGACGGCGAAATCTGTCATCATTGTTTTGGACGAGTTCGACCTGTTTGCCTATCATCCGCGCCAGACTTTGCTGTATAATCTTTTTGATATTGCTCAGGCGAGAAAAGCTCCCGTGGCGGTCTTGGGATTGACAACCAAAGTCGACGTCACCGAAAATTTGGAAAAGAGAGTGAAAAGTAGATTTAGCCATCGATATGTATTTCTTCCCCGGCCGAGGACTTTTAATGAATTCTCGGATATATGCAAGGCAGGCATTACCTTAAATGAAGAGGAGCTTCCCGATACTGGTCTGGATGATTTGAATTCTGGCCAAGGTCAACTGCTACTTGAGGGATGGAATGAATATATCCAGGTATATTTTAACGCACACTCCTATTTCCATGGTCACTGATCACTGACATGAATGATACCCGAAAATAGCGTCTCTGGGCTGATTCCGCCTTTCAAACTCATCTCCAAACAATCTACCACCAAACGAAGTCCCCCAAGGATTTTTATGCCAGCGCCCTCCTTCCAGTCTCTACCCTCTACCATAGCCTCCAACAAACCTCCAACAAGCCACGGAATCTCCTAACCCCGACCCCCAAATCATTCTCTTCCCACCCCCTCTCCTGCCCGGATCCACCTTCTCTCCCCTTTCCCCCCTCCACCTCTTCGACAAGCAATACTTCCCTCCCCCTCTCCCTCCTTCTAGTAGCCACCCGTTTAACCGCCCTGCACGAACCTGGTCTCAATGCAACTCAAGCCCAAGCCGCAACCACCTTCACGCTGTCATTTCCTGCTGCTTATGCGGAGTATGTTCGACTGCTGACCTCGGCCAAAGTCTCTGCGTCCGCGTCCGGCGCAGCAGCCACCCCGGGGCGTGTGTGGGGCAAGGATGTGGCTAGAGAGGCGTGGGAGCGCTTGGTGGACTGGGGGCTTGTGGTTCCTGTTGGTGGAGGGAGTGGGATGGGTGATGGGAGGATGTTTAGGATCGAGATTAGCTTTGAAGAGGTGCTTGATGGTGTTGGGGATAGTGGTGTTGGGGCACTGGGAAGGTGGTGGAGAGAGGCGTAGGGGCTGTCAAAATTTTTGGCGGTTCTAAAAATATATACATTTATACATATTTCTAGATTTAATTTTATGATTAAGAGAGAAACGTAGCAGAAACCGTTACGAATGTTGTCTTTGATGAATCAACCTGACGTATTTTCCTTCCCTTTTTTGAAATAAAACTTTGATATTCCATACCTATCTCCTAATCTGAGTTCCATTCTTCCCTCGTATTCTAGTTAACTATATATATATCAGCTGACTCAACTCATGGAAATTGGGAATCCGGCAACGGATTACAATGCCATCTATGAATGTCCTTTCCCGCCTCGCTACTCTGTAAAAGGATCTTATAATAATAGAAATAGCAATATCAATTACAGATTACTCCATGTGTATGTATATCCCCCAGCCCCATGCCAGTTTCATCCCATGCCAGGTATGTGAATGTATGTGATGTGGTGTTGCCACGTGGGATGATTTATATACGCCCAGGTAAAAAATACATCCGCCCTTTGCTTTTTTTGTGCCTTTTTGCAACGCAGGAGAGTATCGGATATAATCAACCGTCCATAGATTATTTCTTGGGCTGGATTCTGGGGGAACCCTGCATCTTCGGCATTGCCTGCATTACTGAGAAGAGAAAAAAGGGGCCCACTGACCTCTCCTCTTCCTTCCAGCGCAGGAAATATCGACAAGTTACGGAGTACTAGTATCATCATCGACCACCATCGTTATTGTGATGGGTCATATAGGATGGCCGCCTTCTTTCCAATTGGGCGTATATCGTGCACAGGTAATGGATTTATATCACTCTTCCTCCTGCCAATGATAATTTTGTCGGCGACGCATTTTTACAAATCCCAAGAATCATGAGCCCAGCCCTCTCCCGCAAAATAAGGAAACCGCGGAGGGTCTCTCCTCCGCATGTCCGGAGCCACATCCATGCGTGAAAGCCATCCATCGTGGAAGCGGCTTAAGGCTGGCTGGTTGTGTAGTTCTCCAAACCTTGATGGTGAGGTTTCGACCCCACAGTGGTTGTGCTCGTCCACCAGAGACCTCTGAGAGGGTTCTGCGGTCAAGCGAAAGTCATTTTCTCGAGAGTTTGGAACTGTTCGGCACACGGGGGGATATGCAGTTCTGAATTGGTGGAGAAGAAGCTCATACATAGCAAGTAATCCACGGCTTTGCGGCCGCCCTTGTTGAACTCAGGGTCCCAAGGAGGGAAGAAAAAGAAACAACTAAACCTGATGCCTGATGTTTAGAGCGTGTGGCAGGGCTCGACCTTATTTTCTTCCTTTTTTTGACTAGCTTCCAGCGAGATGCCAAAAAAGGGAAATCCGGGTCAGTTCAGGTTGCAAAAAGGCAAACAGAAAACGGGGGCGAAACGGCGGTCAGATCTCAGGATCCAGAAGGTTTGGTTTGTTTTTTTTTTTTTTTGTTTTTTTCCTCTGCGAATGGCAACACTTAACCAAGGCAAAATATCGAACCCTACTCGTGTTGCATGCAGAAGGTTGAGTTTGGCTTTTTTTTTTTTTTTTTTTTTTCTTCCCTTGCTCCTGTTTCCAATCAGACCGTGTCCGCAAATAGAGTTATTATTCCCTCACGGCCAAAGAAGAAATACAGAAAGCCAAAGCAAACATCGAACGGGGTTCTCCGTGAATGTATGTCCTGTGCAACGTGGCTTTCATGCTTTCCACGTGGCAGTAGGTTGTATTGGCTGGGATTGCAATAATCATCACAATCGTTGTGCTTGTTACCAAATCCAGCATTCCAGGCCATGGGATAGATAACCAGAACGGCACGGGCTGTGGACAGCGGAAGGGTCTTGGAAGTGGCTTGGTTGAAAGGCAATGAAGGTCGATATTGTCCAATGGCTCCCCGGTTCCCTCTTTGGCAGTATGTCTCGTCCACAAACTTCACATATGGCCGTCTATCCAAGCCAAACCAGTCGCAATCTGAGCGTGCTGCACGCGAGTTCCAGGATCAAGGGGGCTCCTCGGCGAATGAATCTCTTGTTGAGGTAGCTCTGGGTCGATGATGCTCAAGCTGAGAAAAACAATGAAATTAACCACCGTCAACGCCCTTGGAAAAAGTATTTCACCGGCTATGTTTCCTGCAGGACGACTGCCGATGTAGAATTCTGTAGTAATAGTTCTGGTTATCATCCCATTCGGGAAAAGAAGCTCACTCACGAGTCAAGACATGAATAATGATGCTCTTGAAACTCCTGCTGCTGATGTGCGACCACCACATCTCACCACCATCCCTGCGAATGGCTGTACGGAGTAGAATATCATATTTTCTATTTCTACCACAGCTGATATTTGTCTCGATTATTGGCTCGACACACAACATCTCCACACCCAAATAATCTTGTCCTTCACATTCTTCCATACAAGTCCATATCCATGTCCACGACCACAGACAGGGAGGGGAACAGGGGTACATCGTGGGCTCCCAGTCCTCCCAGCCCCAAAGCCGACCGACAGTTCTCGGCAATGGCACGAAAATAGAATCTGCTCCGGGGAGACAAAAAGCCACGGCTTATCCGCGCTGCAATTTACTACTGGATGCTCTGTCGTAGCATCGAACCTAGTCGGCCCCAAGTTGTCTCCGAGCCGACCCTGCCACCACGGAATATACGGCATCTTGAACGCAGTCGAGTCGCTCAGGAAGCCTGTCGTTCAGTCGTGACAATTGTGAAACCCTTAGGGAGAAGAATGCTTTCTGCAAGGGGCTCATGCGGCTGCGGCAGCCGTCAATAAATCCCATCGCCAATCCATCCATCCCATCAAACAATGGTTGGTAATTCGGCAGAGTTTCATACCGCTTTAGAAAAAAAATATATATATAATAAATAGTTAATAAAAAGCCTTCTCTGACTAGTTAAGTTACATGTCAGAACTTCAACTGACCCACTTCGAGATACGACACATGGTGTCCTCGCCCCAGGATCAATTTGCTCAGAACAATCTCTGTTCTAGCTCCTTCTGAGGACCCGATTCTTCATCCGACGGAGCTCCATTCCTTCTCGAAGGATTCGCAAGACACGCTAACAACTCAAGAAAAGCGAGGTGGCGAGAAAATAACTTGATGATGCCATGGTGCCACGATGCCACGATGCCACGGGGCCAAGTCCCAGTAAACAACCTCAAATTTGAGCCCCGACAACCCGACAACCCCACACACTCACAACATTCTTTCGTTAAACTGTCTTGGAAGATATTGCCTTTCTATCCATACAGCAAGGATAGGTAATCACGGAGACGAGCCACGCGGACCTGCGCAATATCTCCTTTCGCTCGACATCATTTTTTTATTAAGCTCATAGGGATCGCCGTCGTCGGCCCACACACATCAATACTGAAGGCTGTTGTGTTCACGTAGCCTGCATGTGTGTGCGCGCCCTGTATAGGCTCCACTCCACTCCATACATGGACAGTCCTGTACCTGTGTATGTCCTCACTGCCGAAATGATTCATAGGGCGGGTGGTTTTCAGCATTGGGTAAGCTTCCCCTTTGTGATGGAATGCCGATTACGCTGTACGAAAACGAACAGGGCAGGGATGAAGGATTACGTACAGTAGTTCGACATGTAACTACGCCATGCTCACTCGCTTTTGCTTGATTTGATGGCTTGATATGCCGAGCGATTTGATCGATACATTCTGCGGGTAATTATATTTCTTGGCGCTGTTGGAGAGGAAAGGTACAGTACAGTACGGAGTACAACCAAGGGGAAGGGGAGGGGGCGGGCGGTTGGGCAACGCTCGCCAATTCCTCGTATCGAAGTGAAGTGGTTAACCCAAGGGAGATTTGAATCCTTCTTTAGAGATAATATGTTCTCTTCTCGTCACTGCTTTTCTTTTCTCTTTTGGTAGCTAGCTGAGCTACAATTTGTAAATCTAGAACGAGCTTCTGTATCATTTAGGATAGCCCGGCAGCAACGGAACCTCAAACGTATGAGTGAATGCGTCGGCTTTGACTTATTAAATTCCTTCCGCAGCTTACATAGTCATGCATACGTTCTCAACAAATAACATCAGGAACAGGGACAGCTCGGTACTACTTGAGGCAGACCCTTACTCTGTCTGGAGAGCGGAAGGGAGAGTGAGAGTTTTTTGGGCGACTGGCAAAATGGTTATGCAGAATGATAAACTACTAAAGGGGGATGAGCTGAGACGAGATGGGATGGATATAGCTATGATTGAACTGTTCGGCGGAGGAAATGCCGATTCCGTGCTGCGGAAATCAATAAATGCATGCATGCATGCATGCATGAATGAATGAATGAATGAATGAAAACGTACCATTGCAACCTGGATAGTTCGAAGGAAGGGTTGAAGATCCAACCAAGTTGGGGGAAAGTTTCAACCAAATTTTTCGAAGGAAAGGAAATAATTAAAAAAAATAGCGTTCAATTTCAACCGGCGGACAGTTTCAGCCCTGAAGGGCTGTGTTTTAAGCTTCATTGTACCGGTGTGTTTTGAATGAACAATGAAGCAATGAATGCAAACCCCTTGTTTTCTCGGGCAAGGAGTTGAAAGAGTTGAAACGATGTCAACATGGAAGATTTTCTTCTTCTTCCTCTTCTTCTTTTGGGAAGTTGGGCCTGACTTTCTTTTTCCAAGCCTCGTGATATTGGGTTTGGGGGTTGGTTTCGTTCGTTCGCCGCAGTCAGCCCCTGCAAACTCTTCACCGTCTGCCATGAGATACTTCGTTTCAAAGAATTTGAAGTCAATTCATCGCTTCCTCGACTCGTTTAGTTCTAGTACCCTCAGAAAGCCGTCGATTTTCCTCCATCTTGTCCTCTCCCCTCCTCAAAAGGCGCGGCGCTGACGGCGGACAGGGGTGGATTGGATTTATTTCGGCCAAACCGCCGTAACCCATGGATATTATTCGACGGTGGTTGAGAAAATCGACCAGGCGGAAGGTCACTTTAGCTCGTCAATTCGTTCGTTAGCCTGGTGAGTTGGGGGGACTATCTACGCTGTAGGTTAAGTTAACTGATGTTAGGTTACTTAGTTGGGTGCTACGAGCCCATGCATTTTAAGCTAACAAGGGGCCCATATGGCAAAAAGCCGCGCTATCGTCGAAAGCGAAAAGGGTTTTTTTTTTTTTTTTTTTTTTTTTTTGGCCAGCCGCGCACGTGTTGTGGACTCATTGGCATTCTTGTGACGGGCCAATCGGTCGAAGTCGGTCGGTGAGGAGATATATAAGCGTTGCGGGGAGTGGCGGGGATTGCTGTGGAAGTGGACTATGGAGGTACAGGAGAGGATATGGACCGAAGTCTGTTGTTGAAGTCTGTCGGGAAGGTATTTTGATATTGAGTTTCGGTTGTTGCTTGGAAAGCCTCTCTGACGATGTGACCCATGCCGGCTGAAGAACAGGAAAAGATTTTCCAAGACGGAATTCGTAAATAAACTCGCGGAGGATTGTTTTCTAGAAAACTGCCTGGTGGAGCCTGGTTTAGTGCAGGATTGCCACGTTCTGACCCTGGAGCCATCGTGTGCGGCTCTGCCCAGTCACAGTCCGCAGCGAGGTTGCTGCTGATTGCTGCTGATGCGCTGGCTGCGACGGACTGCCGCTGGCTCCACGACGAGGACGACAATGATAAGCTCCAACGACGACATACTTCTTCTTCTTCTTCGTCCGCTCCACATTTAACTCGTCTCGTGATGAGAAAATCTTGCTTAGCGCAGCAGAATATCGCCAGAATATCGCCGACCCCACATCGACTCCCACGCTACGGAGGAGATAGAATGGAAATGAAAAAAAGAAGAGAGTGAAAAAAAGGAACAGAAACTTGGTGGAGGTTGCCACCCTGGGGGTTAATTGGGTTTCCCCCTACTTGATTTTTGCAGAACATTGCCATGATTTGCTGGGAAATTTTTTCATCAAAGTCACATCCTTGCGACGGACACAAGTCATCCAGGGTCTAACCACGAGCAGCCAACGCCTGAAGTTTGAGGTCTCGCCTTAGACACCGCCAGCATGCAGCCAGGCTGAACTAGCTGTCTGTAGCGTGCAACAACCTGGCAAGTCCACGCTACAAGCCACGAAGGATCTGCAGGCGCCCAGCTGTGACGCTGTGAGTTTGTGACGCCTGTGTTGCTTGCCTTTTTTTTCTTTTTTGTTTTTTTCAGTGCTTCCTGTGCCGCTGTGTGCCGACTATTGGGAACGCTCGGCGCTGTCGGTGATCGTTCTACGTGTTGGGCTTTGTTTGCGTGCGTGCATGCATCTTACTTTTGCTACGAGGGTTTCCCTTTTCCCAGATACACTTTCTTCTTGCTCCTTCTTTTCCCTCCCCGACTGCTTGTTTCACCTTGCTATTATCGTATCTGATTACGAGGGACTTGTGATTCTTATTCTCGGGGGAAACGAAAGTTATCAAGGCAACCCCCGCCTTTTTTTGACTATATTATTAGGAATTTTTGTGATTCCCGGTTGTTCATCCCCGCAACTTTGGAACCCGTTCCCCACCGTCCTCGCCCTCGCTCAATCTTGGGATCAATTCTAATTTCCAAGCTCGTACGTGACGGAGTGCATACGTATATATAGTATATCCACGTACACCACCACCACCGCACAGCACCTGAAGTAAGCGAAAGAAGAAGAGCCTGATATCAAGGCGCAGATATCATCCTCAACCAAGCACAACAGATAATCCCGTACAACTCTTCCGATTGCCGGCACAACAACCCTTTGGTCTGCTGTACGCTCTTCTGCTGGATTTCGCCATGCTTGTCTGGGGACGATAGACACTGCAATACCACACCCATCACCAACGTCAACGGGTGTATTATTATAATTGTGACAGTCTCCGCTATTGATCCTCAGTTATATTATCAGCATTATTATTGCATGTCCTTATCTATATCTATTATTGTTCAACCTGTTGATTTGCACTGGCCACAAGCCTTGCCTGGTTTCTGGATCCGGGGCGCGACCCAGTTGCATCATTTTATTCTGTATTCATCGCGCAAGATCCATTATCTGTTGCCCTACCTCGGTCGACTGCACCTACGGATCTCACTCCCCGCTCCATATCCCCATCCTCACTGTTCTGTGCTAGCTTAGGTGAGCCTCGTGTTTCAAGTCCAATCTCCCGCAAATTTCCTCATTTTTGGACGAACGTACTTCTCATTTCTGCTCTTCTCTGCCCCACCACCTCTTGTGCCCTCCGAACGGCCTGCCAATCCGAGTGCATCATACCCTACCACCCTCTTTTTTAAGATTATTTTATTTTGCAGCTTTACCCTGCTTTGCCTTTCTTGCCAACTTTTCTTTTTGTGAAAAAAAAAAAAAAAATAATAACCTGTTCCTTAGCGCTGTGGGCCGCTAAAAACAAAACAGTTCTCTTTTTTATCCGCTTAAACTCCTGTCACTTTGGGTTGGCTGACTCGTTAGTGGAAGCCGTATTCCTGCCGGGGGCCCCCCAGCCTTATTTCTGGCCTCTTCTCCAGCTTTGAACCCAAAACCCGTCGTCGCTACAACTACCGCTGGTTTCCCCTCCCCTTTCCTTGTCCCCATTTTTGTCCTTTACCCTCCTTTCAATGAGCACTCTATCTGCTCTCGACAGGCACCGTGAAGGATCCAATCATACATTTGTCACTTCTCCCAACTCCTATATCCATTTAACTTCAGGCGGCTCTGACTATCGTTCATCAACTACCATTTCTGCATCTCGCTCCAGTCGCCGCTCTCTTGCTGCAATTGCTTTGGAAAAGACATCCCAGGCATTCAATAGCTTCACAGCTTCCCTTGCCGCGCCACAAACAGGTCCCTCTGTTCGTAATCCCCCCTCACACACCAACTACCAGAAGCCGCCAGCACGAAATACCCCGTCTCCTGCGTTAAGCTCCTGCAACATCTTTGAGGATAGAGCCAACGTCCAGAACAGTGACAGCAACAGTAGTGCAGGTGGTCGAGGAAGCGGTGATAGCGGACCTAGCTCTGGTACTGGCGGTGTGAACAAGGAGGACTTACGCCTGTCAATTCACTCGTTGCGCAGAGGCTCTGTTGACAACCTCACCATAACCACACCTTCCCGCCCAACGACTCCTAGTACCGTAGCATCTCCTAGCCAACAGACCCTCCCACCTACTGCGCCTCGACGATATACTCTTCAAGGTAGTCAACGGAATCCACCGCTGCTCAACAGCCCTTCTGCACCTGAAGACGATTCGGATCCGGCCATGTCAAGTGGCAAGATGCACCAAACTTCTTCGCGCTTGCTGCGAATGACCAGCAATGAGCGGCCCTTCACCAGAGATTTTAAAGACCTCTTCTCGACGCTGATAGTCAGTCTGAAACTCGAGACTCACCGTGTCCGTTTCTCCAAATTTGACCACACTTTTACGTCAGAGGAGGCCATCAACAATCTCGGTTCCCTAAAGTTCTCACAATCGAATCGTATGCCAGACCCTAAAGATCCCTCACGCATTGTCACAACCACTACAACTACGACATTTTCCATGGCAAAAGAAATGGCCCGTTCTGTATGTCAGCGGTTTGTAGATGCTAGATTCATCGAGCCAGTAGACGGAAGGATAAGCAATCAATTCCCCCTCAAGGGCGCGCTTTTTCACTTGACCCCGAAGGGAATTCACATCCTGCAGCGATTTTGCCAGAGAAACGGCATCACTGCCAGGCACATCATGGATGTACTCGAATCTCCCAGAAATACCATGCAGCTGGTTATATTAGAACGGGAGAGTTCTACTGATCATATATCTCACGACCGTGCCACAATCGAGGTTATTTTCCGTCGGTTTGCGGGGCAGGACGGCCCTAATATCAAGTCGTCCGCTTCGACTTCGGATTCGGACTCCGTCAGTGACTACACCAACGGACTTGTAGGCGTGAAAATGGCGAAAGAAAGGAAAGTCGGAGATAAAGTCATTCAGAATTCATTTACCGGGAAAGCAGCGGTGGATTGGCTGATGGACTGCTGCACCACGATAGACCGTCGAGAAACAGTCGAGATTGCAGCCTTGTTTGTTAAACACGGGTTGATGTACTCTGCCTTTGAGGACAAGAATTATGTCCAAAATAACCCAGATGCGGCAGCTTTCCAACCCACCAAGTATTCTATCTATGCGCTGACTGAACGAGGGCAACGTATCTGTGGATGGATCGCGAGAGAGAAGCCGCTGGTCACGACTTTCGACGGCCGCGCTGCACCCCGAGATTCGAACAACGCCCGTTTGAATAACATCTTGCAAGATCCTGCGTTGCGATTACTGTTCAGGGAATTCCTGCGTTATTCCCTTTGCGAGGAGAACCTGTCTTTTTATCTTGACGTTTCTGAGTTTACAACAACTTACCACCAGCAAGAAAAGGCTGGTGCATTTGCGAAGATGGATGCCGTTCGAGAAACTCTTGCTAGTGCATATGGTGAGTTTATAGTATTTAGTTATGTTTTCTTATTATTTCTGCAGTATTCTCATCACTTTGACTTTTTTTTTTTTACTTTTTTTTTTTTTTTTTTTTTTTTTTCCAATTCGTGGTTTCGTGGTTTCATGCGTATCAACACATTTTCAGTAAACTTACAAAGATTGCAGGCTTATACAACGCCTTCCTTGCCCCTGGGTCTCCTTGTGAACTCAATATTGAACACGCTCTACGGAATAGCCTCGCCAGCCGTATGACGCGAGCCGTTGGAGATGATGCCTCTATGCTCAAAAGCTTAACTGAAGTCGTTAGCCTTTTCGAACTTGCTCAGGTTTCTGTCTTCAAACTCATGTCAAGCGTAAGCACTCTTCTTGTTTTTTTTTTTGTTGTTGTTTGGGGGCTGGGATGTTCTGTTTGCTCTCTCTCCCGACCTTCGCTTTTCAGGCTTTCTTTTTCTTGTAACCGAAAGACTAAGTAAAATTAAAACTTGATTCGATGCAGGACTCCGTCCCAAAATTCGTCCGAGATCCAAAATATGCTGTCGTTTTGCAGGAACATGATTTCGATCCCAACATCACTGGAAAGTCGAACTCGCCGGGTGCCGCCCCTATTCCAGAACGCTCCATGAGCCGGTCCACCAGATCGTAAAGTTTTTTCAAGATCGACCAATATATTTTGTAAGACCCGCCAACTCCCCTCTCTCCCGCCTTGTTTGCATCCATATCCGGTGTCCTGGATTTTTTCGGTCAACAATCAGCCGTCTTCCCGCCGTTTTCGATTTTAGAACCGTTCATACAGTGGTTCCCCGAAAAGAGAAAAAAAAAGAAAAGAAAATAAATCCCAGCCCACCCCGTATTATTGTCCAAATTCCAGATTACGATGTCTCATTCATCGCCATGTCTCAACAAGAAAAAAAAAAAAAAAAAAAATACTCTGTAAAGCGAACAAGCGGAAAATAAGAACCGAAACGAAGCGAAACGAGTCGAATGAATGAAAGCAAAGAAATCAACAATAAAAAAAATGAAAAAAGAACAAAAAGAAAACCAAAACACATGGTTCACGCTCCTCTCTATCTCACCGTGTAATAAATTTTCTTCATAGCATCGTTTCCTTCCCACCCCTCCTTCCAGTCTTGGGCCATTTCCATTTTTTTAACTGGTCTCCAGCGGATGATTGACTTGAAAACGATATATATCTCTCTATACATACATTTTTGTCTATCTTCTATTTTCTCTCTTCTTGGTTGGCTATAGTCATAATTAACCCCAATATTTATTCCTTTCTTTTTTTCCCATCGATTCAGCATATTGGGAGTTTATTTCTTTTCGTCGTTTCATTTCTCATATATTTCTTTCTATGTGAAAGATACTTTTGGGGAGGGCGGGGGGATTCCTTTTTAATGTATGCCTTCTTGAATCTTTTTTTCCTTCTCTATCATCACATCGTTTCATGGTCATTGGTTGTCATTTTGTCACTTTTTGTCACATCTGCGCATGGCATGAATATCGCTTTTGATCTTCCTCCATCGTTTCATCTACTATTTGTTTATTTATTTATATATTTTTGCGCTATTATATCTGATATCACCATCTACATATAATATTGGCTTGTTGATTTAAGTTTTGTTTTCTCTCTCTTTCTCCCTTTTTCTACCTACTTAAACTATTTATATTTTCATAAACTTATCCTTTTCTCCTTTCTCCACCTATATATGTCCTTATCCATTCATTATCGACGCTAGATATCATGATATCAACTTCTCCGTTTTTTCTTCTCGCATCATTTCTGAAGCGCGGTGCTTAAACCATGTATTGCTTTTGGCTTTGATTTTACAGCCGTGCTTATTGATTTATTTACTTTATTTCCCATTTTCTACGCATTTTCTTGTATTTCTGACATACTACTTACTACTATATACCATATCATCTCGCGCTATACTACCTATCATATATACATATTACCAAAGCATAGGACCCGGCAATAAAAGGGGGTTTGTGAATACGAATATGACTTGCTTCCATCGCTAGCTACAATGCTAGTTACAATGCCTGTCCAAGGTACAAGATGCCTTCAGAATTCGATTCTATTGCATCTTCCCCTTTATATACATCTATATTTTAAGCTGCTAATAAATAAAATGGCATCGATTGCGGTTAGTTGAAGAAAAAAAAAAAAAAAAAAAAAAAAAAAAAAAAAAAAGGCTAAGGACTGTATATAAGGACTGTATATTCCCTTTGTTATCGTCTAACTAGCTATCTAATACAGGATATTTATGAACCCCTGAAACAAAAATAAAAAATAAAAAGGACAAAATGTAGGAGGGAAGGAACAAAGGACAAAAAAGGGTCCGGTGAAAAAACTAACAACGGGACAGGGTAGGAATTATGATAATTTCATGGTATAATGGTACACAGATCTTAGAAAAAGCGAACTAAATGCTTCAGGTTGAAAAGGAGAAACAAGGGAGACCCCCCTCCCACCCCCCCCCCCCCCCAAAAAAAAAAAAAAAAAAAAAAATACATTTCCCATTTGCCACACGAAAGACCTAGGACGGTGAAAACTCTCAAGTGAAACGAGACGAAAAAAAGGAGAATCACTTTCCCCCACCCCACCCCCTGACTCTCATCCCTTCCTCAATCGCCATCCAAATCCCCTCCACAACCCCCCTATCCCTCCAGCGCCCACTAGACCCAACAGCCGCAGCGCCAGCGCCAGCACCACCAGAAGCACCTCCCACCTCACCAGCACCGGCACCGGCGCACGCAGCAAGATTCGCACTCTTCTCATCCCAGCGATCAATGGCAAAACTCTTCACGCCGCGGCCCCACCCCTTCACCTCCCGCGGCACCTCCTCCCCCCTCCACCCGACATAAATGCCCGTGGCGTGCTTGAACAATTCCGGCGGCGACGACCATTTGTATGATTTAAACTGCCACGTCTGGCCGGTGGTGAAGACGGCGACGACGCGGTTCCAGTAATCGGGCTTGAAGTCCGCGGGGCTGTCGACGAGGATGAAGCGGGTGGGTTTGTGGTGGGCGTGATTGCTGGCGCCGGGGGTGGAGGAGGTGGAGGGCGGCTTTGTGCCGCTGCTGCTTGAGGAGGGGTTTGGGATGGTTTGGAGGGTGCGGAGGATGTGGAGGAGGTTGGAGGCTGTGGAGGTCGCGAGGGTGGGGTGGTCTGGTGGCACATAGACACCGTCTTCGAGGAAGGATTTGATGTTTGACATTCGGAGGAGGGAGGAAGCGGAGGGGGAAAGGAGGATGATGGGGTATGGGCGGGAGGAGGAGGAGTTTGTAGAGGAGGGTGGGGCAGGCTGTTTGATTAGAGACGCGCCGCTGGGCATAGATGTCGATGCGGCTTTCATGCCCGGCTTTGCCATGTTTGCTTGTGCATGTTGGCCTGGGCGCGAGCGATTGCGGCCCAGGAACATCTCGGCGGTTTTTCGCACATGGGAGAAGTCCTGCGATGGGAATGGGGAATCATCAGTGCCGGAGTTAAAAGGAATTTGGAAAAACATAGAACGAAAAAAAAAAAGAAAAGAAAAGAAAAAAGAAAAAAGAAAAAAGAAAGAGAGAATATAACCCACTGTAGGCTTGATCCCCCTCAACACGCTGTTCCGATCTCCCATTTTACGTTCCCCGTTATAAATCTCCTGCAAGCGCGGGTCAACAGTTCGAACCGGCCTGCCCCCAATACCAGCTCCAGAAACAGCCGATGCTTCCCCAACAGTCCCCGACGCAACCTTGGTCGAACTCTCCGCCGCGCGCGCGGCGACACCAACACCAACACCCGCACCCGCACCCGCACCCGCACCCGTAGTGCCCGTCCCAACTTGTCCCACGGCCGAACCACCCACACCCACGCCCTCTAACGGACGAATGTATTCACTATCCTCTGAGGCGCCTTCCAACCACGTAATAAGATCCAGCCTTTCCACAAATACCAAATTCAGCACCTTGTCCACCTCCTCCTCCCCTTTCTTCCCGTCCCTTTTCCGCCGCTCTTCAATGCCTTCATTAACCGCCTGCGCACTCGCGATATACTCCGGAATCGCCACATCCTTTTTCAGCCAGGCAAAGTATATACTGCGCAGATCTATGGGGATATTCCCCGCGGCGGCGGAAATGAAGCGGGTGGGTGTTGAAAGAGGGATGCATTGTGATATGGCAGGGAGGTAGAGATGCGTAGCCACTGTAAGGTCTGTAGTCGTGTCTGTAGGTGTAGCGGAGGTGAGGAGGACTGGTTGGCCAGATGATGACACAGATAAGGAGAGAGCACCGCGGAGGGAGAGGAGAGGGTCAGTTATGGTGGGATTTGTTGGTTGTGTTGCCATTGTGGTAGATGTGGTCCGTCGGCGACCTGGCGCGTGAGGTGTGCCGAAGTCGACAGCTTTGTAGCGTGCTTTTATTTATATGAACTTCGTGGCCGGCCTTCAATTCGGTTCGGGTCAATGTAGATTGTAGTGGTATATGGAGCTGTGTATGTAGCTGGGTTGAGAAATTCAACGGGATAGCAGCCCTGGATTACATAATCAGAACATCGCCCACTCACCTGCTCCATTCCTAGCATCCATCTCTGATTGTTCGAGATAGCGGACTTACCTGCTGCCGGCTCGCCTCAATAGGTCCTGCCATGGCGTCCATTGCCCGTAGTGAGCCGACTGGGACATCGCTAGGGCAAGTCCTTGATTTTCTGCACCGCCTTTCACCTAGCTGAGCAGGCTCAGGCTGATGACATCTTCAACCAAACTCATTACTTACTGCGAGCCATTGCAGAGGAGCAAACCCTATAAGAAGGCCACCCTGGTCCGTGTGACGTACGAACATTGCCGATCAAAAAGTGTGTTTCTGCAACAGATATTTACCTATTTTGATGGGCTCCAAGATCAAAGCCAAGGACAAAACCCAACGTTTGAACATGGCCTGTCCAAATTTCTCAGTTTCAGTTCCCAAACTGTGCTAGAGAGGGAGAGGGAGAGGGAGACAGAAATGATGATGGATTCCTTTGCAGATTATCTTTTTGATAACTTCTTTCTTCCAAGTATGTACTGTACATACATACACTCATTTCCAGCCTTTTCTATGCTCTTTTTCACTCACCTAGTTGATTTAGTGAAGGCAGTGGGAGCAAAGACACCACAGCCAATTTCGGCCAGTTTCTCAGCTCCTCCAATTGAAAATGCTGTTGGAACACCTGCAAGATTATCCACGCTCAGACGTGATTGCCTGGCTCGGGATCATAACCGATGCGTGATTACACGGGCGTTCAACCTAACTGAGGCTATTGAGAGAGAGAAGCAGGACCCTTCAAATTTCAAAGATGATGACGGCCTTCCTTTGGAGCGTGAAGAGTTTGCATTGCTTGAGGTTGCACATATTATCCCTCACTCCATCATGTCAGCAACGATCGTTGATGGCCAGCCACAGCTAGTATGTGAAAAATCCATGCTGCTCCAGGTTGAAATCCTGCAACTTTGATTATTAACTTTCTTGCAGAGCGAATCTAAGAATCAACATGTTCAACCCAGGCATCATTCATCTGATCGAGGGCCTGAATATCGACCAGCCGAGCAATGCACTTACCTTGACAACTGAAGCCCATTCATTCTTTGGGCAGTTTCAACATGTATTTTGAATCCATGGACGACTACTCTGCTGATTCTAGACATACTTACACAATCCGTTCTTTCGACCGTTTATCCTCACGCCAGTTCAGACTCCCAGTGACGCGAACTCTACTCCTCTCGCCAAATCACACAATCGATCCCCCATCCCCAGAACTACTCGCGCTCCATCGGCCAATCGCTATTATTCTTCATCTGAGCGCCGCTGGACAGTACATTGAGAAGATAATCGACGAGCGTGACCAATTATGGGCAAGAAACGACGGCTCCACAGAATTAGGCCACATTGTTTCCCTGGGTCTGGGTGGCTGGGTGGCTGGGCGGCTGACTGGTTTGACAAGCTGACCGTTTGACGGGAACGGGAGCAGTGAGGCGAAGGCGAAGACGAAGGCGAATGAAGAGAATTAATGCAACAAATAGTAAATCATGAAGAAGAAAAAATAGAAAGAAAAAATAGAAAGGACCAGCGAGAGGAGAACGGCGACAAAACGGAAAAAAAAACCTCGACCTCGCCGTATCTAAGGTAGGAGGATATCCTGTCTCGGCCCTTTCCCTCCCACGGGTGCATATCGTCATCAATAATACGCACAGCGATGGGGGGAATGTAGCCAACGCAAGGTGGGCAGGCCTAACTAACTTCCCCCCCGCACATACGATGTCGTTGCGAAGGAGAAGCAGAATCAAAGAAGAAGAAGAAACAAAACCTTCAACAAGAAAGCAGAGGAAGCGGCAAAATGCAAATAACAATATATACACATGTATATGTATATTTAATTGAACCTTGAACCTTGAACCTGTGGCCGGCGCTGGGGATATATAGTTATGTACTGGTAGTTAGTTAACCTAGTTAGTTAACCTCCCCCTTACCTAACCTTTAACCTTTAACTAACCTTCAACCTTTAGTTATCTATCGTTATCCGTCCGCAAAGTCGAGCCGAGTCGAGTCGAGTCGAGCATTTATTATCTATTATCTATTATCTATCACCATACGCTGCGATTCATCGGCGAGTTGTTTGTTATTTATTCTTCTCTGCCGGCTAAATTATATATATATATATATATATATATATGTGTGTGTGTGTGTGTGTGTGTGTGTGTGTGTGTGTGTATACTCAATCCACGGTTCGTCCACGGAGGGAACAAGGAAGGAAAGGAGAGAACGAGAACGAGGAGAGAAAGAGGAGAGATTATCAAAAGAATGACTAGGCGGGGAGCTGCTAGAGCTACGGCGACTACATACATACGTTCGTTCGTTCGTTCGTTCGTAACAGCCTGATCTGATTGATAGCTGAGGAAGAACAGAGGGGAGGGATGTATACGTATGTATATGTGGAAGTAGTTGACAAAATATTTTTTGTCTTTTGGAAAAGAAGAAAAAAACCTTTACTCTCACTCAACTCAACATCAACAACTAGAATAATAACTAGCAAGCTACCTAAAAAAACAAGCATGAGAAAGATAAAAAAGAAGAAAAAGAAGAACAAGGAAAACAAACTCCTCCGCCCCAACAAAGAAAGCCCAACCCATTTCAAGAAACCAGACAACGAAAAGGGAAAAAAGCTGAAAGAATTAAAAAATAAAAAATAAAATAATAAAGAAAAATAAAGAACAAAAATAATGACAGTGATTTGAATTATGTAAAAACAAGAAGAGAAAAGAAAAAGGTAACCATGACAAAAATGAAGCAAATAAACCCCATAAAACTTTATCGGGAATGATGCTGTAACCTTGGGTCCCTTGATCCCATCGCACCGGTAGGAGTAGTAGTAGTAGTAGTAGCACCAACGTTATTGTTATTAAAACCATGATTCCCACCATGCAACGACGCAGTAGGTGTAGGGACAGTTGGAGTCATCATAGTCGGCGACGCCAGTAGACTGGAACTGACACCGACACCGACACCACCGCCAGCACAAGCAGAAGCAGAAGGCGCAGACGAAGTGTCCACCCCCGCTTCCTGCATAACTACATCTTGAGTCGTGCCGCCACCACCTAAACCGTCTTTTCTATCTACCGAAGCCATAACCTTATCTTTATCTTTATCCATGGGACTCTGATCTTGATTTTGATTCTGAGTCTGGCCATTATTGCCTCCTTGCTGTGGCTGCTGCTGCTGCTGCTGCTGCTGCTGTGGCGTCGATAATCCTTGACCCGCTGAAAACAAAGGAGGCTGCGGCTTCTCAGTCGTCGGCGTCGTTAACGTCATCGTACCGCGCCGGCTCATATAATCGCCCAGGCTAAGCTTTTTCTTCACGGGACTAGGAGCGGTGGTACTAGAGGCTGGAGGTAATCCGGGTGTTGAGTGGTATGTGCTTATAGGGGTGGTAGCTGTGGGAGTGGGAGTAGATTTGGCCAACATGTGTGGAGATTGGGTTGGGAGGATTGGCGTTGAGGAATTTGTGGTGTTTGTTGACGGACTGGGATAGCTAGAGACGGGCATCATCGTCGGGTTGGGAAGTGATGAGGTGAAAGGAGGTGTAGGACGTAATTGAACTCGTAGGTCTCCTCTACGTAGTCTGTCTGGCGGTTTACGCGGCACCGGGAAAGTATGAGCAACGGTTGATGGCAACGGGTGAGGTGATTTGTTGGGTGAAGCGTCAGAGGATATATGCAAAGAAGACAATGCGGTTGATGTACCAGGTGACGGTGGGACCATAGCATGTTGAGTAGTCTTGGGTGGCGTTATCGGCGGATCTGCGTCCTTCATGTCGACATCTTCCCGAGTGTTCAGAGGAGAGCTGGTGACGGTGGAGTGCGCGTCTGGTATCGAAGGCGTGGTGGTGGTGTTGTTGTTAATACATCCTGGCGATGCATTTGTTTGGTTGGCCATTTGCCGAAGTCGCAGTAAGTCTTCATGACACCGTTTAAAAAGCCGTGTTTTCAAAGGAACGAAGCTAGTTCGCCGTGGAGGTTTGGGTGGTATGAAGTCCGGATCATTCTCGTCTGGTTCGGTCTGCATTTCCGAGTCGACATAGTGTGGGCGGCGAAGGGGGGAGCCGACCATGGGTGTGTTTGATCTCGATACCTTCATTTGAGTTTGCGACTTTGAGCCTGGGGCACCAGACGCAGGTGAGCGTTTCCGGGGAGAAGTAGAAAATCGATGAGCAGCAGTGGTAGTGTCTATGCGTAGAGGTTTTTGGAGCGATTGTGAAGCCTGTTTTTATAATTAAAGGTTAACGAGTGTCCGCTGTTACCGGTTTTACAGAGAATACGGGAACTTACGCCTGTCGTAGCAGTAGTACCGGCAGAGGTACCAATAGATCGCTTTTTCTTCCTCGGAGGCTGTTGCTGCTCATGTTCAAGCTGCTCGAATTTCTTCTCAGCCGCCGCAATCTTCCTTTTCTCTCGTGCAGAAAGTTCTCCGGACATCGAACCTAGTGGGTCGGCGGGACTATGCGCTGTTGGGGTTAGATCTCGACTCCGCGGGCGATTTGATGTAGACCTTGACCGAGACTCCCCTTGATCGTCATCCACTTGGGCCTTAACGGTTTCGCTCGCAGCTCGACTGTTATTGGCTTGGCCAGTGTTCACGGGAGAAATGGTATTTTTAGCCTTGCTCTTTTTCCGTCTCCCATTTGCCTGTTTCGAGGAAGGTTCCGCGCTCTTTGGAGGTCGTCGACAGTCGACTTTCGCCAGACGACAGGTTCGCGAAGAGTCACAGGCACAGCCACCAAAGTTTGCTAGAACATTGCTTATCGAGATCGCAGCAGCGTCAGAGATGCCATCGTTGGACCCTTCCTGTTTCACAAAGCCATTGTTGGAGGGAAACATTTGCGGGTCGAGGTACCAAGAGGTTGTTATTTCCGATTTGGCGGAAATATCCTGGTTCGCCACAAAGCAGAAATGGTATTCGATGTTATTCGTGATGACGGTTTTCATAGTGACATTTGGGCGACACGATCGTCGAACATAGCGTAACTGAGAGCCTTCTTTGCGACTGTCGATATATATAGGAAGCTGAGGGTGGAAGAACACGAAGGGTTCGGGATGGCGCAGCTCCTGCCAACGGCTATTCGGGTCAAGGCAATAATCGCGGAAATGGCCGACTTTCCCCTTCACTTCTCCAATGATCTCATCCTTATGGACATCGTTTTCCACCGTCAGGAACCGCCATGTAGGGTGTCGTTTGTCATATTCAACGCTGTTGTCAGTCATGACTTGTTTGGAGAGGACTGGCCACTGCGAAGGGTCGAGTGGACGATCCAAATACATAAAGACTTCATTCGCGGAGCGACCGTTGGAAACAAGGGCAAGCTGGGCAGGATCCTGTACCCAGGACGACAGATCGGTTGCTAGTTTCAGATTATCGAATAGATTGCTAGGGATATCCACGTTCGCCTGGTCATGATCGTACAGGTGGAGGAACTCTTGGGAATAGAGGGGGATATTGGGGATGAAGGAGGTTTTGGTAGGGCTCATGGCTGACGCTGACGCTGACGCTGACGCTGACGTTGACGTCGCCCGCTTTCGACCGTCCGAACCAAGTGGAAGAGGAAGGCCCGTGAGCGAGGTTATAGAGTTGGATGTGCGATGGCTGGTCTTTGACTTCTTCGCGGGAGGAGGGCCTCCCTTTTCGTGGGAGGAGAAGCCGTTGGTTTGATCGCCAGCACCACCGGTCGCAACAAGGGTGGTGGTGGTGATGGTCGTGGTGGTGCTACTGTTACTGGCGTTATCCTTTGCGGCTATAGCCTTCTTCCTATGGGACTTGGAGCCGGATCGCTTGCTCTTTCGGTCACCGCCATCGCTCTGCTCGTCCCTGCGCCTTCTCTGGAGCTCTGTGGCAAGTTTTGAGTCGAGAGGCCTCGGTTCGCAATCAGCACAGTTGTGGACTTCGGGGACATCTTCGCCGTCGTAGTAGCATAAGATGTGTTGCCAAGTCTCACAACGTTCGCAGAACACGGTGTGGCCATCGTCGTCTTCAAAGGTACATATGCACTTGATGGTATAGGGCTCATCTTCGTCATCCTGACCGGATTGCTGCGCGACGGCGTTATTGGAACCATTTAGAACCGGAGAGGGAATAACAGGAGAGGGGAGCGGCGAAACGGCGACCGGGGCAGGGTTGGCTGTCGAATGCGTGGCTGCGGGAGAGGAGGTATCTGTCATAATCCGACAGCGTACCTCCCCCAGAACACGATGTTGGTGCTCAAGAAACGATCCGTCGATCGGATTGGAAACGTGGGTGATGGAAGTCTGATGGGGAGGAGTAAGAAGAGGTGGTGGTGGTGGAGCGAAAATGTTGTCCTTTGATTCCAGAGCCACTCGCGCAAATTTTCCCAGTTGGTGTGTTGGCTCCGATCGACGAACCAAGTCATCAACCAGGACCGTTACACCACGAGACGGAAATCACTGAAATGAGAGAAGTCAAGTTTACGTATCGAGGGAGATCAGAAGATAAGAAGCAAGACAAAATCCAGTAGGGCACTCAGGGTGACGGGGGGGGGTTGGGGAGGCAAAAGAGATCGAAGGGGGGAAAAAAAAAAAACTATGTGTCCCAGAGATGAAGCAATATTGACTTTGTTGGGTGGCTAAAAACGATGGAAAACCATCAATTTTTCGATGGATTTTCGATGATTCGAGTGACGAAAAATATACGAATGAACGGGACGCGCTCGCGATGGAAAAGGACTATCGAGGAGATTACAGGCGGAAGGGAACAGTCGTAGGATACCTGGAGGAGGCCACGTCGACGACTAACTAGTTAAGAAGGAAGGGGAGTGGAGGAGGCGGAAGGCAGGAGATGGCGCGCATTTGAAAGAAGAGGCGGAATCGAGGATAGACGGCAAGGAGGAGAGAAGGGAGAGTATCCTCGCGGGAGAGTGAGAGAGTGTGTGTGCGTGTGTGTTGATGGTCGAAGGACAGGAGATGGGAGGATGGCGTGGAGAGGAGAGGAAGATGAAACGGGGGAGCCGGGTAGGCGGCGGGAGGGAGCAAGATAGGAGTGGGAGGAACAGGCGGTAGGTCGGTCGGGCGGTCGGGCGGTCGAGCGGTGGCGGCGGATGGAATTAGACCAGAACAGAAAAGGAGGAAGACGGCGGGGAGGGAGCGTGAGCCATGGATCGCAGAGGATCGCAGAGGAGGAGGAGGAGGAGGAGGAGGAGGAGGAGCGTTGAAGCGGGAGAGGTGTTGGGCTGGGTAGGACTGTGGACTGTGGACTGTGGACAGAAGCAGGAAGCAGAGGGAAGTCTGGGCTGGCAGAACTCAACTCTTTCTCGAAATTCAGCGAAAAACCTGACTAAACGGGCAATGGCCGCGCTAGTCCCGGTTGGGCCGGGGCTGGGGCCCGCGCCTGCAGCCGCTAGCTGTATCGGGGTTAGCGCGGACTTGGCACTCCCACCTTTGAGGCCTCCAGGCAAGCGTTGCTCCAAGCGGGAGGAGGAACAGAGATATTATCAGATGGCAGAACAGGTTAGATTAGCAATGCCGGTGTGTGATACCCTGTGTGTGTGTGTTCGTGGTCATTATTAGTATTGGGGCGACGGATGGGCATTGGTCGCCTGGTGGGAGCTTGTTGGGTTGTGCCCCTCCGTCCGACCAGCAGAAAAGGGAGGAATGAGGGGGGACAGCTAGCTATTGCTCTGAGTCGCTGTTCGCTGCTCTCCCTGCTCCGGTCTCGCTGCATGTGGTCTGTCGCTGCTTGCTGCTTCCTGGTCGAGGCTGCGAGAATGACAAGGAAGAGAGGAGGTTCGAACGAACGCGCGCTGAAATGATCTGCATGGCCTCAAACGCACGCACCGTTTCACGCCCTTGTCAGCCTTGAGAAGAAGTTGAGTTTAAGCTTACCCCCAAGAGTAGTGCTGTCTTGTCCTGTGGGTTGGAGGCTGAAGATCGAAGAAAATATCTTTTAAAAAATTCAATTAAAATAAATTCAATTAAATGGTTTTTAAAAAAAAAAAAAAAAGGGGGAAAAAGGAAGGAGGAAAAAAAAAGGAAAGCGAAAAGGAAAAAGGGAAGCCGGTCAAAATCCATCATCAATGCATATTCTTTCTCCAGAGGGTAGCAATGGGCTACATCGGTATCCCCCCCCCCCCCCCCCCCAACCCGGGTCCAACGCTCACATCATACGAAAGCGGGACTGCCTGACTGTAGTATCCAACATGGTAGTTGTAATATTCTGTCACCTCTCGTCTCTGTGAGGAAGCAGGGGAGAGAAGAGGAGAAGGGTCCCGGCGGTTAGGATTTAGAGAGACAGTCCTGTTCTGCTGCAAATGCGCCCGCTTGAGGTTCCCCCGGCCCGGCGCCCCTCTTCCCACCCCACTACCTACTATACCTGGAGCCCATCATCCCTTCTGCGACGCTCTCTGTAGGTTCAAGAATATCGCTCTGTCATGAAAACAGTGCTGGGTGCAATTAGTAATAATAATCTCCGGGGGCTTGCTGCAATCCTTCTCCGGCTGTGATTAGTGTCATGCAGGAAGTGCATTTGATGACTGCCCACAAAGAGAGAGATGTTCGGGGATATTTTCGGGGGGATTTTCTCTCTGTCCCTCTCTCTCTCTATGGGTGAGAGCGTTATGTTAGTGAGGATGTTGCTGTCTTTTCCCTCTCCTTGTTAGGCTGGTCGGAGATATATTAGGTAAATCAGAAAGGGTTTGGTGATTTATTTTTTGCGGAGGAAAATAAAACGAAAGGGGTGTATAAAAGAAATCTAAAATAAAAATAAAAATAAAAATAAAAATAAAAATAAATTCTTTTCAGAAGATAACATGGTGAAGTTGAAAAGTCGACAGGGAAAGAATTGACAGAAGGCAGCTGTCTGTCGGTCGGTCTGGCTGTCTTTCTTTCATTTATACCACTGTTATTTCTTGTTCCTCAGTCTGTACAAAGAGTTTCATAGTTAGTAGAGGTTAGCAGAGAGAAGACCAAATATTCTCTGACCAAAAAAAAAAAAAAAAAGAAAAAAAAAAAAGAAAAAAAGAAAAAAGAAAAAAGGTTAGAAAAAGAGGAACAATAAAGGAAGAAAAGAGATCAAGAAAAAAAAAAAAAAAAAAAGGAAAACTAACTAATACAGTGCCTTCTCCGTTGCCTCAATCGCGGTCCCATTCTGTCGATCCTGCCGGAGAACAGCGCTATACCCATTGGCCAGAGAGCAAAGGGTGCGTATAAGTTGGTAGATAACAGAGGGAAAAGAAGGGCTACCTATGGTTTGTTAGGGATAATACATCATAGGTAAGAAAATGGGCTGCTGGGTTTCAGTTAGAGAAGTATATATATATATATATATACATATACATATTCATCCATCCGTCTATATATATAAAGCATACGGGAGGAGTAAAGGGGAGGATTGGGGTTTTTTATATACTCTAATCCATGGTGGATGTTACTCCGGACCAGACTGAGACACCGGCCCGCCGAATCGTAGTTGTTCGGGGGGAGGGAATGAGCTGGTTCATCCGGTACACAATCTCCATCTTCGCGTGAAGAAAAGGAAATGAATAAAAAGAGAGGAAGGGAAGAAGAAAAAGCAGAGGAAGAGGAAAATGAAGAAGAGGAAGATGATGAAGAAGATGAAGCTAAAGATGGGAGATTGGCCAAATGCAGGGAGCAGGGAGCAGGGAGAAGGGCGTTCGGCGCTGACTGGTCTGATGTAGAAGAAAGAAGAAAATGAGGCAAAACAGGCGCGAGGCACCGGTGGACTCGACCAAACCATGGGTTCGGCAATTTCTTGACCAGATCTATGTATTTACTATTTACATACTGCACTAGTTAGTACCTGCACGGGTGCATGGGTATTCGGGGAAAGGGGATAAAGAGAGTATTGTAATACCTTCTCCCCATGTCGTCTGTATATATCGGAAGTGGCCTTATAAGGAGACAAGTGGAGGTTGGAAGAAAGAGAGAGCGATGGGGGGGAATGATACGGAAGAAAAGACTCAAGCAAGGAATATTTATTTTTGGTCCTTTGACTTGGTAGAGATCAGATACCGGACCGAAAGACAGACAGATAGACAGACGCATTTCTTTGCCTCCCGCCCCCCCTTATCATTTTCCCCACTGGGTAGCCTTCCGGTGGGTGCCTCCACAACAATACATAGCAATGTGCGGTGTGGAGTAGATGTGATGGAACCAAATGGAACAGTCTGACGATATTATTGTACTGTACATATATATATAACTTCCATCTTCATTCCCGCCAGAATTTGCCCACGGGGCACATCCACGCCGCCGCACAGGTGTCCGCGTTGGTGTGGCTGGTATCCCGTTTGGGGATGATGTCACCCGTCCATGGCGAACTAACTGGTCAACCAGTTTTAGTTCTATAGTTAGACTTCTTTTTTGGGGAAATGTGTGGCTCTCTTTTCTTGCTTTCTATTTTGGTGCTGCCTGCTTAAGCTTATGTACTGTACGTTTAAAGTTGAAGATTCATGCTATTTTCCCTCCCAGCTGTAAGGGACTGTTGAAGTATCCGCAGCTCGCATGCACTGAGTACCGCGGATACCGGAACCCAAAGCTTGCCCCAAGCGCACGGTCAAGGTCACTCTGGGACGTATAAAAACCAAATTCAAAAACAGGTCTTAATTGAACCATCTCAACTGAATCAGCTCGCTGCTGAACGCCGTTCACGGTCTGCCTCACTAAATACATAACTGCAAAGGTGAGCTTGTTTTGAAAGTATATTGCCGTCAACAAGGCCGGTCAGGTCTTTTTTTACCAATTTACGGACTGTGATAATAAATAAATAGCTAGTTATGTCTTTTTAAGGGGGTCGCGAGGAAATAGCAGAAAAAAAAGGTTTCTCCCAACTACCCGCGCCTTTTTCTTCTCCTCTTAACATCTAACAACTTATCTCAAGAGAGCCCTTTTCCTTGCGTCTTTTTTTTTTTTTTTTTTTTAAAGTGTGGGCCCCCTCCCAAAATAAGGCCGTCCCTTTTGCATCCCTACGCTGCGAAGGTCACGGCAGATAGTCTCCCACAAACCTCGAGCGAATGGTTCCCCCCTCCCCCCCCATTGCTCGTCGCGTGACCTAATCACGATTATTCTGTGGGATTGTTAATCTTCTCATTGTTGTGTGGTCACTAGCTAACTATATAGGGGTAATCATGTGCGGTGGAGTGGCTGCCTGGGCAAATAGTGCCCAACATATTCTAGTGAACTTACGATTGGAGTTATTAGCGTCCATTCGATTATCCCCACGGGAAAAACCTTTCCGTATCCCAAGGAAAGTCAAATCATACGGGGAGGGGGGGGGGGGGGGTAGAGTGTTACCCTTTGATACTTAGACTTTACCCCTTAAAATCACTTCCCTTGCCTGCATTGGTGACGAGACGTGGAGTTTTGTGGTGGTGTTGGTGGAGGGCCCCTTAAGTCTCACTATGAACTTGTATCATCTTCAGCAGCGAACTCATTTGTATATATATACACACCCAGGCATCTAAAGGGGAAGATTTGTCAAAACGTTAGTATTTCGGGTCAACGCCCCAGGGAAGGAAAAGCATGCTTTGATGAGCGACGCTGCCTTTGGGGTTATGGCATAATCCTCAGAAAATTATGGAGATTAACTAATCTTGTTGTGTCACATATATATACCGCCGATAAGGTCCACACAGATCGAAGGTCAAGACTCTGATCAGACCCTTCATGTCTCATGGCAAGCCATTGACAAAAACTCTCAAGTGCCCATGCTCGATCTCGCAAATACAGAGGAGTGTCTAGAGATCTTCCTCTCCACCGAAGGAAGTCAATGGCTAAGAAGAAAGTATTAAAGAACTTAAGAGTCTTTCCTAAGCTCAGCGACAATGAGATTCTACTTGAGGAACTCTGAGAACACCTCAGCTGATCAGCAAAAAAGGGCATGCTTAGAAAGGGAACGGAAAAAAATAGAGGATGAGATCATCAAGCTGCAAAGGAAGCTTGGTGATTCAAGAGCAATTTTGCAGGTTCTTCAAGCAAAATCTCTCCTGACCAAGCCTATTCTTCTCCTTTCTTAAGACAATCCTGCCCACATGTCAAATCTGTGAGAATCCACCTTGATTAAGTCCTTATACAATCTAGAACACCTCTGAATAGCGAATTTGAAGAATCGTCGGGGATAACCAACCTAGCAAAAGAACACACAATCAAGTCAAAACCAGAGGGACTGCCCCGAAGCATTATACGCAATATGAGCGGGATGACTGGAGGCACTAGCGCCCGTGGCGGGCTGTTAATCTGCACAAGTAAGTCTGCACTTCGCGAAGCTATGCGCAAAGAAAAGACAAAGGCGAAACCTGCTGAGCGAATCCGGAGGAGGACGACTGGGAACCAGGAGGTGATAACTTGATACTATGTGTGCTCTCTCTATGTTTGAAGCAACTGGCATAGACGTCGACTGAAGAAAGTGGTTACCTTGAGATGTATGCAAGAAAGTAATAATAATAACAATAATAGTGCGAGGCGATCGATGTAATCGTCGCTATCCGATTCTATATGACAAGCAAATGTCAAGCTCTGGCCCTTAGAAGTGTCCCTTGCAGAAGACAATTCGATTACGGAGCCGCCGGGAAGGTTCCTGTTCTTTTCGGGATGTTTCAAACAGCCTTGCCTGCAATCCGGAGACCTCCCTGCATGAGAGAGTCGTTCATATCAAGAAGCTGTCTCTGGGATGGAGCTTCGGTTTGCGACAGTGCGGTCAATACCGTCTCTTGTTGAATCAAGGTCACTGACCCCCAGAATATTTAGCTCGTCGTCGACAACACTCGAGGGTAGTGTATGCGGATAATAATAGTCAAATATATGGGACATGTAAGAGGGTTGTGGTGATATCCTATAACTCGACCCGTCAATTTTTCTCGTCTATCTAGGGGGAGTTAGATGGGACTTGAACAGGTTGTCGTTGCTCCCGCCCCTTAGGGAGATTTGTTTAATAGTAGACATTTATTGTACTCCTCTGCCTAGTATTCCTAACTCATTGTCTGTCCTGCTTGTGGCCATACTCATGCCCTTGCCGTTGCCTCTTCACAACCTTAATAAGTTTGGGCGCTCAGCCAATATAGTCTCACTTGAAATGTGCTACTCACCCAGAGCCCTTCGAGTTTGCTTTCCTCTGAACTGATTTTCTGGTGTTTTCAGGCTGTGTAGGTGAAATCAAACGACAGAGATACAGCGAGGTGGCGAGGTGGAACTTTTTCAGTTGCTGAAATCCTCAACCAGCACCAGCCCACCGGCTCCAAAATCCAGATACCATTCCTTGAGCTAAAAAGGCATAGAAAGAAAGTCCCCCTTTTTATAAAAGAAAACCGGTCGTTCCATTCGAAGGGATATGTTCCAATCTGAATTTCCCTCCTTTGAACACGCCCGGATAGAGTCGGCGTAGATCGGGGTTTTCATGGCCAGCGTCGGAGACAGAATCGATTTCTTGGCTGGAATGCCAGGTCCAGGATCAAAGCAGTGAAAGATATGCATCGCATTCATCACCCATAGCAGAGCAAAGGAGATCGTAACGGAGCGCCATATCTAGAGGAGATATGACGAATCGCCTGGAAACCCGAACTGTAAAAATAACGGTTTTGCCGGTAACGTCGAAGCTTTTGCAAGTTTGGTTATGGTTTAGTGACAAGATTTGGTAAATGAAGGAGCAACAAATTCAAGTATTTGTGAATGCGCTTCCTCACAACCCCTGCATAAACATACAAGACTAAATCCGTAGATAGTGCATATGGAGTAGAAGCCTTGGGAAGTTGTTCCAAAGAAAAAAAAAAAAAAAAAAAAAATCTCCATCTTCATGCGATCGGTTCAGAACATCCAGGAGCTCGGGTGTTTGTTGACATGGCGTGGTTATTTTTGGGGTGCTCGATGGCGCCGATAAAACGCGTCAGGGGATGTTTAGTTTTATTTAACTATAAACTTTAGCCGCATGGCCGCTGTCATCTCCGCCCAACCACCAACCACCATGGCAGTTTCTGTCGAACAGTTGACTCCATCGCACCACCGCGGTTTCTCATCAGTGGAATAACAGTCGCCGCTCTGGACATAACCGCTTCGTTTGCTCCGGCCCCACCGCGAAACCTCGTGTTGATGTGCTCTCTCTGCATCTCTGCCGCCCTCCCCTGCTCCCACCCCCAGACGCCAAATTTCGCCAGCCGAGACAGCCACAACGAGGCGGTATTGAATACATCGCTAATCAATCCAGCCAGGAATTGCCCACCCCGGCTGCAGACTAACACGCACCTGGAGGAACGGCAAAACCTCCATCGTGGTCTCCACCCCTATCTCCGCCCCTTGGCCAACTTCAGGCAAACACCGATTTTGTGTCACTGAAGAACTTGCCTCCTTGTTCCCCTTAGTCAACCAACCCAGTGCCAGCCAACTCCGTGCCAATTATGGCATCTGCTCTGAGCAAACGCCAACAGGCGCGCAATGAGAGAGCTCTGCAGGAATTGATCAAGTCTGTCCCTGGCAATGACCGGTGCGTGGATTGTCAGGCGAGAAATCCAGGTACGTCCCATTCTCTCTGCTCCTATCTTTTGTCAAGAGATTTCCCTTCGGATACTAACTGCTTGTTTTTAATATAGGATGGGCCAGCTGGAATGTGAGTCCCTTTCCCCTCCCACCATAGCCTCTGTTTTCTTCCATCGTACAGATTCGGTTCCCCCAGCCACCCGGTCATCCCTCGTGTCTAGGACGAGAATATGAATGAATGCCTGAGTTGTTCAGTTATGTTTAAAAGCGAAGTCTAATCAATATTCATTTTGATAGCTGGGCGTATTCCTCTGTGTGCGCTGCGCTACATTACATCGCAAGTTGGGCACGCATATATCGAAGGTTAAGTCGCTGACTATGGATAGCTGGTCGTCAGATCAGGTGGATGTGAGTCGATTCTGATAACGAGGATGTCGGTACCCAGCTTCCGTACTTTCGGAATTGCTAATATTTTCAAAAGAACATGAAACGGAATGGCAACGCGGTCGTCAACAAATTATACAACCCGAGAAACGTCAAACCACCTATTCCCATTGATGTCGATGGGGTGGATTCTGCAATGGAAAGATTTATCAGACAAAAGTATGAGTTGAAGGTATTGGAAGATGGACGGCCGAAGCCCCCAAGCAGACATGATCCGAGTTATACCGCTACAAAAAGTTCCGACAGGTCACCCCCACCTCTTCCGCCGAAAACAGGAAGACGCTTAGGTTTCGGACTGCGATCCGCGTCTTACAGCAATGCCGTTTCTAGCTCGGAGAAGTCGCCTCCGGGAGAGGACTACGCGTTTTCGACGAATAGACAATCGAGAAACTTTGGAGCTAGCGTTGTGGATTCAGATGGGACATTTGGATCAAAATTAGAAGCACTGCGAGATATGGGGTTCCCAAATCACAAGCGTAATGCAACTATTCTGAGAGGCCTGAATGGAAACATGGATAAGACTATAGAATCGTTGGTTAGGCTAGGAGAAGGTCCTGCACCGCGGTCTAGATCCCAGACTCCAGTCCCAAAGGTGACTCCTACGGCTTTTCAGTTTCCTGAACCCGTCAGAAGCCCGAAATCGACAGCTTCGAATAATCCGTTTGATAACCTGGATTCCGCCCCGTCGTGTGCACCATCTGGCTCTGCGGTGAGCCAGGCCGAACAGCAACCTGCCATCACCAATGGCGCTAAATCCTATAATCCATTCGACTTTTTAGGAGCGCAGCCAGCCCTAACACAACCCACGCAATCACTGGATCAGTCATTCCAGCAACTCCAAGTGTCACAGCCTTTATTTCCAAACATTACAGGTGGATATCCCAGCCAGCAAGGCCAGATACCATTCCAAAGATCTCAGCAATCCATAACGCCTCCAGTCACTATATCCTCTCAAAACGGCCTTACCGCATCTCCCGCGCCTATGAACGGCGCCTACAACCCTTTCTTCCAAAATGTACAGCCCGTGCCGGGAAATACGAACAATAACCCCTATTTTGATCAGCCTCCAGGCTTCTCACCAACCAACCCGTTTTTCAATGTCTCTGGCCAAGTTCAACGCTCTCAGTCGCAGACTCTAGCATCAGGAAATGGCGCTGGAAATGCTAATCAATTTCAACGCTACAGCACCATGCCGGCATTTTCTTCTTCCTCTGCATTCCCCCAACAGCAACAGCCACAACCGCAACAATACGTCCCTCAAGAACAACAGTCATCTTCCAATCCCTTCACCCTACCAACTATCCCTCCATCAAACCCTTCCTACCAGCCTCAATTTGATCTCCAGCCCACGCATCAGACCCTCATGTCCCAACATACTGGCAAAATAGACAAATCCAGCATCCTTGCATTATATAATTTTTCCCAGCCCCCACCCACAATTCCCGAACAGCCTGCACAGCAATCAGCGCCCAATTTCACCACGCAACCTCAACAGCAGCCACAGCAGCAGCAGCACCAAAATTCGGCCGCACCATTCAGCCTCTCCAACTCCAACAGCAGGAACCCATACCATACCGCGCCTCCCAACGCAATGAGCACCCCAGTCGCCGCGCTCACCTCAACCTTGGTGGACTCTAGGTCACAAATGGGATTTGCGCCTGCTGGAGTAGAAGGAGGCGCAGGCAGCGGTCCCGGTCCCGGTGGCGTAGGAAATCCGTTCCCAAGAACACATATGAGCCAGGCTAGTGTGGATATTGGCGGGATGCAGAATGGTCGCCATAGTCCGGATGTATTTGCGAGCTTGAGCTCGAGGCATGTGCGGTAGTTGTATTTTTTTCGGCGGAAAAAGGGCGGGGGAGAAGAATGGTGGAGAGGGTAGGTAGGAGCCGGGGCCCCGCGGGAAAACGGGGAGAGGGAATAGAGTTTGTGGGGGTGGGGGCTGCAATTGATTAGGGAATGGCCGGGACTGTTGAATATTACGCCACGCGATATTTATGTTTGCTTGGTTAGGATTGGATCGGATTGTCGTTTGTTGACGGGTACATATTTTTTTCTCTGCATGTTTTTCCTGCCGCTCTATCTCCAGTCGTCTTTTTTTCAACACTGGACCTGGAGCTTTTGTGCTGTCAAACCCATTCTTGTTTCGGGATGAGAAATTTCATCCCTGCTCCTTATTCACCAGCATGAACATCATCAATTCATCATTTCCTGTCGCCTGTCGAAACTCGTCTTGCTGAGAGAGCATTTTTTGGCATTCTCCATTTACCCTGGGTTTGGATGACTTTTTAATATCCTGTTGCTAACTCATACATACTACATGCCATTTCAGCGCATTCTTTCTTCCTTTTCTCCCTCTTTTGCAGCATACTTTCGATACGTTTTTAACAATTCAACCCGTTCTCCACGCCATTGGGGGTTAGGGAATCCATCACATTTCAACTCAGCATCCCTTCTGCTAAATTCGACGGTCTTGTTTCCTTGATTTAGATCATTACATGGTTGACCACCTCATGGATTGTTTTGGACCTTTTCCCAGGTTTAACGCTTTTCATATTTATATATATATATATATTCATCGCGCCAATAATTTATAAAAACTCAACTCCACGGCTCTTATATATAACTCTTTTCTTGTGGTTATCCCAATCCCTCTACAGGTTACGCGAAATGACTTGGATTATTTCACGGCTTATGATCATGTGTCCTCCGCAAAGTACGGTTTTTCTGTACGGATTTTTATATATTTACGCGATAAAGATGAGAGAGATCGGGTGCTCAATTTAAGCGAGCAGATTCTTTCCTTCTTTCTTTATATTTAATTCTTCCTTAATATCAATATCTAAAGGATTCATGATGGGAGATCTCCGTCGTTGAAAGACCATATAATAAACCTGGCTAGATATTCCCAAGTAGAATAGCATGTGATATCAGTGAACCGAGAAAATGAAAAAAAAAAAAAAAAAAAAGGTTATACATGAATAACAAAGAAGAATATATATCGCCTCCCACCCGTGCATAGGTGTAGGCCAAATCAAAACATACTATCTGAAAGGGGGTTTATTTATCCTTAACATCCCCGATGTATTAAAGAAGAAAAGGCGAGGGAAAAAAAAAAAAAAAAAAAAAAAAAAAAAAAAAAAGATAGCCCAGTGCAAAGCTCAAGACCACAACATCCTCTCTGACTTCCCCCTGGACTTGGACTTTTTCACCAACGCATCCCAATCTGGTACCCACGGCGACTCGGTCATCCACTCTGGCCACCTCGTGTGCTTTCTCCGCCCTACCCACGACCACGGCCATGACCACGTCAACTGCCACCGCCTCGCATTCCGCTGCAGCGCCGAGAGCGATGGCCACGACCACGACCAAGAAACCTGGTACCATCTCCTAGATGTTGGAGGAGAGTGGGAAAATGGCCACGTCGTCGGGAGGTAGGATGATGATGATGATGATGATGGCGATGATGACCACGACCAGGAGGCGGGCAAAAACGACGAACCCAAACCAAAGCTACCCCTCACGCCCGACAGTGTCCCGAAAAACGACGATCCCCTCGCCGCCTCCTTCCGAAATCCATCAATGATCTTATCGAACTGTCTCTCGCGTTGCTGCATGTGTCGCTGCCAGCCGGCCTGGTTCAGCAGCTGAGTATGCTCGCGCCATTCCCGCTGGATAGTCTGATCTAGACACCAGACGACGATGTCGCCTTTGCGACGCCAGTCGTCGTGCCAGGCTGTGTTCCAGGTGCGGTAGCATTCGGCGTATGGGGAGCTGTGAAGGGAGGTGCGGAGGGTTGGTTCGAGTTGGGCAAAGAAGGCGAGGTAATCCGGCCACAAATGGTGGTGAGGCATTGTAGGATCCTGGGAAGTGTTGGATGATGGGCGATGGTGGGTAAGTTGATTGCTGTTGAGTTGGTAGGCGGGTTTTGAAGGGAAGTGGCGTAGTTCACCTTGCATGTTTTTTTGGAGGAAGGTGGCTGGGTCTTCGTAGAATAGGTCTGCTTCATCTAGGTAAGTGGATTTTTCTGTTGAGTTGAGGTTTACCGGTGGCTCGCAGGATAGGGCCCAAGCGTGGATTCTCGGAAAGATGAGGTGGGAGCGCCAGGGTGTGCTATGGCAAGGCATAAGGAAGCCAATTGTCATAACTGTGGGCATCACGGAGGATGAAGACGAAGAAGAAAAAGAAGAAAGACCTGCAGGGTATCCCAACCTGGGTGGGGTGTCTCCTAGGTAGTGGCTGACATATTGGGTGCGGAAATAGTCCATGACGTTGAGGACACCTGATGCGTGGGAGGATGTAGTATAGTACGCAATATAAATGTTTACAAGAGAGAGAAATATCAAAAGGAATCGTCGGGAGCCGTTTGAGCGGGAACGAGAGGAGATGGGTGGAAGGAAGAACTTCACTGCAGGCTGAGAGGCAAGGATTATAAGGGCGGGAAGAAGCGGGTAGATGAAGCGAACTTCTTTGTGGGAGACCAGTGAAAGGACGGCCGGCATAAATGTGCAAACAACTGCAAGTCGACACTTAATGGAATTCTGTTGGCTAGTGAGACTTCTCTGCTTCGCGAACATCGCCTGGAAAAGTCCTATCAGGGAGAAAGGAAGAGTAGTCATGAGGAGGAGTGGGTAGCCCTGAGAGAGGTAGTAATGCCAGTCATTGCGTCCATAAAATATGGCGAGTGACTGGGCGATGTTAAAGTAGAGAAATTTAAAAGGAGGAAATGTCCAGGAACCGTAGTAGATACGGTCCAAAAGCGTCGATATACCGAGCACAATGGATCTACCGAATTATCAGAACTTTTTTCCCTTGGGATAATTGAATTTTGAATAAACGTACCCGGAAAATATAACTTCATAGCTAAACGTCATAAATTCCTTGATAGTAGGCCTAATGAAGGAAACCGTCCAGGCTTGACGGGATGATGCGGGCTTCTTAAACATCGCGAAGGTTGCTAGACACATCCAGATCAAAAGATTGGTTGGGCGGAGAACGCAAGCAAAAGCTGCAAGAAGGAGGCATGGCCGCAAACTGTACTTCGGTCAGACTTGATCAAGCGTAAAGTTATCAACTTGGTATACCTGGACAGTCCGCTCCGCCCGTACCTCTGGGTGGACGGCTTGTTTCTTGTGCTGTCATTCCTGGAGCTCGCCCTTTGCGGATAAGATAATTCCGACGGCCATCCCCACGGCCATAAATACAATGCGACAACTGTGAGACTCGTCTCAAGGCAATTGGATAATGTCCTCGTCGAACAGAACCACTGCCAAGGACTTAGGACAGTCAACGCGAGCTGCAGGAGAAATAAGTCAGTGTCTGTTATCCAATATCTATGCGGATGTTGGTGCAATCGCATCACTTACAGCACCCCAGGCTTCATAGCTGCTGTTCCCATAAACCTTCCCGGCCAGCTTCCACGTATAAAAATCCCCCACAGCGGCGAACAGTGCCTGTGTAAGTTTTGGGGCGGCAAGGAGCAAGTTTGCGCGATGTAGAGGCGATATCGAGAGATATCCAGAGACCAGGTTAGAAACGTAATAAACAGCCGCGAAGATATACGGATGTATCGAAGACCGCAAGTGATGCCTCCATTCCTAGCGCTATGCCATTAGTTTCACAAAAGAATATAGAGCTATACTCTGCTGGATAAATCCGCACCCAAGTTATCCAAGCACCGCTGTCCCCACCGAACGCAATCTGCCATGCAGGTTCCAACGACTGGAAGAATTCGTCTGGTTGGAAAAAGGTCCTGACGCAAAGTGCGTTTAATGCGCGAAACGCAATTAGGAAGAGGAGAATGTTCTGCGGGGTGCCCGAGTCTTTCTGCCTGGGTGAAGAGGTTATGGAGCCGGATTCCGTTTTACTGTCGGCCGTAGTAGAGCGAGCCTTTCGTGGCCGTGTCGACGTCGAAGGCATGGTCGTCCCTTATCACCATCTCGGGACCCGGCTCTGGACACGCCAATCGTGGGGAGTTCGGGGATGGAGAATGGTCGCGTGTCAAGAAGTTGCTGTGTATGCTGCTAGCGGACCCTGTGAAAAAGGGCTTTTGTTTTGCAAACTGCGGCGGTTGGATTGGTTGCGGATAAACTTCAACGTCGCACGCTACTGCACTCCCCGGCCAGCGTGAGCGTCTAGCGGGGACGGCATCCTGGATTGCATCCTGGATGGCTGGGACAAAGCAAGATCTCAATGGATATCGTCGGCCATGCCACAGCTTCCGCCGCATATAAACTCCGATTGATTCCCTCCGCCGAAGAGCATCGTCTGATATCTAAACGCGAGAGAGCTAACTAAGGTTCACAAGTGTGGTCCGTTCGGGAAGCTAAAAGCTATATAAAACTGCTGTCCGTTGGTTCTCGAGTCCTCACAACCGTCCTCACTCCATATACCCACGCTCAGTTACCACTCAACCATCACCACCATCGTCACCATGTCTCCAATCGCCACTGACAAAGCCGCCGCAGCCTCTGCTCAGACTGCAAAGACAAACCTGAAGTCGGCCTCCGGCCTAGCTGCGCCTTTCGACCGCTCCCGCTTCCACGCCTCTTCATCCTCCGCCGCTATCAACGCAGAGCATCAGTATGCAGCTCACAACTACCACCCGCTTCCTGTCGTCTTTGCCCGCGCTGCCGGCACTACCGTATGGGATCCTGAGGGGCACTCCTATCTCGATTTTCTCTCCGCCTACTCAGCCGTTAATCAGGGCCACTGCCATCCGGAGTTGGTCAGGGTGTTGGTTGATCAGGCTTCTACCCTTACGCTGAGCTCTCGTGCTTTCTACAATGATGTGTTCCCCAAGTTTGCGGAATTCGTGACGAAGTTCTTCGGTTTCGATATGGTGTTGCCCATGAACACAGGTGCAGAAGCTGTGGAAACCGCGATCAAAATCGCCCGGAAATGGGGCTACAAAACCAAAGGCATTCCTCACAACGAGGCTATAGTCTTGAGCGTGGAGAACAACTTCCATGGACGCACTGTTAGTGAACTAAAATAACCAAGGGCGCTTCTTGCTGTCAACCGCTTTATGTCCCCATTTATGTATATTTTCCTTTTAACTAACAGGGGAGGATTACAGTTTGCGGCAATATCAATGTCATCTGATCCAGAATCAAGGGATAACTATGGCCCTTATTTGCCGCTAATCGGCAGCACGATTCCAGGCACGAACAAACCCATCCCGTTCAACGACAAAGCCGCGCTGCGTGAATCGTTCGAGAAGGCAGGACCCAATATTGCCGCGTTCTTAGTCGAACCGATCCAGGGTGAGGCTGGCATCGTCGTCCCTGATGATGACTACCTTAAGGAAGCCAGAGCTCTCTGCGACAAGCACCGCGCCCTCCTCATTTGTGACGAGATCCAGACCGGCATCGCCCGAACTGGTAAACTACTCTGCCACGAGTGGAGTGGTATCAAGCCAGACCTCGTCCTCCTAGGCAAAGCGATATCCGGCGGCATGTACCCCGTATCCTGTGTCTTGGGGAGCAGGGACGTTATGCTCACAATTGAGCCGGGCACGCATGGCTCCACGTATGGTGGCAATCCGCTCGGTTGCGCCGTCGCCATTCGCGCGCTGGAAATCATCCGCGACGAGAAAATGGTCGAACGAGCGGAGAAGCTTGGCCACCAATTCCGTACTGGGTTGGCTGCCATAGATAGTCCTATGATCCAAGTAATTCGAGGTAAGGGGCTGTTGAATGCCGTCGTCATCGACGAGTCTAAGACTGGCGGGCACACCGCGTGGGATCTTTGCATATTGATGAAGGAAAAAGGGTTATTGGTACGTCTTTCTTGTCTTTTTCTTCTTCCCTATTCTCCAAAAATGGCTTTTGTTAAACGACTAACCGTTTGCCCTTGTTCTTCGATAGGCAAAACCAACGCACCAAAACATTATACGCTTCGCACCACCACTGGTCATCACAGAAGAAGAGCTTAAAAAGGCACTGAGCATCATCGATCAGGCCGTCAAGGAATTGCCAACGATGAAGAGTGCGTGAGTTGAGTGAGCGAATCTCTCCACTCTCGATAACCCCAAAAAAGAAGCCGGAAAAACTGCCGAAAAAAAATCCGAAAATCCGAAAATCAATGAATTAATGAAACGGATCGCCTGCAAGTTTGTTTGCATGCAACGAACATTCTATGACGAGTTATTGACGGGATTCCCTTCTTATTTTTGCCTGGCCTTTGTTTTTTGTTTTATCTCTTTGTTTGTTTCCTCATCCCCTCTCACATCCCATCTTGCAAATTATCAACATCATAAACAACTTTCAATCTAGTGTCTATGGTGTATACATACTGCCCCAATAAGAAATATCGGCGAACGCTCGCTCTTTCCTTTTTTTCCGCGGGTGGACTCTCTGCGCTGGCCTGCAGCCTTGGGTGGGCGACTTTGCTCGGTGGTTCATTTTCCCGTTGCGTTTCCATCCCAGCGGTGACAGATTTTATTAACTTTTATCGTGCCTTGTTTCGCTACGTAACGGCTACTTTACTCTGATATGCCGTGGCTGCGGTATGAGCCCCGCTGGTTATTACTATTCTTTTCATTTTTTATTTTATTATAATGGTTTTGCGTGAAGTGAACATGTGGCAATCCGCCTGTTTCGCTGTACAACATGGGTTAATAGTTATTATATATACTCATGGTGGCCGGAGAGGGTTTTCTTGGTATAGCCTTTTTTTTTTTTTTTTTTACTTTGATTGTCTTTTCCTTTGTTTCTACGAACGGCATATCTATTACCTGATGCGAAAGGGAGTTGGATATGTGGGGTTATACATACCGAGTGAATATGATATTTTGAGAACGGCAATGACAACTGAGAGTGCAAGGGGTTCAGATGAAAAATGCGCCTTGTAATGTACGGTTTCTTAGTTTTTCCCTAGCACCGACACCTTACAATCCTCCCAGCCCTTCTCCTAGCACTGCAATAGGTAGGATATGCTACATGATAACGTCTGGCATACATATAAACCTATTCATTCACCTATCCCCTATCCTCAATGCCCACTGTTTTTCGCTCCCCCCTTTCTCACCATCCATGCATCCACTTTACACAGTATGCTGGTCGAAATATCCCCTTCTTGACTAATGAGCTTTCAGCAGGTAGGGGTTCTCTAATGTGTACTTCTTTCATTTCTCCCTCATAGTGCGAACCCTTGACACCACCTCCGTCTCCTCCTCTTCCTTCCCACTGCTATCTTACGACCTATGCCTCCACTGCCTCCTCCTCCGCCTCCTCCGCCTCCTCCGTCTCCTTCTACCCCCGCTACTGCTGCTGCTACTGCTTGCTGCTTCTGATGCTGGAGACGGTGTAGTGCATCGTAGTGAGTGCCTAACGAAGCAAGAGCCGAAATAATGGATCAAGTAGGCAAACACGGACATGAATGCGAAGAGCAGAAAGATGATTAGGACTATGACAATGTTCCTTTGCATTGGAGGCAGTGGTGGCAGTGGTGCTGGTGGTGGTTGTTGATGTTATTGTTTTTGAAGTTACTTGATCCGATTTTGAAGACGCTGCGTATCCGGTGATTTAGCATTCATTCTTTTCTTATAACTAGCTCTTTTAATATCTCTTATTATTATTATTATTATTATTATTATTATTTTTTGGCGGTGACTTACCCCTTTCTTCACAATAGCCTCCCCTCTTGTCAGCGGTTTGTGTCTCTTATGAATTTATTAATCCCTTTTCTGCTCCCTTTTTAATCGGATGGATGGTCTTTCGCTTTCTACCTGCGAAGAAGAGGTTGAATACCCCGTAACGACTGCTTGTGTGGTTCTAGAGGGGGAAAATCCACCAGAGCATTGCTGAAATTCGAGGAAAGAGAAACGAATTCCCAGATGGACGGATAACTTATCTGGTACGCTCTCTAACGCAGGGCTTTCTTTCAGGAAGGAAGAATGAGAGCTGCAATACTTCCAACATCCAGAGCAAGTCCCCAATCGCGAGTTATGGCAGTCTCGTAGTGTGGAACGACAACACATCCAAATGAATGTAAATTATAGTTCCTTGCGAAATCCGCGACACAGCACGGCAAGAAACTCTCTCGGCGTTGTGCATGTTACCAATCCTCAAATAATAGATATCAATAAGGTTAAGATCACTTGACATGGTAGAAAAGCAACTGTAGAAGGCTTTTCTTATGACGCAAACGCGAAGTAAACATGAAGCTAAGGGCAACGGTTGGGTAAGGGAAATTCTTTCTCCGCGTTCAGCGAAGATGTGAGACTCAAGTCTGGAAGGAAATACGCAAAGGGAAAGAATCAAGTTTTATAACCTCTGAAGCCCAAATTATTTAATAAATCCCGGAAGTCAAAATATGCTGCGGAGGAGGCCAGGATTGGTGCCTTGCAAGCTGAAGCTGCTGGGAAGGACGTGAAATAGAGCCCATGGGGCCCACGAACAAGCATAGATTCTCGTGTATTTGCCATTCAATTTTCACGCATCAGGTACGTGGGACATATCTCGTGCCCCCGCTTCGATAAGGCACGGAAAAGGGAAGAAAAGAGAGTAAACGGCGGAAATGAACGCTAAGTTTTCCTCATATGGATTGTAATATAGCAGGGCTCCTTGCTTGGAGGCTTAAAAAACCATATGGTGAGTCCGCGGCAAGGATTCTTTTGGATGTAATATTTTGTGTGCGTTTGTATGATGGCAAGTGAAGTGGTTGTACATACATACAATACAGTACATTTGATTCCACATCGCCTTCCCATCGAACCTAGGAAACCAATGATAGGTATTCGGCCAGGCACATATACGAGAGTGGCTTTCAAAATTAAATTCCTCAAGGGGCCAGCGCAATTGTTCTGATCAGTTTTCGTGTCGTATCTTTAAGTATGTATGCCCAAGGAGTTGTGTGGAGATATTCATCTCCATGACGATTTGTTTCAAGTTTTGCCAGTAAATCGCTCCCTTGAAGATAAGATAGAAATGGAACTGGTGCCTGTTCACTGGGTTTCGGTCCAAGATATGTTTCCACGGTAGGCAGGATTCCCAAACTATCACATATGCAGCCCACAGGTGTGGCTGCTGGTGTGTATTGGAGGAAAGGAGTGTGAAGGAGTGTGTTTCGGCTAGGGCAAGAGTTCCAGGTCTCGGCAAATTTAGCATCACTATGCAATGATGCTGAAAAGTCTGATTGTCCCCAGTAAGCTCTGATACCTGCTTTGCATCTATGAATAGTTTGAGAAATAGGAAGAGTGTTGATGTCCTGTATAGTGTCACCTCATCGCCTTTGGGTTAACGCGGAGTACCCAGCCCGACATTGCCTTCACTTCGCGAAACATACCAATTCCTCACTGAACATAAATTGTTAGAGTTCGGCAACTGTTCGTGGGGATTTTTCCTCAGTCTAGGTTGGAGCGTGTTGCGTGCGTCTCTCAAATGAAATATCCCCTCACCTTCTCCTCCCCTTGCTTACTTTCGCCGCTCGTTTGCTTCGAAGACCAACACAATTTTTAATGGGCGATCAATCATACTCTTGTTTCCCTCATCCAATATTCCAAAGGAAACACAGTATTGCTTTATCCCTGTTGTCCGAATGGTGTCGGTATTCCATTGTGTGGGCGTTGGTTAACCCATACAACACCTGTTACTTGGAATTTAAGACAAATACGGACATTCTTGCGCGTCAGCAAATATTATGGACGCTTACCTTTTCCAACAAACCCCTTCTGCGGGAGACACCGAGCCGGAAATGAGTACGGCAATTTCTTTAAAGTCGAATTGTAAAATACCCAGATATATTTGCCGGAAGAAGGCGACCAGAGGTTGCCCTGACGTCCTTCGCTATTTGGGCCGAGTCCGTGGACATGACATAAAAGGATGGGGTGAAGTTCTTTTGCTTAACTGATTTCTCTGCTTCTTTTTTCAAATTGGAAAATCTTCCATATAGGTGGAACGGTGGCAATGCTTGCTACGTTTACCAAGAGGAGCAGTATCTTTCCCTCGTCATAATAGAAAGAATAGATAAAGTTACCCATAATTCTCTAGATCACATTCTCGTAGGATACCTCAGCAGGGCTTCGGAAGGTTTTCGATAGTGGAGTATCGATCGATATCAGGCAACAGGAATTCGAGATGACGACTAGCAGTATAATCCGACTCGAAACAAAAGAGAGCTCACCCAGAGAGTCGAATTACAGACGTGAGCTTGCTTCCGAAGTTAACATAACAACGGTTTCCGCGCAAACAAAGCAATGACATCTTGAAGCCTAACAGACCAAAGTCGCCCAATTGAAAGATATATGGGAGTGGCATTTATCAAGAAAACGAGACAACTCGTCCGTCGGTTATGACCAGCACGAAATCATGCAAGCACGCAGGAGCCGACCGACGATGGCTACCTGGCAAACAAGAATCGGTACCTGGTCAATTATAATATATGAAACATGCCACGTCCCAAGGAGGAGTGCGGGTTACAGGTTGAACGTGGTTTATAAAAGTTGAATGTGGTTTGAAAAAAGGGGGTCCGAAAAATAAACCAATGCTCAGTCCTTACACACTAAATTGTACATTACTAATCAGCTCTCAGTTAACTATCTGTTAGGCCACTGGGGCAAAAGAGCTCTCTCACACCAGCGCCATGCTGGTAGTAGAGGGGACGAACCAATCCAAACCCCCCAACATTTAGTCCTCCTGCTTCCACATCTGAAAAGCAGCTATGAGCTAGAATTAGAGGAATAGGGCTCTGAGAGATATGATAAAATCACTGTCTCTGAAGCATTCAGAGTATATAGAGATGTGAGATATTAATGGAGGGTTGACACAGTTTATGGTCAAAACCACAATGAAGATTATTCCGGCCCGAAAAAGTTAACCATGTTCAACTTTTTATTAACCACATTCAACCGTAACTATGCCCGGAGGAGTGGGCAAATTACATGATGCGGGTTGCCCTCGACGGTCATAATCTGTGAAAAAGGTCGCCCTAGTGGCTCGCGCCACAGCCTCGGAACAATGTCCACCCCGACTCCGTTGCATAAACCCAATCCGCGGGAACCTCGGAGCAAGTAGTGCAGGAGAATGGGCTCCAACCATGCAACCATGGATGACAGGCGGCTGCTTGAGGGCGGCCAGAATCCAAAACCTCTGGCCGACGGATTAGTCTCTGGACTAGCTATGGTTGGCACATTTTACGAGCTGTTGCAACTCCCACCGCGGAGGCCCCGAACGCCTCCAGCTGGTCCCTCCTCCAAATAATGTCAAACAATGTCCTCAAGTGAGCAGAGGAGGGCAAGCGGGTTTGAAGAAAAGCACTTTTCCACGCTCAAGGCAAACGGATGACTGAGCCATTGTTAAAAACAAATGGCCCTTTTCCGCCATTGGATTTCGCTGTTGACCGTCTAGTGAGGATGTCTGTCCCGTCTCTCGACTGGGCGTTGAGTGGAGATGTTACTGCCTATGAACCTAGGCATCTCCGTCGGTCGCGGTTTCTTTTCCTCCTGTCCTGGTATGAACACTAGTGTAAAAGGCAATGCCTGCGGTTCCGTTTACCCCAGATGTTTTGTGCTAACATGTCCGCTTTCATTATTAATAACAAAAACCCAGCCTAGATGACTCGGAGATAACGGACCTTGGACTCCTTCTTTTACATCTCTCCTCTGCCATGGTCTCTTTCTTTTTCCGATTTTTTTTCCTGTGGGGTTCATATGCAGCGAGACAAAGTGCTTCTGCCCCAAGATGACTCTCGGTGGAGAAGAAAGGCGGGATGATGGTATGGGGACATGGGATAAATCTTTTCCATTCCTAGAACCGACGGATCCAGCGTCTGCAAGACAAAAAATAGGATCCGATGCCACACTCGAGCTTCGGAACGGCAAAGAGCTAGACGTACCCCCAAGCTCTTCACACTCCGAAGGCAGCAAGCTTTCCGAACAGAGGCAAGCTGCCGAATCGGCCAAGCCGCCGAGAAGATGGTCCCAAAGGTTAAATCCATTCCGATGGCGTCAGATACCCCCCGTGCCTACAGAAAGGACTGTATCCAAAGAGTATGGAGCTGGATATCTGAGCTTGGTGACATTTCATTGGATATCTTCGTTAATGACGGCAAGCAATTTCCCCTTTATAGATATAGAAGCAACTCAAATAGCAATAAGAAAAAAAACACCTTGCGCTCTTGGATCTGTCATCACCGGGACCTTTGCAGGATGCTTTCCGCTAACCTTTCTTAGACCGGATATCTGCGACCCTTAGAAGTCCAGGATATCTGGTTGGTGAATCCGGATAGGTCGGTGGATGTTCTTGTAGTCAAACTTGAACGGTCGTTCCAGAATTGTGTTACCAGGGGCGACCGCTATCCACTCTTATGGGCAATATACGAAAACTTCAAAGTCGAATTTTGGGTGGGCGGCATCTGTGCATTATTCTCGAATCTGCTCCAGGTCATGACACCCTTCACTTCACGGTATCTCATCCAATTTGCAACAGATGCATATCTCGCGAAACACGCTGGCAAGCCTGGCCCACAGCTGGGACGTGGCATTGGAATCGTCATTGGGATCTGCTTTATGCAAACCTGCCAGAGTCTTGGTGCAGCGCAGTTCTTCTATCGAGGAATGATCGTCGGAGCCCAAAGCCGTGCTGTCCTTATCAATATGATATTTTCCAAAGCTTTGAAACTTTCCGGCCGTGCGAAAGCCGGTGGTAAAGCCACGGCGGAAAGCTCAGAAAATCAAGGTTCAAAGGGCACAGCCGAGGAATCGGAATCTCTTCGCGCAGCCCGTGACGGGATTCTCAAGGGTAGATTCCAAAAGAAACCGGGGAAGGCTAACGGCCCCAAGGTAACACCGGACGCTGCTACGGGCATTGCCGGTGATGGCGTTGGATGGAGTAACGGCAGGATCATCACCCTAATGAGCGTGGACGTGGATCGCATTAATAGAGCTCTTGAATTGTTTCATCTACTTTGGACCTCTCCCATCCTGGTCGTAGTCGCTCTAATCGTCCTTGTGGTTAATATAGGGTATAGCGCTCTTTCTGGATATGCGCTGTTACTGACCGGGCTACCGTTTGTCACCTACTCTGTCCGTTCCCTTATCAGACGACGAAAGAAGATAAACAAAATGACGGATGAACGCGTTTCTCTTACCCAGGAAATCCTGACGGCTGTCAGATTCGTTAAGCTTTTCGGCTGGGAGAGCAGCTTTCTGAGGCGACTGAAGGACATTCGGCAACGCGAAATTCACGCCATCCAAGTCATTTTGTCCATACGAAACGCTATTCTCTGTGTATCTCTGTCACTTCCTGGGTTCGCATCTATGTTGGCCTTTATAACCTACTCTCTATCGAACCACGTACTGTCTCCTGCCCCGATATTCTCATCACTCGCACTATTTAATGCTCTCCGCATGCCGTTGAACATGCTTCCTCTTGTGCTCGGTCAGGTAGCGGATGCGTGGACGGCCCTTGGACGAATCCAAGAGTTCCTCCTTGCGGAGGAGCAACAAGCGGACATACAACAAGACACGTCCTTGGCTCCTGCCATTAAAGTTGAGGATGCGTCATTTGCCTGGGAGCGTTTGCCTACCGATGCAGCAAAGGAGGCCGACAGGAAAGACGAGAAAAGAATGAGGAAGTGTAAGGAAGTGAACGAGTCAACCTCGCCTGCCCAGGGAAACTCTACGTGTGATCTTCCAATCGAACCTTTCGAACTCAAACATTTTACTTTTGAGATCGGCCGTAATGAACTTATTGCTGTCATCGGAACAGTTGGCTGTGGTAAAAGCTCGCTTTTATCAGCCTTAGCCGGAGAAATGCGATTGACAAGGGGCAACGTTACCATGAATGCTACACGGGCTTTCTGCCCCCAGTACGCTTGGATTCAGAACGCCACTGCGAAAGATAATATACTTTTTGGTAAAAGATATGACGACGTATGGTATAATAAAGTTGTAGATGCTTGCGCTCTGAGAACTGATTTCGACATGCTACCAGCCTACGATGCGACGGAAATTGGCGAACGTGGAATAACAGTGTCGGGAGGACAGAAGCAGAGGCTTAATATCGCTCGAGGTATTTATTTTGATGCGGATGTTATCCTCATGGACGATCCATTATCAGCCGTGGATGCCCATGTTGGCCGCCATATCATGGATAACGCTATATGCGGGCTGCTTAAAGACAAATGTCGAATACTTGCAACACACCAACTTCACGTCCTCAGCCGATGCGATCGAATTATATTGATGGATGGCGGTCGTATATCTTCCATCGATACTTTCGACAACCTTATGCGTGACAATGAGGCGTTTCGTCAGCTGTTAGCGACTACGTCCCAGGAGGAGGATACTTCAAAGAATGAAAGCGACAGGGAGCATGGCATTGAAGCTGCAAGTGTGGAAATGCCGAAAAATAAATACAAAACATCGAAACCGCTGGCTCTGATGCAGCAGGAAGACCGAGCAGTTAGTTCAGTTGACTGGGAAGTGTGGAGGGCATATATCGCGTCGTTTGGCCTGCTAATAAATGGTCCGTTCATCGTTTTGTCACTGATTCTCTGCAGCGCAGGAAATATAGTAACCAGCTTGTGGCTTTCATTCTGGACCGCAGACGAGTTCGGCCTGTCAACTGGCCAGTATATCGGTGTATACGCTGGACTGGCCGGCATCCAGCTGTGCCTCATATTTGCATTCTCTACGACTCTGTCAGTGAGCGGAACGAATGCGAGCAGGGTAATGTTTCAAAAGGCGATGACGCGAGTTTTAAGGGCTCCCATGGCGTTTTTCGACACCACCCCTATGGGTCGTATTGTCAACCGATTTTCTCACGACGTTCACACCATGGACAACGACCTGACAGAAACAATGCGGATTTACTATCTCACCCTCGCCCTGATTATATCCATTCTGATTTTGATCATCGTGTTCTTTCACTATGTAAGTCATGCGGATATTTCTTTTCCTTTTTCCTTTTTCCTTATCTTGGATTGAGCTCACCGTTTCTCCTATAGTTTGCTGTGGCTCTTGGCCCTCTTTTCATATTATTCCTGATAGCGACAAACTATTATCGCGCATCGGCCCGAGAAATGAAACGACATGAGGCCGTCCTCCGTTCCACTGTATTCGCCCAGTTCAGCGAGGGTATCTCGGGAATTTCATCGATTAGAGCGTACGGCGTACAGGCTCACTTCCTTCGTCGGCTCCGTGCAGCACTTGATGATATGGACAGCGCGTATTTTCTTACATTAGCGAACCAAAGATGGATAAGCGTCAGATTAGATGCTATCGGCATTTTCATGGTTTTTGTCACCGGTATCTTAGTAGTAACGTCGAGATTCAATGTTTCACCAAGCATATCAGGACTTGTGCTGTCTCAAATCCTCGCCATATCACAGATGTTACAGTTCACCATTCGTTGTCTAGCTGATGTTGAAAACAGCATGAATGCCACCGAGCGCATTCACCACTATGGAACAAAGCTGGAGGAGGAAGCACCACAATATCTGCTCGAATTGGATAGCGAATGGCCGCAACAAGGCAGAATTTCATTTTCCAACGTGGAAATGCGATATCGGCCAGGCCTTCCCTTGGTTTTGCAGGGACTGACTATGGATATCCGCGGCGGCGAGCATATCGGGATCGTTGGTCGGACAGGGGCCGGCAAATCAACTATCACGTCAACCCTGTTCCGAATGACAGAGCTCTCTGGGGGGACTATCAAAATTGATGACATAGACATAGCCACTGTCGGTCTACATGACCTGCGGTCTCGACTCGCCATCATCCCGCAGGATCCTGCATTATTCCGCGGTACTATCCGATCTAATCTTGATCCCTTTAACGAGCACACCGATTTGAAGTTATGGTCCGCACTTAGAAAAGCCGACTTAGTCGGTCAAGATACACCGTCAGACTCTTCAACTGACCAAATCAACTCATCACCAACGGCCAAACAACCCCAACAGCGCATCAACCTCGATACCGTGGTCGAAGAGGAAGGATTGAATTTCTCACTGGGCCAGCGGCAACTCATGGCGTTAGCACGCGCTCTTGTTCGTGATTCGCGCATCATTGTTTGTGACGAAGCAACTTCCTCAGTTGATTTTGAAACGGATCGCAAGATTCAAAAGACGATGTCTCAGGGGTTCAAAGGGAAGACATTGCTGTGTATCGCGCATCGATTGCGGACGGTCATCAACTACGATCGCATTTGTGTGATGGACAGGGGACGCATTGTTGAATTTGACGAGCCGCTGAAGTTGTGGGAGAAGCCTGGTGGGGTGTTTCGAGGAATGTGCGATCGGAGTGGGATTCTAAGGGAGGATTTTTTGGCTGGGTTTGAGGAATGATCAAGAATAGCTATCCCACATTTATATGGAGATCTAGGATATATAGACATATGTTATAAAATCCCAACGAGGAATTTATGTAGTTTGCATCTTGTGGCGGTCTCTATTGTCAGGAATGCTTAGGCATGGCCAAGGTTGCTATCCCCTCGTCTGGCCGCGAGGACACAATTAGCGTATTTTTTAGCGTGTACATTAGTGTATTAAATATATGAAAACTACTGGATCATATAAGGGATCAGCTGTATTGATGTGTTTTAGTGTAATTTATGTAATCTATTTGATCTAGTTACTAGTTAATTAATTCCAATTAAGACAAGCCATAATTGCTTGTTAGTTTTAATTAAGATCAGAATGAATCTCCTTTGTAAACTGATGGGTGAAACCATGAATTACACATTTGATTTGATTTGATTTGATCCCAGTCCATTTCTTAAAGTGATTTTAAATGAGATCAAAATCAGAATGAGAGTATAAAAAGATTAAAATTTTCAAAAATGAAATGTAAAAAAATCAGATTTAAATTTATCATAATCAAAATAAAATTAATAAATTTTGATATTTCATATGAAATGATTAATTATGAAAAATTAAAATGTGATTTGAAATTCATTATAATTTTAACTCAAATTTGATTCTGTTTTAATAATTATATAATATATATATAATTGATAATAATTATTGATAACGTATAAACTCATTCATTTATATATACTTTTTAAAAGTGATGATGTATATAATTTTATAAATATACATTTAAAATCTCTTCTGATTGATTGGCAGCTGATTTGACATTTATGAATATATAATTCTTTAATTAATTGATGATTTACTTCATCAATTTTTTCAATAATTTTTCAATTTAAAATCATCTGATTCATTTGTGTGTATTTAAATACATTCAACACATCAGATCAAAATTCGTGACAAATTAACAATTATTAATAATTAATTTACACAATCAATCTTTAATATTCGTTTACTCTGTACCTCATTAATATATAATTTTTAATATTTTTTTACTATTTTAAACATTAAAACGGTGAACAAACGGCTTGTTTTGGCCGTTTTTTCGGCTGCTTTTAGCCTCCCGTTATCCATTACCTCCACGCACCACGCACCCCACGCCCCATATTTTACGCGGACGACCTCAACTCCCACGCCCGATCGTCTCTTTGTCCCATCCTCTATTTTTGGATGGGCGGTTGCATCACAACTCCCTTCATTCACCCGTTTCACCCAGTTTCTGGCATGCAAGCCGAATATGGCCTTTCTCTCACCAAATATAAAAGCATGGCTACTCCCAGCTCTCTCACCCTCCCCCTCTCTGAGGTTCACTCTCTGCCCCATTTCATTCCCATTCCCACTCTCATTCCCACTCCCACTCCACTCCCACTCCCATTTCTACTTTCCACCCCTCTTGATATCGTTCAGAGCATTCACTCTCTTCCAGCTCTCCACCTCTGGTTTTACCGTCTCTACCCTGTCTCACCCATTTAATTTCTTATGGAGATGGCCCGTCGACGGGACTCAGTAGTTCCGTCTCCAATCGTCAGTGACGACAGTGACGAATTTATGATGGACACCGACAGTGATGTCGATTCCGATGCCAGCGGCGAAACAGACATCACAACCCCCATTCATCATGGTGACAGGAAGAAGGAGAAGGAGAAGGAGGAGGAGGAGGAGGAGGAGGAGGAGGAGGAGGAGGAGGAGGAAGAAGAGGAAGAGAAAGAAGATGAGCAGCAGGATATCGATGATCTGGCGGAACTCTTGACAGAGAATAATCATTCACCAGAGCATTACCTTAACATGATGCAGACTATAGACTTGTCTCGCACAGAGTGTGTCAACTATGCTATTGGGACGCTTGCTCTGCAGGATCGTATTAGACAGGAATGGTTGAGGTAAAAATGTCCATGACTTCAAGAACTACATTCCGCTCAGTTTATCTCACCGCCCTGTACAGTTATTGCAAGTTTCTCAAGTCAGATGCAAAGGCGATGTATCAACAGCTTGACTATCGTGTTCTCTACACCTTCTTTGATTGGATGCTGAATCAACGCCGGGGAAAGAACGGGAGACGCCGGCAAGGTATAAAACGCAAGAGCGCCCTGAACACATATTGGAAGAACTTCCGTACCGTATATGAGCTGGAGATGCATGAAAAAATCGACAAGGACACATCTAGGCACATAGTCAAAATTGTACGCCCCGTCTCGCAGTGGTCTCTTGATATAGGTTGATACAGGCTTGGTCCTGAGATGCTCACTGAACTCACTAATCCTGGCTTTCTATTCCCAAGGGTATACCAGTTCTCGTGAAAAAATATCGACTCTCCAATAAACCCCGGCCAAAGACCACTGTCTACCTTGATGATCTGATCAGGGTCGTGGAGACGACTGTCACAACCACAAAAAAGAAGTTCGGTCACGGGCGGCTACGGATTTCACTTATTCTATATTTCCAGCTCGCCGGGTTCTCGGCCAATCGACCACAAGCATTGCTGAGTCTGTGCTATCGACACATCCAGGTAACACTAATAAAAGACCCAGAAGGTGGGCCCAATAATATCCTGATCGAGTTTACCACCGAATTCACCAAACAATTTCTTGGAGAAAAGGAAGAGTATGTGAAACATCCAGCCGACCACCCATGAACGCAAGCTGCATTATATGCGATCAACACCACTGACAGAATGGTATCTATAACTAGGACCGAGTTCGTGATACCGGAGATCATCTTCGATCCATCGCTCATCCTCAGTCCCCAAGTTATCCTTTTAGGCCTCCTGTTTGCTGATGGTGCATTCGCTCGCCTCGATGGTGAGAGGATCCTTACTTCAGCATCGCAACTGCTTGATCTAGATATCCCAGAAGATACTTATCAGCTTGAATTCAACTTGGACCCAGGACTGAGCGACATCCCGATACTGCGGAGATCTGAGCGGACGCTGGATGGAATCAGAATATCTGATGTAGAGGCCCTCACCTACAATATTCTCTTACCCTGGATCAAATGTATAGGAAAAATATCGACAATACGCCAGATCGTCCGCCCTTATAGCTTGCGATACGGTGCAGGGAAGGCCCTGGACAATAGCGGTAAGCGAGAGGAGAACCTTTCCTTCCGGTTGTCATGTGCTAATCCTCATCACCCTGAAGGGCACATCAGTGATGCGGTTCGAAGTTTGATCTTCCAGCATTCCGATCCTAAAACGTTTCTTAAATACTATCTCCACCGAAAGGTGGACAAGGATGTTCGTGCGGTCGTTCAAGGCCTAGATCCGCAGAAACAAATCATACGTGCCGCATGTCGAATGATCCGCACCGTCAACCATAACCGACCGCAGGAGCTCACCACCGAAGAGTCATCGTCGGTCAACCAACAACCTCACATCAAGGAATTGATCGAGAAACGCGACCATCTCAGTAAGCGTCTCGGACGTCCCATTGCCAGACACAAGGGCACTGTCAAATATGAGCTTTACACCAGGGTCAGCCGTGAATTGGCAGGTGCACGCCAGCGGGCTCGAGACAAGCTCCTACTCGAGAAACAGGAAAAGTTTGACTTTGAGGAGCCCCTGCGCGAGATCAAGCGACAGCTGTCGGGCATCAAGATCTCAAGGAAGGTCGAAAAATCTCTTGATGCCAATACGGCAGTGCCACCGGTACATCGACGACTCATATCGGCGCTCCTTAGCCTACCCCGCGAGACCCTGCAAGATGAAATGCTTCGGCGTACTGAGGCGATCGACGCTGTTATAGACTACTGTCGCTTCGAGGAAGGGGAAACCTGCCGGCTGCCGCATGACAAGCGCCCTGGTCCCAAAGTATTCCAGGAGGTGAAGATCGAGATCCATGTCCCACCACCGCCACCGCCACCACCAAGCGAGAGGGATATTGCCCTCAAGGCGGTGATGGAGGACCATCGACCGCTGTACTGCTTTATCTGTCTGGACAAATTCACTACACATGGGGGAGTGTCCAAACATATCAGAAGAAAGCACCTTCAACATATCAAACCTGATGACACGATATCCTGCAGGCGGTGTGATATTACCCTAGACCACAAAATGCACCTTCAGAGTCATGCGTTCTCCGTTCATCAGACCGTTACCTAAGCTTTACGCATGTAATCAACTATTAACATGTACCAAAACCGGCCTCTGGTCCTTGAGAGTTGGGTGCGATGTTCCTGAGCTGCTGGACCATATTTCCTGAGTGACAGCGAGGGAGCAAGAGGAGGTATGAGCGTTTACTTTGGACACTGGAAAGCCCAATGGTTCGGGAGAAGAATGTTGGAAAAGATCATGGGAGCGAAGCTACAATATTAGTGGCGGTGATAAATATGAGATGAGTCGGATAAATTGAGCATTTTGCCACTGTTTCTTTCCTTGGTTCCTTCTGCAGGAGTGGAAGGGGTGGGCTTGTATGACATATTGACGGGGTAAATGAAAGCCAGTAATTATAAATTTATTTAACGGCTCTTTCCCTTGTTAATCTGCATCCAAACCTCCTCGATCGCTCTAGACGGCGTGAGTGACGGCCATCTCAGCAGTGGAAAGGCAGGATGCTTTTGCATACCATGATTCAAGTTCGACATCGCCGAGGTCAAAGTATATCAAGCAGGTTCGTGAGCATTCAGAGGAGAGAGGTCTGGGCGTTCTCTCCCAGGGCAATTGTATCCGAAGTGCAATTTCCAAGTTCAAAGTGTGTGCTGGCCAGGATAGATTTAATGAAGAAAAAGTAAAGTGAAACGAAGGGTAGCATAATCCACGTGAACTCATTCGACGACATTCGTTATTCCAGGAGTAGTAACCTGCCAGCAGTCCCAACCCCCCGTGCTCCTGCAGATCGTCCAATGTCATATTGGCATAAACCTCGTAACCCCCTGGAACCCTTTCTATATTCCGTTGAAGGGATGGGATGGCGACAAACTCGAACGAGGTCACGTGGATTATGTCAGCACTGATGCAGGGAGATGGCTCAACCTTTCTACTTCTAGTTTTAGCTGCTTAGATTTGTTTTGCACAATAGTTGACCCAGTAAAAACCCCCCTAATTGAAGTCTCACAAACGGTCTCCTTAAAAATATATTTCCCTCCCATAGAGGGAGAAGGCACTAACTATTCTTATTCCCAATTCTTAAAAAGCTCGTACAAGCAGAGTTTGGAAAGGGCAAGCAATATCTCAAAACTAGAACAAAGCCACAACCAACAATGATATTTCTACCGGTCTGACTAAAAAAAGGAGAAAACGTCTCTACCTAATCCTAATAGCTCTTGAGAATACCAGTGATAAGACTACGACACTTTGGACAGTCATCGCCAATGACAGGACGAAGGCATCCTGCGCAAAACCGATGTCCACACGGCAGAAGAGTCCTCCACTCTGATGGGATACTATAACAGATCTCACATTCAAATCGATGCTTCAACTCCCGGAGTTTAGTCTCAAGGTTGGCCATCTCTGCATGCAGGTGCTGCACTTCTTCTTCCAGCTTCCTTCTCTTCGCACGCTCCACCTCGAAGATGGTATGGATTTCCTGGTTCGCCGTTTCCTATCTCGACATCAGCGAGGAAGAAGCCCCATCGAGTCTCACTAAGAAGGGTCTTACCAAAATCATGTCCAGGTTGGATATTTTTTGTTTTTTCAGTGGCCGCTCCATTTCGGACTCCAGAGAATCAGAGGTCGCCAAATCATCAGATTCATCTTAGGTTGGATAGCTGTAGTCTGTGCGTGGTCTCTTCCTTTGCGACCTTCGCGTCCTTCGCGCCAGGGACTGTTCGTCCGTTTCGTCTGAAATGGTGATCACAGTGCGAAGATTATCGGCTGATGCCATAGCTGAGAGATGGAAAGATGGCCGTGTCGCGGATCAGCAAAGTGGAATGACAAAGGGCTCTAGAGAGAGGAAATGGGTTCTGTTATGTCCACTCAGTCGTCTTTGGGTACGCAAGGGCTTCGCGGCGGGTTTCGGTCGACGGTGTAGGATGGGAGGTGGAAAAGGAATTGAAAGAGAGATGGATCCGAGGCGGGAAGGAGCCCATATATATACCCAGGGCGGGGAAAGTGATCACGAGAGTTCGGGCAGTGCAGCCTCATCTGTTGGCAGTTTTCGTTGGCGTGTCCAAGGATCAACCCGAGGGCCGAAGTCCAATCAGGCCAGAGGCACAGTGGCACAAGAAGGTTGACAAAAGGCCAGGGACTACATCATTTGGTCACTAGCACTGGCCCGTGGGCAGAGGCCATTGAATCAATTTCTGTGGTCCTGTGGCGACCAAGGACCCACGGCCAAAGGGCCCCAGCATCTCCCCGCATTTTGATCACGCACGACGCTTGGTCTTTCTCTCTTGTTGTCGTTCGCTGTCGGTATCCTGTGACACAGACGCCGCCATCTCTTCGTCGACGTTCAGCTCCCCGCCAAACGCCATGAAGACGCAGAAGTAGTGGAGAATCGTGGTGCAAATATAGCTCGCACTTCCAGAATGGCATGGATTTCCAAAACTGCCCTGGGTCCCGAATAGGTCCGTTCTTGGGGCGCGAGCCGATTGTGACTGCGGTCCTTTTATGGGGACACCGCTCTCCCTGGGCACTGCTCTCCCTAGGGCCACTGCTCTCCCTGGGGACACTGCTCTCCCTGCGCTCATTCATATTTAGCCAACTAATTCCACTTAACTACTTAACTGAGATGCTTCTTTGCTTACATCATTTGAAAAATCTCATTATTTTACCTCTTCTTTGTTATTGCATTTAAAGAGTTGGACTTCAGATCTTAGAACGGGATATAATGACACTAATAAAATGCATACTTTTAGAAGTTACGTTTTATACTTATCTTTTTAAAATCTTGAGGGGTAAACTGAAATAATCTTAGTATAAGAGAAGAGAAAATATCTTTTACCGTACCACAAAATGGTTATTACACCCGCAGACAGAATGAATTCGTTACAAATTACCTACAACCCCAACCACTACGCCGAATTTTGGAACCAAGCAACGCCTGACATCAGAGCTGTTATCTGGAGACATAGGGAGATCAACGCTGATTCCGTCAAAAGAATCGTAAGCAAAAACCGAGAGATCGAATCATGGAACAGAGAAAGATCAATTCCTGAGCAGTATGGACAGCTCGATCTCTGCGTATTCACCATGATAGGGAGTTTAATGGATTTTGTGTTTCAACAAAACAGCATCGAGAAATTCAATCACGCCGTGTCATTATTAAACTGGTACCTGGTGAGCAACCAGTATCCAGTCAGCTGGGGCTTGGCAGAAAATATGAGGGCAAAAAGCTCGGAGAATATCGAAGATCAAGAGATTCATCAAAACATTGCCAAAGACCCTCAACGAAACAGCTCACCCTATAGTGGGGTTAATCCCAACCGAGACACCGAAGCAAAAAGTACGAAAGAAGATGTAGCCAGTGATAACGAAAATGAGAGGGGTGAATACTTTGCAAATGCTATTCTGCAAGAATACATCGGATTTGAAGATTCTGAAGAAGACAAGTCCTCCTTTTCCGGAGGCTTATCCGCTGGAGACCCCTCCCCTGAAGGCTCTTCCCCCGAACATTCCACCTCTGAAGATTTATCCACCTCTGAAGACTCTTCCTCCGCAAATTCCTCCAAAGACTCCTCCCAAGACTATTCCTCCGAGGAGTATTCCTCTGAAGACTCTTCTCCCGAAGATTCCACCTCTGAAGATTTCTCCTCCTCTGAAGACTCTTCTTTCGAAGACTCCTTCAAAGACTCCTCTGAGGGCTATTTCTCTGAAGGCTCTTCCAACGATTCCACCTCCGAAGATTTTTCCTCCGAAGAAGACTCCGAAAATTTCTCTAATGACTCATCTGAAGATTCCACCTCCGAAGAAGCGGATTTCTCATGGGACGAGGAATATTAATATAGAATATATGAGAAGGCAAACACCTATTATCTTGATAAATCTGCTATATATCAAAAGATGAGGATAGTGGTTAATTTAAATGACATCCAGAATCTCATTAACAAGATTTTCATAGTCATATTCTTTCATATGAATCACACCTCACAATATCTTGCGATGATTTAATGTTTTGCTTCTCTCTTTTCTTCTTTCTTTTCTTTGTGTATTTATCAGAATTCATTACTGCTCTCGTGCCTTTTATTCTTCTAGGAGAAGTAATATTATGCTGTACCTTAAATATATAGTGGTTAGATCATTTCAGGAGTCTCAACTTGAAAATGAGGTAATAGAAATAAGCTTTTTTGCCAAGAAGGTGGCGCTGTAGGCTGTAACTAACTAGTCGAAACGCTGCTCTTTGCATTAAGTTGCCGCAATTGCTTGGCGGGTGGTGTCCCTCTCATGAATGCACATAGATCCTGCCTTAGATGCCATGTATTCTCAAACAGGCGAGATTTGTATATTACAACTAAATTTATATTGAAAATGCCACCAAGCTCAATATGTGATAGTGATACTGGTTTCTCCATAAGAAATGTAGTGCAGAAGGGCGCAGGGGGTGTGTATCATCATAACAAAAAATTTCTGATTGCCAATAATATCATCGTCGGCCTCGGATCATCTTTAAATTTGATTTTTATCCGGAAAAATACTTCTCCCCTTGTAAAATTTTAATTTTACCTTCTATCGCTCACCAGGCTGAAACACTGACCACTCGTCTCGGTGAAATCTGCTTCCCATTAGGACCAATGGAGCAAGACGACTTGCACTGACTGCAAATGCTAAAAACACATGCTTCTTGCGGTCAGACAGTTATTCATCAAAAGATAAAATGTAAACTCACACTGAGAAGATCTGGTATTGAACCAGCATCTGTTTTTTTATGAAATTCCAGAATCTCTCCACCCCATTTTCTTGGATTCTTCAGGACTAAGCTATTTGGATTTAGATAGCTATTCCCAGGTTCCATGATCTCTGTCATTATCCATCCAACCGCACGGATATCATTCTGTTTCTGGCCATGATGGCTGAGCATACTAGACCCGACGTCTCCTGTCTCTCTCATTAGCAAGGATCTATGGAAGTATAGAAGCGAGTGATGTACCAATCTTGATAACCCCGGAAAGAGTCACGAAAACATTGCTGCTTCTGATTTCTCCATGACCGATATGCAACTCTCTGTGAATATATGAAAGTCCTTGAAGAACCTATTGCAAAAGTTAGAATCCACTCTATTTTAAAGTTGTATTTCTTCTCACCTCCTTGCAGATAGCGGCAATATGAGCCTCTTTCAAGCTCACACATGAATGTAAATGGTTCAAGGAAAGATCCACTCGCTCGTAAATCAGGTATACAATTTCCTTGTCAATAAATGCAGCCTTCAGGTTGACAAGATTTACATGCGAAGTTCTGACCAAGCTCCTGGTAGGGTTCACTGTCACGTTGTGGCATACTTTAACAGCCACCATCAAAGCTGTCTGTGACTTTTCGAAGGCCAGGTATATACTCCGTGATTTCCCTTCTTGAGTGAATCGCTCGTATCGTTGCCAGGGATTGCCAGTTTGGCAGAAATCCGTTTCTTGTCGCTTAACTTCCCCCGGGCTCTCATTTGAAGACCGTTTCACGGTAACAGGAAGTGGCGGTGGCTTCTGCCGTTTTTGCAGGCGTGGTGGCTGCCCACAAGGGGCTTGAACTTCCTCGTGTTCATAATTCATGGGAGATGATGCTTCCAAGAGCTCCCCTTCAATATCGAGGCTCGTTGGAAAGACAGTGCATCGCTTCTCTGAAATGTCGGACGCCATTCTGATTCAATTGAAGTAAGAACCTTCGTTAAACATGAACAATAAACGAGATTTAACTCACCTTATTAAGAAACAATATTAAGAAAGAATAAAAGTTAACTTTGTCATTTTCTAGCTATAGTTACAAAGTTATTTTCATTGACTAATCTTATTTTTTGAATGTTAACAATTTCAATTATTAACTTAAACTTCTTTCACTACTCATGAATTGTATTTAAAGTACCGACTGCCCAGTATTATTATTTGCAGCTCACCTTGAGTCAGAGCCTCTCAGTATCATAATTGCAGTTCACTTCAGTTCTGCTTCACCTGTCTTAGAAGTCTTTTAAAATTCCTTACATGATTTCCCTTTTACCATCAATGAATATTAAAACTTTAACTCTTATTTACATTACCCCTGCCCTCTGCCTTCAGTCTATCTATCACCACCCTTCTGAAGGCACCAGACTCTCATTCACTGGCTCAAAGCCTGTTAGGAGCGTCTTATCACCGCCATGGTCAAATCACAGCCATATTATTCTTGGTCCTTCGGCGTCCGAAGGTGTCACGTGGCCCGGTGGATCAGCTACTGGCCTTCCTCCAATTAGCTTACCTCCTGGCGTAACCACCGTCTCGCCCGGTGTGTTTTACACCGGTTTGCCCACGAAGTCGAGCCGGGCATGGCCCCTGGCAAGTGTTTCTTCAACTTATCCGACCCACGGGTCTGTAACGCGACTTCCGCCCGGCCAAAGTTCTTCGCTGTTTGTTAACGCTGCTACCCATGTGGTAGCAGCTCAGCAACTGTTATTGTGGGCAACTCTTTTGTTGCGGATTGTATATCTGCTTAGCATGGGGCTGCGTATGAAGTTTCAGTTTGTACTTTGAGGTTAAAAGACAGCTTGTTTCACGTGGGACGATTTTACCATAAGAATAATTTTGCAGTAATTATTACGCAATTTCCATGCTGTATTCATATAATATTTGTATTTGAGTGTTTTGATCATAATTCTCGCCCGGTTTTTTTATCATCCGTTCCATTTCGTAGCTGTGGTGTACATGAAATGTCACATCATATACAATCTAGATGGTAGTCAAGGTCCTCCAGCGGGTACCCAACTCCTTCTAATCCGAAAGAACTAAGTGCATGCTTTAGTGTATTTCGCCCCGCAATTACTCCATATTGCCTCCGAGGAAAATCATGAATCTTGCAGCCTTCTTAGCTCCGGCGACCCTGCCATACTTTTAGATTTGAGCTTTTGCTACAGGGCGTCCACAGGGGACAATGCCCACCAGGAGAAGCGCCCACAGGGGAGAAGTTCCCACAGGGGAGGAGCGCCCACAGGGTAGGAGCGCCCACAGGGGGAAAAACGCCCACAGGGGAGGAGCGCCCACAGGGTAGGAGTGCCCACAGGGGGAAAAACGCCCACAGGGGAGAAGTTACCACAGGGGGAGAAGCGCCCACAGGGGGAAAAACGCCCACAGGGGAGGAGCGCCCACAGGGTAGGAGCGCCCACAGGGGGAAAAACGCCCACAGGGGAGAAGTTACCACAGGGGGAGAAGCGCCCACAGGGGGAAAAACGCCCACAGGGGAGGAGCGCCCACCGGGGAGGGTGGGTGGGAAAGTTAACTTTTAGAAGTTGACCTTCAAAAGTTAGCTTTTAAATCCATGGGGTATATATATCCCATCAAAATTCAATTTTGAGAGAAGCTTCGTAAACTCAATCTTGAACCTGGTTGAAAACAGCAATTTCCATCACAAATTTAATGAGAAAGAACCCATCCGAAAAAAAAATGTCACCTCCCAAAACAAACAGGCCATCAAAGGCAGCTCTGTCCAGAATTTTCCGAGGATTTCAATCTGAAGCAGAACCTCATGTTATGAAAATTATCTGGACAAGTGGGAATAGCCAAACGAACGGCGTGAGCGAGCTTCACAAAGTGAATCAGAAAGTAGAAGCATGGAATAAAGAGCATAACATTTGGGCTGCAGATGGTACCTTTGATATTGACGACTTTATATCCATCAATCGTGCGATTGAGTTGGCGATTAAAGAAAATGATCCTAAGGCATTTGACATTGCTAAGACACGCATGGACAATATTATTGAGCTGCGCAAATACCCAAGACGATGGCAACTTCGAAAGAAGGACTTCTTGAAAGCCGCTAAGGTCTATGACTCGGAGAAGGAATACTTCTATACCCCCCTAAGCCATGACGGCGCTTCAACACATACTCGTGGGAAATCAAGGCCCAAAGGCGACAAGAGGCCTGGTACTCCAACACCCATCAGCAAAACAAAAGGAAAACAGAAAGTGATAGGCAGCTATCAAAGTGAGGAAGAGCCGAGTAGTGATGATGAGCTTGCCGCTTCAACACCCCCCAGCAAAATAAAAAGCAGACAGGAAGTGAAAGGCAAAGAGAAAAGCAAAAATCCACAAGGCGATGGCGAGCGAAGTAGTGGTGATGACCTTAGCACTCCGACACACAGCAAAACAAAAAGCAGGCAGGAAGTGAAAGGCAAAGAGAAACGAACAAATCCGCAAAGTGACGAAGAGAGAAGTAGTGATGATGAGCGGGGAGACGGCAATCATACTGATAACGAGCGCACCGGCGATGAACATTCCGACGACGAGAGTACTCAGAACGAGAGTATTGACAATGAGGGTTCTGACGATGAGAGGTCTGACAGCGAGAGGTCTGACAGCGAGAGATCTGACAGCGAGAGGTCTGACGACGAGAGATCTAACAGCGAGAGGTCTGACGACGAGAGATCTGACAGCGAGAGGTCTGACGACAAGAGTTCGAATCAAGAGAGTCCCGATGACGAAGGAAGCAACGACCTGGCCACCCTACGAAGAAGAACAGGGAAAGCATTTGGCATCTCCCTCGATACAGGTGAGCCCGTAGCCTGGTACGGCCAGGGGGCCAAGGGTGTTAGACTTCTCGTCAATCTTACCGCCCCAAATGGGGCTAGAACTGGAAGAATTGTTAGCGGGAGAGGCTATAACTTCGATAAAAAAGCTTTGCCTCACATTCCCACAGCCTCTAAGTTGCGTGAGAGAGACGGTGACACCCAAGTGCCAATGACCAGAGCTACTCAACACACCCGAGGAAGCCTGCGCTACGGGGAAGATGACATCAAAAAAGTGGGCCTTGTATATTGGCCAGTGGAGACCGAGTGGGAACACGATCCCACGGCTCCTTTACGACCAGTTAAAAAGGCCTGGTTTGTTCATACAGTGATGGCTGTAATGTTCAGAGGTAGTAACGAGTGGACATATGAATTCCGGGTGCATCTTCGTGCGGCATTCAGGGGGTCGGATAATAATATCGACAAAATGATTTATACCCAGGCACGACTGCAAGAACAAAAATATCAGCGTGGGATAGGTAATCCATGCAAGATTCCGGAGGCCCCAACGACAAACCCACACTGGAGGAACACCAATGCCAAGGGGGGGCGTTATACTTACACCCAAGAGTGAACAATGGGGAACGGGCTCAGAAAGGTGAAGGGAAAAAGAGCAAGAGAACAGAGGAGGACGAGGAAGACGAAGAAGAAGGTGAGGAGGAGGAAGAGGAAGAGGAGGACCGCCGTCGCAGTAAGAGCAAGAGCACAGGCCGCCGGAGCAAGAGCCGCCAAGTTGGGGAGGAAGAGGAAGAGGAGGACCGCCGTCGCAGTAAGAGCAGGAGCACAGACCGCCGGAGCAAGAGCCGCCAAGTTGGGGAGGAAGAGGAGGAAGAGGAAGAGGAGGACCGCCGTCGCAGTAAGAGCAGGAGCAAGAGCAAGAGCCGTCGGGACGAGGAGGAGGGCCAAGACCACCATCGCGGCAAGAGGAAGAGTAAAGATAGGGATCATCGGAGCAGGAGCCGGCAAATTGAAGAGGAAGAGCAACAGAGGCAGCGCCGTGGTAGCAAGAAGAGTAAGAGCCGTCGAGAGGAGGAAGATCAACACCGCCGTCGGGGCAAGAGCAAGAGTCAGAGTCGCTCGGTATCGTTTACACCCTCTGTTTTCAGCGGTTCGGACACAGCATCGACCGCTCCAAGCTCACGTGAGCAATCCCCTCGGCGAGGCTCCCGAGCTTCGTCCTCAAAAAAATAGGGGTTCGCTCCATAATCTAAGTAGTAGCCAGAGTGGAAGTTCGGTGGTTGGGATTGGAGCAGATATGTCGATTCTTGGGGATATTGTTGGTAGTTGTAGCTTGGAGAGCACAATTGGTAGTGGGCGAAAGTGAGTGGAGGAGAGGCAGACAACTGCCTGGGAGTAGCTTAGTTTTTGATAGTTATCCAGAACATTAATGATGTTGGCTCGTTCCATTTCTTCCGGATATTTATGAGAGATATATCCGAATCTTCCAACCCAGTTAGCATGTTTCAATGAAAAAATTAGGAATTAAATGGGTAAAATACGTTTTGTTTCACAGGTTTGCGGCACATAGGACAAGAGTAAGGCTTTGCTTTGTCAATTCTGCTTGACGGCATATGCTGACCAGCGCACCAGCGACAAAGAACCGCGTGGCCACAAGGAAGCACCACAGTGTCTATAAGTTGGCTTATGCAGACTTTGCACTCCAAGTTAACTGTGCTTCTGTTCTTTAGGTTCCGGGCGTCCATCCTCTGCGCAATCAAGCCCTTTGACTGGAGTAACAGGTTCAGCATTATTTCTGTTAAGGGGCTCCAGAAATCTTCTCCTGCGTTGCCCTTCATCTGTGGAAAGAAACCCGTTAGTGTCATTGGGGTAGCGCACAAGGGCGCGGAGATAATGAAATTGAGCTTGCTGAACATAATTCTGAGGAGTATCCCCCAGAGTCCCTATATTTATCGCAGATGCAGGGTGATTATGTTGGCTGCTGTGGGGCTCAGACAAAGTCCAAGACCACGTGGAAGAGCTTGGAGGAGCAGACAAGGACGTCGTCAAGGCCATTAACAATCGCGATATGGCCAGGGGACAATTGGACACGGTGCTCCAGAATCAAGAGGGCACCCTCGCCAGCATCACACAGGTGTTGGAAAGGCTTCTGTCCGCAAACGATATCCAACATAGAGTTAAGAATCTCATCTATGACGCGGTCGATAGGCGTGAAGGAGTTCTACGAGAGGAACGACGACGACAGAGAAATGAGGAGGAAAACAATGACCACACCGCTAGCGAAGATAATGTCAATGTGGACGACGGTGGAGCTATCGAGGACGATATTGACGAGGATGCCGCTATTGAGGACAATGTTGGCGAGGATGCAGCTAACGATGACAACATTGACGAGACGAATGTTGAGGAACCGATGAACGACGCCATTCCCGCCTTCACGCCTATGAGCTTCGTATACGACGACACCTTCTAGGGAGCCGCCGTTTTGGTTGGGCAACTGAGATCTTGTTGGTGCTTTCCTTCCTTCTTTCGCATATTGTCGAACATTTTCCTTTACCAGTAGGCGTGTGTTTCTTTTCCTTTAAGCACGCGATAATGCAGCAGACAATCGTGTCCTACTCTTGTTATTTCTCTTCCCAAATCAGGTCCTACTCTTTTCTCCTGCTTTGACATGAAGAACAATTTTTGTAACGTTGAATGGCCTCGTTTGATCTCTTGTCCCCGATTTCTCAGCCGTTCAATCAGGTGATGATGACGATGCCGTAGCGGGAGTTTTAGTAATCGGTCCTGGCATTATCCCGTGGCAGGGCCATGAGTAGTAATTGTAGCCGAATGTCAGTCAAAGACTCCATCGCTAGTAATGAACTTGTCATTATTTTAAGCTCAAAGTACGCATGGCCATTGTGTAACCACTAGCTTTATAAGTCAGGAGGATAGTCCAGAGTTCGCGCCCCAAGAACGGACCATATGCAGCAAGGCAGTTATTGGGGCTTATAGACGATAGATGATTTTGAATATCAAAATGTCAATTCCAAGTGGTGCTGTTTGTTATGGCTTCTAACAATACTGTAGGGAATAGCAGGCCTCATTGGAATCCTCCAACAAAATTTGAAAACCCAAGAGAGCGGGATTATTAAAAAAACCAAATAACAATGAAGGGTGTAAGTCAGCATATAGAACAGCAAGCGCGCATCAGAAGGGGTATGTCATTGGAAATACTGCTGCATAGACACCTCACTCCAAGAGACTGAATTCTTCTCCGACCTTTACCAGCACCGGAACAGGATCCAGCCAAGTTCGTTTTTTTTTTTTGTTGAAGATAGCATCTTTGGAATTTATTGCGCTTTTCACGGGGATAACAAAACTGGATCCCATACTTTTCAAAGCTTGCATCAGGCAACATAAAAACTTCAACATCTTCAACTTCATAGAAATTTTGCTGCCCAATTTTCACCACCGGCAAAAAACAAAATTCTCGCTCCATCTCAGCAGTCGACTTCTGCAGTGACGAGAAGTGACTATGCTCTTGGCCAAGTAGGCCCATCAATTGGTTCCCCAGAGGGAACAGCGTTGGAGGGCGGGTTGTGTATATTGGCATTATTTTTGCATACATAAATGGAGGCTCGCCGTTCCAGATAGCCTGAAGCAGCCTGACAGCTTCTGGTTTTCGTTCCGCCTGCACAAACGTTTGGGCAAGGCGCATCGCTACCGGAATAAGTATCTCCTCAGCATTGGTTGATCGAAACAGTTGCCATATGACCACAAAGAACCATCTGGTGGTCTCTCTGGAGAAATCGATAATGTTGACCATGAAAACCAGTTGTCTGAAGAGCCTTGTCAGGACTCTGCGGGCCTCTCTTTCACCTTTGCACCCACTCCACGGTACATTAGGCCTCAGTCCCTCATTCACATGTCTATAGAGTTGTGTGTCGCCCCATTCATTCTGGGATAGTGATTCCATGATGTGATCTTTATGGGCTTCGAACACTGCGTAAATGTGTTTGCAGGTCAGGATTGCTGAAAAGAGACTGGTGACATCCGGTACATGCTGAAGGATGTGCAGGATGAGTTCGGCGGGGAGAAAGGGCGCCATTAGGGTAAATGGCATCAAGGTAAAGTGAACAAATTGAAGTCCAGTGTGGGTTGAGGCCAGGCGGGAGATACGGGACTGAAAATTAAAGGAAAGAAGAGAAAAAGGAAGATGGAGTGTAACGGAGGGATGGCCGTCCTCTTATGAGCAGGCGAGGCTTTGGTGCCAAGGCAGGAGGGCCGCTACCACTCCTCATTGGTCCATATCCCTTGTTCTCTTTGCGTTTCACCCCTGTTCTTTTCCCTTGGCTTTCCCAGTTCAGGCATTCAACCGCTCGAACTTTTCCCAGACACATTTCAAATAAATGCCATTCCAAGCTGTCATAGACTCCCGATCCGGTAACTTCAACAAACACAGCTTTTAGCGCGGGGAATAATAAGTATGCTAGTCGGTACTGAAGAATCAGTGGCTAAGATTTACAGAATGCCAACAGGTGTCAATCATAGGCTTAATGCCCCAGCCACAAGCAGCTTCAACCGTCGGGCACATACCCAATGGTGATGGCATTTTGTTCACACGTGACACGAGAGGATTCGATGAAGTGCTAGCGACGGCTTTCCCTTTTCGAGATTGTGGATCGTAGTTTTGGGGTAGATTGCCATGGGGCCAGATGTGGGTCATGTGGGCAGGAACCGGAGCGGAAAAATTGTTTCCGGCAGACGTCTTTCTCGGCCTCCTAACTCGCGACCAATACGAAGCCGACAGTTTTTCATTCCGCTTTCTTCACGCAGAGCCTACCACAATCTCTTTATCGATTTTATCAATCATGGCTTTGCATCGGCATCAGTCATCTTTAGAGAAGGTATTGGACTTCTCGCAACCTTTCTCGCTAACTCCTCAACTACGTCAAGTGGCAACAACCCTTTTCAGATACCTGATCCAGCATCACGGCTTGGAGCAGTCTATACAGCCTGGTTACAAACCTGCAGCACTTATCCAGGCCACATTTGAGCATGTCACTTCCAAAGATGCATTTCTCTTGTTCTTTTTCTCACACATCTATGAAAACCTATGCTCAGGAGTAGCAAATCCAATTGACTCTGACATTACGGTCGCCTTGTCCTTTTTCGATGGTTTCTCCAGCTGGGATCAGAATCAAAAGCAGAACGCCAATGGCGCCATTGAAAGTTTTGCTGAGTACATTGTTGAGAACTTCCTTCTTCCACGTATGCTATCAATATACGCTTCCCCACCAGAATCATATGTTAATACGGATAATTTAGTCAGAGCTTCCTCTGTGAAGACCCCGCAACCAACGCCAACGTCATTGTCCTCGATACAGGCATCCACACCTACTGGAACGACACAACGTGTATCTATTCTACGACAAAATTGTCTCGTGCGTGATCATCACCGGTGCGTGGTTTCTCGGAAGTTTGATAAAAGCGAAGCCGGCAGGCGGTGGAAGCAGGACGGGGAAGATTGCAAGGATGATGACGGAAATCCATTGAAAAACGAATCAAGCGACCGATTTCAATATCTGGAGGTTGCCCACATTCTGCCACATTGTCTAACTACGGTTTCTTCCCAGGACACTGACCTGGTATGTCTGCAGTGAATGTACCTCGTGTCTCTGACTAGAGTAACTGACGCATGGCCCTAGAGCGACTCGAAGAAGAACGTTCTCCGGATTTTAAATATGTTTGACTCTGGCGTTATTCATCTCATTGATGGCCCGAAGATCGACAGCCCGTTGAATGCTCTTACCTTGACACATGATCACCATCGGGCGTTCGGTGAATTCCAGATATATTTCGAACCAACGAGCAAACCGTATGAGTACAGAATTGATTCAATGGAGCAAAGCCCCTTTCTACGTGATCCGCTATTCCCCGTTACTCGCACGCTCACCCTTAATCCCAATCGTACCATTGATCCACCATCGGCTCGGTTCCTTGGTGTCCATCGAGCCATTGCAAAGATCATGAAACTCAGCGGCGCAGGCGAATATATAGACATGATCCTCCGAGACTTGGAGGAGGTTGATGATGTGAGGGCGGATGGCTCAACAAACTTGGGGCACATGATGTGTTTACGACTTGGTGGCTGGCTGAACCCTTTGCCTGTATTTTAATTGTCTCTAGGCCATTCTTTTATAGGCAATCAATGTATCTCTCCGACAGCTAAAACCCCGAAGAAGGACAATATAGGCCGCCATGCGTTACACTGAACTTTTCTTGGAAGGGATATTATATAGAAGCAAAAACAAGCGTGACAAGCTCATAGAAACAGACTTGATTTCGTTGAAAGCTGCATACTGAGAGTACAAGACGGCAAAACAGAAAGAAAATAACAGCAAAAAATAGGGGCAGATCAATAGCGCCAAATCTGACCAGAGGGAAGAGATCTGGAAATACAGGGTAGGTGCTCCTGCTTATTTCTGGGGTTCTTTATCTTCTTTGTATTCAGTTCACCATTTCGCTCGGTCCGACATCTGCCAGACAAATCCCGCGAGCGGTAGATCAAAATTACCACATTTACGAGGTTCCCTTTCGACGACGGAATACTTTCTTCACGATGCACTGGGATGAGTTGGCGGAGAAAAAGTCGCAAAGTCTATATGCTGCCTGGTTGAACTATCTTCTCCAACAATCCCCAGCCTTGCCTCTCGAGCTTGCCTCCAAGCTTCGTCGTGGTTTTCGAGCAACCAGAGCTTCAGATTTCACAACTGGCGCATTCAATATGTGCTGTACTGTCACCTTTGAAGACGGTTTCAATGCTCTTGTTAGATTTCCCATCCTGGGCCGAAGCCGCTTCCGCTGTGAAAAATCTAGCGACGAGACCTCAGTGATGGCCTTTGTTGCTCGGTTCACATCTATCCCCGTCCCAACTGTCCTTGGCGTAGGTAAATGGAGTGGCGGCCCTTATATCATTACAACAGTTATTGAGGGCACTTTGCTTTCGAAACGCCTACGAGATCCCTCTGTGTTGGCGCCAAGCTTGAATCCGGATGCCTCCGAGTCGGATCTGAAGATTGCCTACTCTGGAATGGCTCGCATTGTGCTAGAGCTCTCCAAGCCGGTATTTAAATACATTGGAGGGTTGAAATACGACTCTGGGGAGTGGAGGGTTGCAAAGCGGCCTTTGACACTCAAAATGAACGAGCTTATACGAGTTGGAAATTTCCCTCCCAACGAATTTGTCGATTACAACCACACCTTTGAAAGCGCCTCCAAGTATTTCCAGCAATTAGCAGAGCAACAGTTTCTGCACCTCAAATACCAACGCAATGATGCCATCACCGATGAAGACAACTGCCGGAAGAAATATGTGGCACGCTGTCTTTTCCGGCATATAGCACAACGGTTCCCAGTACAGCGTGGCCGATACCACCTCTACTGCGATGATTTGCGCCCATCGAATGTCCTGGTCACAGAGTCTGATTTGAGGGTTACTGGTGTCATTGACTGGGAGTATACATATGTCGCCCCCGCTGAATTTACATACAGTGCTCCATGGTGGCTCCTATTTGAAAACCCCGAGGCTTGGGACCTGGATAATTTTATGGATCGATACTGCCCTCGCCTCGAACTATTTCTTAAGGAGCTCCGTGTCCATGAAGACGAACAGATTCGCCAAGGTAGTCTAAAGGAATCACAGCGTCTTTCAGAAAGGATGGCGCTCTCTATCAAAGATGGGCTCTTTTGGTTTTGTCTTGCAGCCAGGAATAGCTTCATGTTTGACGAGATCTATTGGACATTTCTCGACGAACAATACTTTGGGCCTCTGAGCTCGCTTGATGATCGGCTTTCCCATTTAACACAAGATGAGCGGGACCAGATGGAGGGTTTTGTTCGGGCAAAAATGCAGCAGATAGAGGAAAGGAGGTTGGATGAACATCAAACATTTGATCAAGTTCTTGAGTTATAGTCTAGGAAATTGACAAGAACTAAGATATTATTGCTGTCTCGTGTGGTTCCGACTTGCAAGGGAGTTTGGATCTTGGTTCCATTTTCTTCCGGATATTTATGGGAGATATATCCGAATCTTCCAACCCAGTTAGCATTTTTCAATGGAAAACTAGGAATTAAACGGGTAAAATACATTTTGTTTCACATGTCCGCGGCACATAGGACAAGGCTTTGCTTCGTTCATTCTGCTTGACAGCATATGCTGATGAGCACACCAGTGACAAAGCACTGCATGCCCACAGGGAAGCATCACAGTGTCAATAAGTTGACTCATGCAGGCTTTGCATTCCAAGGTAACTGTGAGTTCTTTTGTTTCTTTAGGCTCCGGGCGTCCATCCTCCGCGCAATCAAGCCCTTTGACTGGAGTAACAGGTTCAGCATTATTTCTGCCACGGGATTCCAGAAATCTTCTCCTGCATTCCCTTTCATCTATGGAAAGAAACCCGTCAGTGTCATTAGGGTAGTGCACAAGGGCGCGGAGATAATGAAATCGAGCTTGCTGAACATAACTCCGAGGAGTATCCCCCAGGGCCCCTATATTTATCGCAGATGCAGAGTGATTGTGTTGGTCGCTGTGGGGCACTGAGCCAGGCTGTGGCATCGCTCTATTGATAGTATGCCTGGGTCGTCGACGGCTCGCCGTGGTGACTCTAGGAGGGCCGCTGAGACTCGTAAAAGTTCCCACCGCGTTGGCTTGATTTTCTGTGGGGAAAGCGTCGATGGGATGAGGCAAGGTAGGGCCATTGAGGCCCCCGTTATTAGTTGAACCGCGAGGATTAAACTGTGTATTGTGGTAATCAGGCACGTATTGGAAAGTTTGGCCTTGAAATTGGTGGGAGTAAGCTGCGGATACTGAAGCTACAGATGCCTGTAGATTTGCTGGCATCGTGGCACCTGGAGACCCGTAGCTGTGCCCGGCCATGCCAGCCTGGTTCACAGGCATATACGCCCGATGATGGGATATTGGTGGGTTGGACGTAGCCTGGCCGAACGTATAGGCATTAGATGCGGAGTGTTGAGGTGGGGGGCTGATTGTTGCTGTCCGTCTTTGGTCGTTACTGGGAGGATCCGTTTGCGATGCCGACATTCTATATGTCGAATGAAATAAGCAGCTGGCGAAGGCACGGAATTAGTGAGAAGAGCAAGAAGAGAAGATAACAGACAACCCAAACACAATTGAATGAAAAGGGTATCATAAAGGTTAAAGCGAGGAAGCACACAGAAAGTGCAGCATATCAAAATACAGATCAAGACATTATGGGTTCTCCTATCCTTTTATGCCTGCAGACAGAGGTCGGACTATATAATCCCCAAAGTAAAGAATTCGTGGCACAGCAACTGCACGTGTTTTTGTAGTGTGAGTGCCCAAACCACTCCTTGCACTTATTGCCTTGTTCAAATGCAGGTTGGTCATCCATGCTTGGATGCTTTGGTCCCAGAGCTGCGCATAAGGATTCCGGGTTTACCAGGCACTTGTTGCAGGTGGCACCAGCGCCTTATTGCTGACCTGGGAAACTTTTCACCACTGGAATTGAGGGATGGGTTCCAATTGCAACCGGTGGCTTGTACGGGTCCGGCGCTGATCTGGGAAACTATACACCGCTGGGCTGCTCCACTGCAACTTGGAGCATATCCTGACGGAAGATTCCCCTGCACCAACCATGAGGAGGGATCTTGTCATTTAGGCCTGCATGAGCTGGATTGCCTTGTTATGCGCACTGGCGTGCACAGCCGCTGGCCCCGGCAAAAGAGATTTTAGAAACGTAGGCAGCTTCTAAAAGGATTCCGGGTTGGTAGAGTTATTATGTCGGTCAAAGACTCCATCGGTAGGAATGAACTTGTCATTATTTTAAGCTCAAAGTACGCATAGCCATTGTATAACCACTAGCTTTATATGTGAAAGGATAGTTTAGAGTGCAGCAAGGCAGTTATTGGGGCTTGTATAAGCCATCACTTGCAATGGGAGCCCTTAATTCCAGCTGTGTATAGTTTAGAATTTGACATTGCTACAGTAGCTGAGGTTTCCAATAGCATCCGGAATTTCTAATTTTCCGGGATGCACTAAAGGTTTCTTATTGGCGCAAGCAAGGATGAGTAATCAATCATTGTTTTTTGATAACTATATAATAAAATTATCAACCAGGAACAAACAACCCATGTATAACACAAAATCAAACAGAGAAGGCGGTAAAAGACAAGAGATATGCAAGGAGGGCAACTCAAACACAATTGAAACTGGAATAAAGCAGATAAGTAAAACGGAGCAGATCTTTTCGTGCGTCCGTCATATTCACATAGGAAATAGGGGAAATTGGTGTAGGGACAATTATTGTAACTACAAACTGTTGCCTTCAAAGTGCCTTGTCGATTGATCAAAAATATGGTGACTTGCGTTTCCGCTTGCCTAGCCAATCAACTTCGGGGTGGAAAACCCGCATGTGTCGTATAAGGCTATCATTGCGAGAAAAGGTCCTTTCCTCTGCACATCGACTGCACCGCACCTTTTGCTTGCAGGCATTGTGGATTGTATCTTCATGCCTTCTAAGCTGGCGAGAGGAAATGATGGAGAAAATAAGAGATAACTCAAAAACACAATTGAAATGAAGCAAAGAAGCACTTTAAAGCCACAGGAAAGTGTGATATGTCAAACACCCCAGCAACATCATCACAGCTGCCTTCTCTGAGGCTCTCTCTGGGGCTACTGCTCTGCGTCGGCTCGGTTTTCCTCCTCTGTTCCAGCCGTGTAACTTCCATGGGTCTCAACATATTCCTTGTCACATTTGCTTAGGTAGGCTTGATAGCGCTTGACGCAGTAAGATATCTCAGTTTTAACACTGGAATCAACATTGTTGTCGGTGAAAAGGTCATGGAGAGCGGCTTCTGTTTCAAACATGGCGAATTCTGTCTTTTCTATGAGTTCCAAGATCTCATATTGAGAATCTTCAAGCTCTTCATAGGCAGGTATAACGTCATCATGGTCATCGTCGCATATTCCGTCGAGGAATTTGTCTTGTGTATTCTCAAGGCTCTCTTTAATTGTCTTAAGGTGTTCTGCAAATGCTATCTTGCTGTCTAATTCTTCGATAACATGTGAGGCTATGCGGTTGATGAGTGCCATTGTTCTTGATTTTGAGAACAGTTCGTGGCGTAAGGGGCGTAAGGATGTCAGATATACTCTATAGAGGGAAGAGTCTTGTGAGGAATTCTTGCAGTGCAATATATCAAAATACAGACATTATGGGTTGCTTCTATCCTTTTATGCTTGCAGATGATGTATAGTTTGCCATGTCAACAATGCATCCAGTGCCAAAATTGCGCATGCATGTAGGCGCATGCACAAGGAAACCAAGCTCAGGCAGGCCTAGGCAATCCCTCCTTATGCCGCAACTTCCTCCTGGTATAAGTGAGTGGCTGGCCTGCATTTGCACTAAGACAAGGGGCTAGAGATGATCATCAAAACAAGCAAGAATGTCGGGATTATAGTTGCAATGGGAACCATCCCCGATCCCAGTGGCACAGCAACTGCAGCTGGATAGTAGTCAATCATTGTCTAGTTATCAATCAGGCAAATTATGGGGGAAGATACTGTTTTTGCAGCCCAAACCACTGCCAAACCCGGAATCCATTTAGAACCTATATTTCTAAAATGTCTTTCTGCCGGGGCCAGACCAGGGCGCATGCGCATAACAAGGCAGCCGATGCAGGCCTAAATGACAAGATACCTCCTCATGCTTGGTGGAGGGGAATCTTCCGTCGGGATATGCACCCGGTACAAGCCACGAGTTGCAATTGATTCTAGCGGTGCATGCATGTAACAGGGCGCATGTGAATAACAAGGCAAAAGGCCATGCAGCTACGGGAGCAACTTCCTCCCGTGAGTAACAAGTGTGGATGGCCGAGGCAAGGGGCTAGTGACCGTTGTCAAACCAAGCGAGAGACAAAAATTTGGCTTGATACTTGGTGCAGGGAACAGGGTATGGAAGCCCATCCCCCGATGCCAGAAGTGCATCGTTTCCCGGGTCAACAATAAGGCGCCGGTACCAAAACTGCGCATGCTTGCTCCAAGGGCCATCTTCCATTGAAATATGCAGCAAGGCGGTTATTGTGACCTGTACAAGCCACGCGAGCCCATCCCTTGATTCTAGCCGTGTATAGTTTCCCGGATCAGCAATAAGGTGCCAAGAATATATTCGATAAATAGCACACTTGGGAGTTTATAAACATATTTAGATCTGACTGTCAAAGTTCAGGTTCAAGCTGTTTTGTGGTCTGATAGAAGTGTAAACCCGGAGAGCTTCCTACAACCGGGCAGAATTCATCACTCAGCACCCGGAATTTCTAATTTTCCGGATGCAAGTATTCATTTGGCGCAAAGCAAGGATGTTCTATTTTGACCAATCATTTTTCTTTGATTTTAACAAAGTATCAACCAGGAACAATCATCCCAATTGCGCCTGATATTTACGAAACAATATAGAATTCAAAAGATTGTCCGGCATCATTTGTAGCTCGCCTAGCTAGAACAACCAACTTCACCAGAAATCACTTGCCTCCGACATTTTCGACCGTTTCTGTTGGTTTAAATCGCCATCACTCAGTCTTTTACCCAACCGCCTCTCAGGCAGCGGTAGGCGAGAGACATCGCTGTCTTTGATTTCAGGGGACGGAGCCGGGTCTCTGTTGGGTCGTAAAGGGAGGATAATGCGGTCGAGTTCGTCTGCTGCGCCCTCAGAAGAGATCCGCTTTTCCCGGTAACTAACTAGTTACAGTGGCGATCTGCTGAGCTCAGCAGCATGATTCTCAAAATCCGTCCTGGCATAGAAATCGTCCTCCAGCTGGGGGGCGACCGCATGGACCCCAATACATGTGCAGATTAGGATCACGTTCGCAGCGAGAGAAAAATCATCACTTTTGGGTACACCAGGCGCTATATCACCAGCGAGCCTTCTCAGTTCTCTCATCAGAGCTGTGTACTGTTCCTTCACCATCTCTCCTGTTAATTTGATGCCTTCAAATGCCTCGAGGTCCTCTAAAGTAAGCGCGATATCAAGGTAATTGTCATCAGAAAGATCATCGGATTCATTGCAGGTTTTTTCCCAGTTGGTTGGCTGCCAGTTCATAATATCCAGCTGCCGTCTGAGGCGGTGGGCTGTGATTGAAGGCTGGGACTCAAGAAGAACAATGCATAGATGCAGAAGACTTTGGTGGACAGTAGGCCTTCCGGTCTATTGGAAACGGTGAGCGGAGAAGAGCAGCAGGTGAAATGGAAGTACCTACCAGGGTTGATGTTGCAGCATCGTCATTTGCCGTCAGACGGGCCAGGTTCTCGTCCAGTTCCCCTATCCCCTGCTTGTATCGTCCCTTGATGTACATCAAATCACCCCGAAGACGGAGCAGGTCATATGGCCCTTTAGATGGTTTAGCCATATCGAATGCCCATTTGATCATTTCCATCCTGCCTAGACAATCCCCGAGAAGACAGAGGAGGGAGTCGAGCGCCCAGCTCTTGGGGTGTTGGATGTTCTCCGTTTGTTGTTCGTGGGTGACGTTTCCCATGCTATCTCTGAGGATATGCAGACAATTCTTCAACTGCTTTAGGGCCTTCTCTACTTCTGCCTCCTTAGTCGTTTGAAGAAGGCATTGGAGCCCAGACTCGAATGCCTCGGCAAATTTCAACCATTCGGTCTTCACGATTTCCAGATACTCGATCATCACTGCATCGCAACGGTCACAGACGGCTGTAAATTCTCCTGCGAGCTCTTCGTTATTTATAATCTCCAGATATGCTTGTTCAACAACTTGAGGTGCTTTCCGAGAAGCAGCTGCAGCGTGGAGAAAGCCTTGCTCATCGCTGAGCCCTTTCAAAGAAATGTCTTGGACTCCGGAGACATTCGGCTTCTTGTTGGAGGTGATAAACAAATACTCTTTCCAACGAAACACATGGGCTCCATAGGCATACTGAGGGGATAACCCAGTGCGAGGAATCACGGAGGGTTCCGGATCGTGAATGCGGTAGACATGGACTGTAGCTGCCATTACGGTACCTGATAGATTTGTGAGCAAACCTTGATACCTGCATTGCGGTGTGTAAGGGATTCTTTACCTATCTTCTATAATGCCAATGATGTTATATGTGCGTGCCTCAGAAAACTTCGTAGGAATAAAGGTTTGGTTGAATGATCCAGGGCAGACACACTGGGCAATCAAGCATTCTTATACCATACCAATCCGCCCACTCTTGCTTACAAGGAAAACGGAGAAGGGGAAAAAAAGAAAAAAAAAAAAGTGTGATTAAACAATCTATTGAATGGCTGCCCCTGCCATAGTTTTATATGCCTTGCCTTCGGCCCCTAGTCTGCGCTAATGGCCTACAGTACATGTACCAGTTATGGGATCAGCGCATGCAACCAGCGTGTAAATAGGATGCGTCTCATTTTGAGCAGCTCACCCCTCGATTCTTCGTGTTCTCCCGCCAGCAATGAGGCGTTGTATGGGTCCCGGCGTGAAAAATCATCATTAAGAGTGTGTATGCTAACAGGCGAATGCGAATGAGTGAAGAATTAGGAGATTGGATGGTACTACGGCAACCCTAAGACTTTGTACCTGAACATAAAATTAACCAACAACATTATCCTCCTGCAGTAGCAAACCGGCCGAGAAAGTCATAAAATACATTAGCCAACGCCAAACATCCGGCCGGATCAGCAATACCCGAAGCCAAGGAGTTGAACCTCTTCCAAAGCTCATCAGACACTTTGAGAACGCGATAATTACTAAGGTGCAATGTCACAGTTAGGCCATCCAGGCTGAAATTCAAAACAGTGCTCTCTTGCCAGATATTTCCTGGCAAGTCTGAACACTTGTAGAACACCGGTCGTTGAAGTAGAAGTGATGCATGACTTATGCAATCTCGATGAGTATATAACAGATGTGTTGACAGCAGCCCTCTCAATCGTGTGGAGAGGAAGAGGATGGTATCATTCAATCTGTTCATCAACAATTGCTGCCCTGCGTGTTGTCGGAGAGTCTTTACCAGACAGAGCGCGTATGGTAATGCCAGAGGTCCATCAACTCTAAGCTCGGAGAATGTGCGAAAAACACTGCGTTGCTTGTGCAGCTCTGAAGTATGAGCCTTCAGATACTCCAGCCGCTCTTGAAGTACAGGCTCTGAGATGAAAACAATGAAAGCCAAGGGTGCATTTTCATCGCCGCGACATATCTATTTAGAATTAGCATTGGTGATGTCAATTCCATTTGTATTCCATACATCACCACGGATATCAGAATAGTCTGAGTAGCAATTAGCTTCATCAATTGAGTACGGGTTATAGCTGGATGAATGGGACTGGAGATCGCGAGCCTCATTATTGGGAGTAGATTGAAACGGGGGCTTGCCGTCACCAGTGGTGGGGTTGTCCTTGCCTACGTTAGCTGCGCTCTCCTTAAGAGTAGGTGAAGAATAGCAGACTCACCATGGCAAGAGATTCCGTGGAAGCGTGGATCCCACTTTGTAAATCCACGGAACGTAGACAGGGGGAAGTTGGGTCCTTATATGGCAATGGGTGTGAGCTGGAGACACCGTGGTTTTTGGCCGTTTCCCTTCTAAAAGCTTTATGCTGTCTCTTTACAAAACCGGACGACGCCTGGCTGGGGTCGAAAAATTTGAAGAGTATTTCATTCTGGGCGCCATCGCAGTGCAAACCCCTTTTTATGCAGTTGCGACAGGCAGGTGCTGCTTCATCACATTTGACATGCCTTGCCTTGCAGGTCAAACAACCAGTGAAATTTCTATCACAATATCTTCACTGATGGGTTGAACATGTGGTTGACTGTCTCACGCCGAGGGAATTGGGCTCCTGAAATTTCTTAGTATAGAGAGAATGGATAGGTGGTGTGGAACTCACCATCTCCACAAGACAAAATCTGCCGGGTTGGCTTGTGGGAAATATTTTAAAGGGATGTCAATGGAGGCAAGAACCGCTTCTTATCACCTTTGGAATGTTAAGAGCAGATACACCTCGCCCAACCGGAGCCGATATTTGCATGGCCCCTCGATTATCTCTCGGTGAACGAGACACACAAAGGGTAGTCATAATTAGTTGTGCTGTCACCTAACCTATTGCAATATACATTCTACATCTTGAAATATTGTAACTGGCCTGAAAGCTGATAGGGTCAAAATCTAGAGAAGCTTTTTTATGAACGCATTCTGTGTGCTTAAGCTGTCGGAAAAATTGTTGACCTGAAAGTCTGTGAAAATGTAACCAGCAAGATTCTATTTTTGGGTAACCAATCATTTTCCTTGCAACTAGTCAACAGAATAATGAAAGCATACTCCGCAATACTCATGCTCACTTGCGCATTTGTTGACCGCCGAGCCAGTTACTTCGCAGTCGCAGCACTTGATGGCTCGATTAACCCAGGTCTGCCGTTTTTGTTGTTGCTCTCTCCACTTCTGCTTCAGTTCAGAATAAGGCAACATCTCGAGCACAGAGTCTGTTTCTGTTTCCGGGTCTTCATCGATCTCAATAGCCTGGCTAAGATGGGTCGCCGGGACTGCACTTGTTTGATTGAGGCTTGTCTTAGCATCATGTCGCTTGGTTCGGTTCGTGTGGTTGGTCAACAGATCTCCTTTTGTGCAAGCACTCCGGACACCATTCACCCTCATGGCCACATAGTTGACATTCCTCCCCGCTGCTAACATCCTCCCTACATACACAGCAGTAGAGCCTCAGACGTTGGCGAACTTCGGTTCGCCTTTTCCTCCCTATTTCGGTCTGTGGAACATGGGCCGTGGTTTGGTCGTCATCTCGATCCTGAGATCTGTCGGTTCTTTTGTTGGGTTCTGCATTTTCTCGCATCGCTAGGGTGCTTGTTCCGCCTATCTGAGGTGTTAGCCACACAATGAAAAGAACATTCTAAGAGAACCATATACCTCTCAAAACCAGAATCACTTTGCTTGCTGCCGTGCCTAAAGTAACTGCGTACTCAACTGTACCTTCGCCAGACCATGCAAGCGAAGAATATCGTGTTAGCTCTGGAGAAATTGTGCTTGAGTCTTTACCTTTAATATCCATCTGGGGTGATAAGCCCGTCAAACAGGATACTTACGGGTTCGCCTATTTTGTGAAGTAGAAGCATCCAGCCGCACGACAAGCTTCCCAGCAAGGATAAAGACAAGGAGGGAGCAGAAATGAAACCTGGAAGTTAGGTCAATTAATATTGTTATGGTATTAAATGGAAATAGCTAAACCTATTCAATGTTCAAGCAATTAGAAGCAAGTAAATTTAGAAGAGCATGCGCCCTTGCTACACCAACTAGTATCCACAGGAAGCCACATTCCAATGCAATCAGAAACAGGAAATGGTGTCATTGCTGAAATTCACTAACAGCACTGTGTTTCCCAGTTCAATAGACTGAGCAGAGATATTTTGAGTCATATAGACATCAAGAGTGATAATCAACATCATCTAAGAGCCATGTCAGCACATATTGGAGTGAGAGCTGTGGTTTCACTGAACTTACTTCAATTCAGAAGGGTCAGTCGTGGACGAGTCCATCTACAGCAAACCCTGCTGTTATGAGAACAAAAAGTGCATGGATTGTAACTTCATGGATTACAGAGCTCTGAGATGGTATACCGCGAATTCTGCATCAAAAAAGCAGACCGGCAATCGCGAGTACCGTGTAGTCGATAGACACGACCACAGCTGTACCTTTCACCAACTCCTCGTAGGCGACCGAGCTAACTCAATGAGCACAAGGCCTATCAAGATCGGGGAGAAGAGCACACGCACCATAAGATCAAACCGAACTTTACCGCGGGGGATAGAAAACCATATCCTAGAAATAATCGATGCAGCAGGGCGTTCGTAAGTGGTCCGCTCTGGATTTTGCTCAGCCGAATCATCTAGACATCGCGGTTAGCGAGGACCAAACAGGTACCGGGAATAACATACCTCAAGGGCTAGCGGAAATGCTGTACATATTCCCAAGGGATAGTAGAATGCTGGCGTATCTGAAACAAGCATTTAGCATTTATCATCACCATCTCGGTAGAAGGGACTGCTCACCCCCGCGCCTTAAGCCTGATAGACCAATGCCAATGACAACAGCATTGACGCAGATAAAGAGAACGAAGATTGATATCTCAGGCAAACGGTGAGGCTGGGGGCGGTGAACGGTAAGCAAGATGAGATGCACCATACTTAGCACGATGAGCGCCGCCGACAGAAGCGCATATGAGATGTTAGGATACATTTTGCAAGAAAAGGCAGCCAAGGTGGTCCATTTTGAAATGATCTGTCGCGGAGTGATGTGATGTGGTTTATAGCTCTCGGGCAGCCACTCTCTGTGCGCCTCGAATGGGGGCTTCTTCGATGGTCGAAGGGGTATGCCATCCTCATTTCAGCAAATGTTGGACGGCAGTTGTCCAGGGCCTGCACAAATAGTTACACTATTGTTGTTGATATGTTGTGATCCCTTTGCATGAGGATGGCACGGACTCAAGTTGGACATGTATATCGCACTCGCGCTCCCAAGGTGATCGACGCAAGTTTCCCCGTGCCCTCGACACAGCCTAGCACCCCCTAGCTATCATTAGGCAAAAGAAAATCCAAAAAGGCTCATTTTCGGGCAGCAACTAATAGGAGGCAGGTTCGCCTAGATCCCATGTATCAACCTAAAAAAGAGGCCAGCAGAACTTAGCGGGAGAGTCAGCTCACCGGGGGCCTCAGCTTCCCGCTAGTCCAACGCTAGGTGTAGCCTGCTTCGAACACCTCAACATTTCAGCCGCCCACGGTTTTGTTTGTACAATTCTTATTTTCATTTTTGTTTCTGGCTAGGACTTGTTCACGACGACGATACATCTCCCTTTCCAGCAACATTTCAGTCCTAAAAAGGGACCGAAAACGAAACCGCCTATTCCCCCAGTATGGGGAATGGTGTTAGCTCTACGGTAAGACTGGTGCGGGCCTCTCACGATCCGGCGTTGAAAGCGAAGCTCCATGAACTTGGGGATATCATCTGCGGCTTGGGTAGCGTGGTGCGTTTCCCCTCACTGGTTCCATTCTCCATAATCTGACATAGTTGGACCTAGACCATTGGGAATTCTCTGAAAGCCATATGCAATTCTCCAGATCGCAAGAAGTCACTTTTCAAAACGGTTGCAGCAGAGATAAATCGCCAGGACGAAGTTCACCAGCTAACGACAAGACATACCTTTTTCCAACAATGGGAAAAGAAGAGCTTATCTGAGAAGCAAGTCGCTGGACTTGCTGCTCTCACAAAAGGTTGGGAGCTCAATGATGACGACCTTGAAGCGCTCAGGAAATCCGCACTGATATGGGCGTCCCAACCTGGGCTTTTTTTTGACACCAGGAAGACCGATCGCACCGGTACGCTTGGGCTTATTCAATTTTGCTCTAATGACATCGAGCAGATCGAAAATTTCAATCCCACACGACGTAAAGTCGATCTCATTGTCATGTTCGACGCAATTGCACAAGAGGTGGAACTCCGGCGGCGCTCAAAGAGAAAGAAAACTCACGATGTGGCCGTCGACCCAGCACCACCGCAAAAAGTCATCTCCGAAGTGTTCTCCGATATTTTGGAGGGCTCCGGGTCTCCCGAGGAGCGCCGGAAGCTGAAAAGGCAATCCGCTAGTGGAAGCAAATGGGCCCAGATTGTACCTCGCTGGATGGTTCTCGCACTGCAAGGCGCCACTGTTAAAAGGTTCGTTATTCCTTTCAGAGAGAGTGGTTCTGCCCAGCTGAGAAGACCTTTAGCTTCGAGGGGAGGCGATAGCAGCCGATAGAAATCAAGGCGATGAATGCATACCTTAAAGTTCTTAGGGCATGGAAGGAAGAACGTTTACTCTCGACCGCGTATTCAAAAATACTTAAAGAATATCATCACCGTGCTTCGCTCACAGTTCGAGATCAACCCGAAGAAGCGTTCACAGCAACAATCCGCGAGCAGGGTGGAACTCGGGAAGGGAGCCACTTGCCACGGAAGCGGACAACGTCTTACCCAGAGAAGTCTTCTGGTAAACGAAGATGCGATGGGCGAAACGAACAAGCTACCCAGCCGAGTGATGGGCACATACCATCGGAAAGCGTCCAAGGTACGTAATAGAGACTATGTCTTGGCCCCCAGCTAATGCTGTTAGCAGTTAACGTAGGAGCACGATCAGCTATTTCCGCGCAGGGTTCTGCGCCGCGAAAGCAGCATACAAACCACAACCCAGCCTCTCAGACACTGCCGGGTGCAAATTTACAAACGCAATTGGAGATGACCTGGGGAGATGATGGTACTATCCACTCACTTCCTGAAGGTAGGATTTCAAACCTGATCTCTTCACTTCTCTGCAGATCCTGACATGTTTAGATCAAATTTCGACCAACAATCCTGCACATCAAACGTCCGTTGACCACCCGGGGACCTCAAACCAAATAGAGCTCCCATTCGACGAGCGAGACGCTGCCCGAATGCTGCAACAATTTCAACAACGGGTGCCACGGTGTTCTTTTGAGCAAGGCGGTACTAGTGTCACTGAGCCCATCAATAACGACCCCGATTCTTGTTTTGACCTCGCCCCTATCGTCGACGAAAATCATCAACGTCAGTTCCCTGGCATAGCCAGTGGAAGAATATCTGGAGAGCCTATTAATTCACGGAATCGTATACCTGAACATACAAGTCCTAACCCAGAATCCCAATCTTCAGTCGAGCGATGGCCGAGTGTATTATTTGACCAGAGCATGTTTCATGACCTCGGCACACAGCTTCCAATATCTGGGCAGCCGACAGTCGAGCGATGGCCGAGTGTATTATTTGACCAGAGCATGTTTCATGACCTCGGCACACAGCATCCAATGTTTGGGCAATCAACAGTCGAGCAATCGCCGAGGAGTGTGTATGACAATCATTCCCTGGTGCTTCCATATAGCCCAGCTGATGGCATGAACTTCCGTCAGTTGCCACTGTTTCCAAATTCTGACAGTTCAAATACACGACCATCAGCGTTCCAGGAAGGTTTTATGGGTGGAGGGTAGGAAATACAATCATTGTAATACATAGCTTCATTCAAAGTACAAGTTTTTGATTACTCCGCTTAGACTACAGAGTCTTGAAACATTGCATATTCATTCTACTGCATACATTCTGTTCTCTCTAATGCCTTGCAGATATCCCTGTTGCTCATCTCGCCATTCATCTTAAAGTATTTTAGATGATGAGTAGGTCAACACAAGAGTGGAAATAGCAGACAGTCCCTGTAACCTCTACAACACTTCCAGCCGGAACGGTTATTATTGAATTTTGATCAGGGTGATCGGATATCATGGCATCGTTTGATATAGGGACGAGGTTCACAGGATTCGGTGTGATAAACCGGGTGCGGTCAGTTATTCTCAGAATTTTAAACGACTGCTACCATAGCCATCAGTTACCTATTATCCATGAAGAGAGGAATGACACTCACATCTGCCTCGACTTCACGTAATATGGTTTCAACTTTTGAAGAGTCTAGAGACTCTATGCTTTCCTTCATAGTATTAGATACCGAGCGCCACGATGCGACTTTATTCACATGTTCTTTGAGGTTTTTCAGTTCATTGTCGCATTCTGGAGGCAAATGGCGAACATTCAGGTTTTTCTTCGATTCGGTCGACATGTCGCTTGGAAAGTAGATGCGGGGCGTAATGATGATACGGCGTGGGAGTCTATGATTCTGAGTGTGCGAAGAGGTTGTTCCACTGGATATAGTCGTAACTGGCGTGTGGAAATTGGAGGGTGTTTCGTGACGAGTCTTGTCAGGTCGGGGAAATATTTTTGGAGGGGGATTAGTCCCAACCCCACCATCCCACAGCGTGGGTTGGCACCCTCTTGGCATTAAAACCAACCTTGCTCTGCCTGTCTTGCGGCTTTTCCATGCTACTTGTATGTTCAAAGGTATCAGCTTTCCAAGAACGGGGCTCTGTAGGCATCTATATATGTGTAAAGTAGAGATGAAAAATTTACATAATTGATTAACTTCATAAACTAGTTGAGTGTTCCAACAAGAAAGACAAGAAATGACGCATGTACTCCAGCATATCCACTAAGGCATGCCTTGCACCGAGTGGAGTGCGCCACTCCTCATCGTTTGGCATTCCCGTCATCAGATGCGACGAGATCAAGTGTAAAGGAAAAAGAAAGCATTAGTCTGGAGATGGCAATTTTATGTGCACTATGTATTGTCATTGGCTGCAAGCTGTCAGATGACCTTGCTTCGGAACTACGGAGAGGTTTTCCCTGGGGGGTCAGAACAGCCGGAAAATCAAAAAGTCTGGAGGCTGAGTACAATTTCTACTGAGTACTATCAAACCTGGGTTCGTCGATCTGACCCTCTCCACCTTGCCGCCAGATATCCAAGGAGAAAACGAAATGTATTGATGGTGAAACTGGATATTCATAATCGGGAGAAACTCTCGAATATCGAAGGAACGGCAGCTTTTGATGGTGGATTTGGCTCATTCTGCTATTTACATGTACTCCTCCAGAGCTGGACAAAACAGGTGGATTGGAAAAGCAAAAGTGAGAGACAAAGAAATTGGTGTATAAGCTCAGAGGGATAATGGGGTGAGATATGTTCTAACCAGGAGAGAAAAACAGCTTTTCGAACCAGGATAATATTGTGGGCCCGCTCCTTCACCTGGAATGTTTTCTAATAATCATTATTGTAGCGGCTCTTCGTGCATAGTTGTCCAACTGAGTTCCATGGCGCTATTCCTGAACTTTGAGGCGGAATTCCGACGGAGCAATTCCCTACAGCGCTCCAGGCTGATCTGGGCTTTTGAAAGTTCTTTAGAAAAGGTAGATCTGTTCTTCCCAAGCCTTCTCTTTTTTTAGCCCGAGGTTCGGTGATATAGCAGATAGCGCATTTCGCATCTTAGCTCGTTCAAAATCTACAAGCATAGGGCGATTGCGGTCCTTATTCCATAAAATATTTCGTGGCTCGACATCACAGTGCAGTACATCTGCAAGGTGAATCGCTCGAAGAGCCTGTGATGTCATCTCAATCACGGATGCCGAATTATCTGATTTCAAAACTTCCGAGATGGGCTGTCCCGCCCAGCTCAAAAGGAGCATATGGGTATAAACTCCCTCGTCATAGTAATACGGGTATTTTGGGTCAAGGACAACAATCCCGAGGCAAACCGGAATGTAGTTGCCTTGAATATCATGAAGCCTGTGGTATACTTCATATTCATGTTCGAGTTTATGTGAATTGTTGCGTTCGACGCCCTTTGCGAATAGAGTGTAGCCATGCGACAAAAGATGGATTTTAAAAGCTGCCCCACAACTTCCCTTCTTGTAGAGAGGGCGACAGCTGGCATCCGGGCCACGGTCCCTGGAGAGCTGCTCTCGGATAAGAGCATGAAATTCCGCTGGTTTGATCCGTCGCTTAAGGTGAGCTAGACAGTTCGGGCAGGAGGTGTCGAGCGGACCATCGTCTCGTAGGGCCAGCAAGCACTGCTGGGAACAGTAAGGTTGGCTTTTGATCTTTGGTGGTTCAGCAGCATGGTCTATCCAATTGGCATCGCTGTCTTCGCTGGATTGCCCTTTCTTACCCGATTTTTGATCCGGGTTAGAGCGGGCTCGAGCGTTTACGGTTCGTCCACGGCGTGCGGATGGCGACAACGGAGATGGAGGCGGAGATGGAGGCGGAGACGTTGAGGGGGAAGGGCTTCTTGATCGGGGTACAATATCTGTGTGTGGCCGGCATCTGGGTCGTAATGTCATCTGAAAAGGAGGAAGCTTGGAAGGGCGTCGGCCCCGATACAGAGGTGAGGCATGCTTCTGCCGAGCGGTTGGAGGTGTTTGCTCCAGGATATCCGGCTTCAGTGGCATTTTCCGCAGCCGTATCCGCCTCCACAGGCATGCCAAGGCGGTCGCTGGCAAAACCGCTCAGATTCGATCCGGAGGGGATGGTGGCGCGCTCGTCGGCATTTCTCCCGTCCCCGCCAAGTGGTCGGCTCCCGTCGTCCGACGAGATCTCCTCCAAAATTCTGTCAAAGTCATTTACTGGAGTTTCGGCGGGCTGGGACCGTTGGCTTGCAGGGCGAGAAGAGATGGGAGGTGTGGCAGAGGGGACTAGGCGGGGGGGCAAAGGGTGTCTGAGCTGCTGTGAGGGACAGAATAGGGAAGTGAAAGCGTCGGCGGTGGGATTGGGTCTACGTGCTGGGGGTTTGGAGGGTGTGGAGATGGCGGGCAGGTTCGGGCTTTGTGACTTGGTGGCACTCATGGGATTTGGAGGTTGATAGAATTGGATCTTGTCCATGGTGACTGCGGCCATGGCTTTGCTCTCTGATTTTGGTTTCGGGGAAGCCTTGATTCTCGTTCTGCGATCGGTGCTTTTGGGAGGGGAAAATCCGGCGCTTTTATAGAGCGACAACTGGAAAAGCTCCTCCATCGGCAGAGCTCCCAAAGTTTACGAAAGTCTCATGGATACACCCCAGCATCTTCAGAAAACGCCTCGCCTCCTCACTTCAACACCGGGAACCACCCGCAAAACAGTAGCCGATCGCCATGCAACACGCGAATGCAACATCGAGCCAGGGTTCCTCCGGACCACGCCATTGATCAGGCCGGAGCTTAAGGACCATCAAAAGGTCACCATCGAGCACACACCCGGAAACGAGCGAGGCAAGCTGGCGTTATCTACGAGGATGAACACAGATTGGTCATGGGGACGTAGAATCGTCGACGAATTAGGTACGGAATAACAGGCACATGCGCTGGCGCCCACGCCCTTGGATCATGCAGGAGGCCCCGTCTCATCGTCACACGATCACTGCGCCCCCAGTTCCCTCGCCCCCCTCAGCTGCAAACGGCTCAGCGTCAGGTTTGCCGACATCCCTCGCCAATCAACAGAATCGTGGGCCTGGGCGTGGCAGGCAATGCGGAGACGGGATACCGCGCTTGGATACAAGGATCCACGGCCAACATTTCAGAGGAGCCAATGCAACTATCGATACCAGCCGGAGGCTCAGCGAAGGCGCCATTTTGTGTCCACACCCTTCCCATGTCACCTCATAGTGTTCTATCGCGTTCCTTGTAATCTCGCTACGTCGCAGGGAAGGGGGGCTGGTTGGAGCCACGTAATCTCGGGTTTCGCCGGCATGAGGGATTTTTGCCATTGGTCACCATTGGCCAAGAGCACAACGAGCATGCACCCGCAATTGCAGCAACACGCCTCCCATGTTACATCTCAGTGTCCAGCCGAGTGTCGCTACACCGCTGGCGGGATGTTGGATCCAAGCAACTTCGGGTTTCGCCGACGTGAGGGATTTCTGCCATTGGTCAATAGTATATAGTGCATGTGCCGAAATTGGAGCTCGAAGGGAAAGAGAGCTAGAAGAAGGAATGCGAGGAAATGGGGATGTTATCGCACGAGACTCGGAGGAAGCCCCTCGCAGGTGGACATGAGAGACACAAAGGGAGCGAGGGAAAATATTCAGAGAGTAAAGCCTGTTGTCCTCAAGCAGAGGCGGTGTGTGTGTTGTGTAAATGTAATCTTTACATTGACGCGGTCCTTCCAAGAAGAGAGAAAATAGGGGGAAAGGGGGGCGCTGACGGGGAGCCTACAAGGGATTTCGTTTGCGGGGAGGGAGGGAGTGGGGGAAAGGAGCCGCGAGGGCGAAACGGTTCGGGAAGGAAGCTCGGCAGCAGGCTGTGGGAGGGCGAAAGGGGGGAAGCGGCAAGGGGAAAGGGGAAGGGCGAAGGGGAAGGGCGAAGGGGAGGAGCGAGGCGAGGGAGGGAAAATATTGAGAAGGTGGAAGGTGCGTGGTCGAAGAGGGAAGAGGAGCGATCTTATATAGGCTCCCGGGACAGATCGATGATGTAACTCAAAGCGGCGAGCTCGAGGGGCGCCAAACCCGAACGGGCGACGGCAGGTTCGAGGCGGCCAATGGGCGGGGTCGACGGCGGCACGCCAGGCCCGTTCGGGAAGCGGCGCGAGGGCGAGGCCGGATGCGGCCGCGTACTCACCGTCTGAATGTTTCTGTGTAATTTTTAAAACTGGCTGATGGGATCATGAATTACATATTTGATTTGATTTTATTTGATCCCAGTCCATTTCTCGATGTGATTTTAAGTGAGACCAGAATCAGAATGAGAGTGTAAAGTAACTAGAATTATTAAAACATAAGTGAAATGAGACTAATAAATTTTGACATTCCATGTAAAGTGACTGACTATGAAAAATTAGAACATGATCTGGGATTGATCATGATTTTGATTGAAATTTGATCCCATTCTGATGATTATATAATACATCAATTTGATGATATAATTGGTGGAGATATTACCTCTATCTTGCTCTTATCTATCTACCACTGTCAATCTATCTATCTATCACTGTCAATCTATCTATCTATCGCTGCCAATCTACCTACTGCTGTCAATCTATCTCTATCACTGCTAATCAACCTACTGATCGCTGCCAATCTACTGCTGTCAATCTACTTACCGCAATGAATCTATTGCTGCCAACCTACTGCGGTCAATCTATCTATCTATCACTGTCAATTTATCTATCTATCGCTGTCAACCAACCTATCTATCGCTGCCAATCTACTTACCGCAGTGAATCTATCACTGCCAATCTACTGCTGCCAATCTACTTACTGCAGCGAATCTATTGCTGGCAACTTAGGGCCTGTTCAGTGACCCCGTCCAGGGCTGTATAAGTCTGTACAGTGCCAGCTATACGGACTTATACAGCTCTGTATGCGCTAATCTGGCCGAAAAAGGCCTGCTGTTCAGTAGATTTTGTGTATAACCCTGTATAACTCATCAAGAGTGCCAAGCTGGCTTCAAAATCCACTTTATAAAGTTCAACAGTGTAATTAATTGAAAAAGTGGTGAGTTTAAACCTAACCAAGTTAAATCTGTACTGTATACACTGGAACAAGTTGTGATTTGTGCTGACTCAATCCAGCGCTGGCCGGCTTGGAACCTGTAAATATCATCAAAAATCAAGGATTATGATGAGCAACAGTGACAATGCAACTCAGAAGACAATACAATAATATCTATATTGTTGTGAGGGGTGATGACAGTGTGAAGAGTGAATAGTAGAAGATAGTATATAGTGTAGTGGAAGATAATAATAATAATAACTATAGTAGTAGTATAGTTGAAGTTGTAATTGTAGTTGTAGTTGTAGTTGTAGCTGTAGTTGTAGCTAATCGCTGAAGAGGAGAAGAAAGAGAAAGAAGATGTGCGAAATACATGCATCCATATATATATACATATAGAAATAGTGGTAGCGAGAGTATAATGGAAAGAGGTAAGAATAGACGAAGATATAAACAAAGATAATATAATAATAAGGAAATAATAAACGAGTGCATTACATCTTCACTTCATGTATGTGTAGTTTTAATGGTTTCTTCATATAACTTTCAACATTCTTTCACTTTATATTTCACTACAGTATGATTTTTAATATTCTTTCATTTCATTTCTTTCTTTATAAAATCTTTTTATATGATTTTTTCTTCTAATCTTTTTTCTCTTTTTTTCTTTTCTTAATCAATTTGTAAATTGTATTAAAATAATATTAATTGTTAATCAAAGTACATTTTTTACAACATTATTTCCTACTTTGATAACTTATCCAGCTTCATTAATATTGTTATTCAGTTGAGGGAGGTATGTAAGATCAAGGATTTGATAGATTCTATTATCAAGAATTTTGTTACAACTTGGAATCTAAAATGTTTCACTATATGAAATTGAGTAATGTCTCACTAATTCTCAGCACTATCTTGTGTGTATAATAAAGCATGATCTTCCTTATAAATACTACCTGTTTATCATGTAATTATCGGAGTTAAAATAAGCAATTCAATTTTACTTTTGATATTTAGTATTTGAGGCAATATTCGGACGTATCCAGTTCTGACATACACTATTTGCGCTGTCCTCGCGGCCAAACGAGGGGATAATCACACAAGTAGCAACAGATCTGTTCAGCTTGTTATATCACCGCGCTTATGAGGCTATGAGGCATGACAAACATAATATAGTTATAAGTTTCTCATATCGGTGGGGGGATTCCACCGATCCACCCTTATCCCTGGATTCTTAAACTTCTCCAACTACATACTATGTATGGATGTAATCGAGCACTGTGGTGGTTTAGTACCATCCCACTGTTTTAGTATGCTAAGGTATGTTAGTAAATAAAGTGCTGAATTTCCTCCTAGTGAGTAAAGCGTATGACTATTTTCAACATCATCCGTCAATTTCAAACATTCATTCAATCATATTCTTCTTTTGAATTTTTCATCTCTCTAGCTTCATTTTGTGCTATGGCAGAAACTTCGATACTGTATATCTGTTGAGATATTATACATTGAAGATGAGTGGTGTTGAGAGCTCTTTTGGAGATCCTGTGCCAATGTGTGAAATCTACTCCGTAGTGACATCTCAGTGGGAGTCGCTGAGGTAACAGCAGGCAATCACATTTGTGTTTTTCTTCAAGTATCAAGAGTTATCAGTTTCCACCTCACTGGTCAGCCTCCTCGGAAAGTTCAGCCACTTTCTGGGGTTTTGAGCACTGGGATTTGAACCCATCACAGCATTGCGCCTAACCACTACGCGATCCAGCCCCCCAGTCCAGGCAGATATATAATCATCACTCTTCATCCGCATACCCTCAGAAGTCGAGGGAGCATTTCCATTATTCTCCACTTTCACATCCTACAATTGACAACCGGAATAGCGCGAAATATACACTAGTACGTGTGTACCATTTAGAACCAATCCATAGCAACAGAAGGGAAGAAAGAAAAAGTATGGAGTCGGCCTCGTCTGGATTGGAATTCCTCGCCCTTCACCCCTTTGTACGCGCAACGGTGCAGGATAGAATCAAGGGGGCCATCATCGGATCTGCTTTGGGTGACTGTATCGGGTTGTATACGGGTATGTACGCTGCCTCGTCTCTTGGTGTATTTTGAAAAATTTGTTGCATTTTCAATGGATGGATGTTGCTCCATGGTGCTCGTCTTTTTCATGCCTTTTTTTTGATATTCTTTCTTATATCCTTTGTCAATGCAAGGCTATGCATGCAACGAGCACAGGGGCGAATTTTCAACAAACCAAAAAAAAAAAGAAAAAGAAAAAGAAAAAGAAAAAGAAAAAGAACATCCTTTGTTTCATGTCGATGATTTCCCCCTTCTGATAATGCATTCCACATCTGCCGACTATTGAAACGCCGGTAATAACAGTGATTCATATGGGTCACTATCTATATTCGCCCTACATTGTCTCCATTGATAACCTTTTACGTTTTCAACCCTCGCACTCAAATTCAGTTGTACAACGAATATCCAATCCGAAAACCTCGTCCTTGCGAAGCCTAGTTTGCAAGCATATGACAGAAAAAAAAAAAAAAATAATAATAATAATAAACGCAGGAAAGCAAAAGACTTGGTTGAAATTTTGCTGATGCGGCCAGAAAATCCTTGTTGGAAATAGAATTCTTGTCCAAATCACTATCTCAAAGCGCGTACCCAGAGGGGAAGTTTCAACTCATCGATCCGCCGACGGAGTTTAGGAATGATGGGCATAGAAGTGAGAGTTGACTCATTTTCCTTATTCGTTTGGTTTTCTTTGTCGATGAGGCTGTAGACATATGCCATGTAACCCCTTTATTTCCACTATTGTTTATTATCGTTACTATTTATAAAAGGCTATTTGACATTGCAGCTGACCAAAGGAAACCTGACATTCAACCTCGGAAGATAAATTCCAGGTCGTACGTAGATCCGATTTGGCCCTCTAAAAAGTATTCAAAGTATAACATACAGATCACTGCTGACAGTTTTTAGGCAGCATGGACCGATGATACAGATCACGCACTGCTCATTGTGCTGTCATATTTGCATCATAACGGCAAAGAACTTTCGCCAAAGGACGTAGCTAAGCGCCTGCAGATCTGGGTCGAACAGGGTTTAAGATGTTTGGATAGACCCCCGTGTGGACTGGGGAGGACAGTAGGAACTGTAAGATGCCCCATTCTCCGGTTTGACAAGCACCTAGGTAAATACACGTGGCTGGCTAGTCCTCCGTGTTGGGTAATGCATGCACCGTATTCGATACTCCTTTTCGAGTGCATGTTTCCTTCTCCGTTCATTTTGTTTTTCTGGGTTGCACGGATATACACAAGCTAACGACGCTTCTGCTACGCCGCAAAACACGATTATTCAGGTAGTTCTCAGTAAAAACTATCTTGACAACCCTGTCCAAGTTGCCTATGATTGCTGGGTTAAATCAAATAGAAACATAGCACCAAACGGATCATTGATGCGCACACACCCGTTGGGCGTGATATGCATCTCTGCTACACTTCCAGAAACCTTCCAGATTGCCGCAGATTACTCAGCCATCACACACGCAGATCCCCGGTGCATCGTATCTTGTTGCACTGTGACAGGGCTTATCCGAGGCATTTTGCGTGGACAAGTATTGAATGAGGGCAACGTAGATGAGATAATCGAGAAGGCTTTTGTGTGGGTAGATGAATGGGTAGGAAGGAGAGCCAGCGGTGTATCTGGATCAGGTTGTACTCCGAAAGAGAATGAGTTACAAGAACACGGGGCTTTGCTTGAAATTGAAGAATATACCAGGCACGCAAGAGCAACCAGCTTCAAAGAGCTTGAACTAGACGATTCTCAGAAAATGGGATATGTCTATAAGACATTTGGAGCAGCGATTCTGGCCCTAAGGCTAGGGATACGGCAAACAGGGTACGAGCAGAAATGCAGAACCAACAGTGCCGCCAAACTACCGCATTCTGTTATTTTCGAGAAAGCAATCACAGAGCTTACGTTTGAAGGCGGAGATGCTGACACAAACGCCTGCGTTGCAGGGGCTCTCCTAGGTTGTTGGTTTGGATATAATTCCCTGCCGCCACAGTGGCGCGACGGTATGCAACATGTCGCCTGGATAGCGGGGAAGTGCGAGGCACTAACTCAAATTGTTGGTGTGGAGGAAACCATTTCTGACAATGGACTGCAACTCAAGTACAATGGAAGCAAGGACCCGGACACCTCGGTTGATGGCGGAAAAGGATTGATGAATGCAGAGGAATTGAAGAAGAGGGATGAGGAATTCATGTATCGGTACCTGGCGAGAAGTAAAGATGCGACGGAGAGAGAGAAGAGGAGGCTGGAGGCTAGTGAGAGAAATCAGACGAAAGGAGTATTCTCGTCATTGAGAGGGTACCTGAGTAAATAGTTTGTCTTGACATATGCTATTGGCTATTAATTTGCGTTTTCTTTTGGCCACAGGAGATCTTGTTGGTTCTGATTGGAGTTCTTATCAACGATACAACATGTGGGTCTTGATACCAGTTTGGGAGTTCCACAACAGCATACCGAAAGCCTGACAGGAATGTCCAACGCATTTTGACTGATTCCAGAATCGTCAATCTCACCAATTCTTTGATTATTTCTAGTTCTTCCTAGTGCCAACGACACTCTGCATTACGACTATGTTCCTTACGGCCATTGTTTAGCCTTTCCCTGGAATTTTTAATCTTGGGGGAGGGTGAGACGCTCAGCAAATAATGGAGTGAGGACTCTCTCTCAAAAACGCCCCAAGAATTTGGCTTCCCTTGGCGGCAGACTCCTGGGCCTGGGCGGCATCCAATTTTAAAATACAGTGATCCCTGCAATCGCCCAACTAAAACGCCGCAGTCTAGCTGCTGCGGTTGGCCGCTTGACACCCAATCCGCCTTCGTGGGCAATGTCCGCTGACTATTGACGGGCCTTCGCCTGTTTTAGTTATGATCCCACAGATTCTGATGCTGTCGAGGCTTTGGTTAGCCAGAGCTTAAGGCCTTTTTGGCACTTTGGCGATTGACGCGAGTGGCCACCACCCCACTGTAGACGTACCAGAACAGCCAGCACATGCTCACTTCGATGACCCCTTAATCGTGTGGGTAGCTTTCAGAGAGAATGCGTTTGGGATTGTTCTGCGTTCCTGGAATCTCAAATGAAAGCGGACTTTTTCTGTAAACCCTTTCTCTCCTCTTCCTTTTCTCCCCAGACAAGCCAACCGATAGTATTTGTTCTGTTTTTACTCTGATTTTGTTTCATTTCCGAAAGATCAGAGGCTTTCAGCCAACCAAACGGGCGACCCGTGAAATCTTTACCAACAGAACGGGTGTCAATTCCACATCTTGGCATCTTGTTCAACTCCCGCGTGTGCTTTTCGAGCTCAATTCCAACATACGACAGCCACACACATTCAGGGGATCATAAAAATGATGGCCAAAAACATCGGTCCTGCCCAGTAAAGCTCCCGCAGACAGAAGGGTAAATCCTTCTGAACAGCCAGCAATTGGACTGCTCCCAAGGAAGGCGTGGGCCTTTGCCTCCCACCCCCTCTATTCCAAACATCAATTGGCTCCGTCAATCTACCATTCTCCTTCGCAACAATATACATACATACCACCTTGTCCGGACAAGCCTGTCGAACATTTCTTATCTCTCTAGAGCCTCGTTATCCTCGGCGACGCACGCCGCATATCTTGGCTTCTCCGAATTTTTCCTTTTGTGTCAATTGACACCCTCAGAAAAGTGGTCACTTATACTTTCTTCATACAAGCTTACCCGATATTTCCAGGATAAAACCAACACGGTGATGCCTGTCGTGGCATAAAGAAATCGAACAATCGAAACCTAGAAATTGAAACCTGTTTCACGCCGTTGTCACAGCTATAGATTACAAACGGCCAGGAGCATTTCAACCCAACCCCTTTCAAAATAACGAAAAGATATTACTTCTCTTTCCGCCAGCAGAGTGTGCATCAACGGTGCAACTCCCAACCACATTTTCAATGGCTTCAATCAGCCACGATGTAAAGGCTGTTGAAGCCAACTTCGATCCGTATTCTCCTATACAACAACAACTCAGCCCTTTTGATGAATGCGACTCTCCCACCCCAAAAAGTTTATCACACTGGGAGACGCAAGACACCCTCCCACCTTCGCCGAACCCATGTCTTCTTCCCCCTGGCAGCCCAGCAGGTAGTGATTTCGATCCTTCGCGAGGAGCAAAGCCATTTTCTCCGTTTTACACACACCCAACGACCCGCACATCTCTCGAACAAGTGAGAAGTGAGGCGCAGGCATGTTGCCAAGGATACAAACTGCACGACGCAGAGAATGGCTATCAGGCGCCCATTAAGCCATCAATGGATTGCCAGGGAAGTGATAGAGGGCTGTGGAGGGTTGGCCCAAACAACGCACAGAAGAAGTCCAAATGGCTAGGAAGGCTTAGCCGGAAACAGAGACTTGTCGTCAAGGTGCTGATTGCGTTATTTATCGCTGGAGCTATGGTCGGAATAGGATTGGGTATTTCAATTTCTCTCGGTGGGGGGGTTTGGAAATCCAAAAACCAGCAAGCGGAGATTCCAAAGCCAGGATGATTGGGGACGTCGGATTCATAGAGGTATGGATATAATGCGCGACTGAACTATTGGCTGGACGCCGTTGTCCCAGATGGGTTAGCTGACAAATATGAAAGGGAAAAGTCATGCTGCATGTTATTTTAACTTCTTTTCTTTTGGGATATTTTCGATGCGTCTTCATTCGCGATGCATGCGCTGTCATTCGCTTCCAGTCACACTCATTCGGGGTCCCCGTGCTGCGGCGCGGATATCATAAAGTACGCCATGTTGTCCTGCCAAAGAAGCTCGGATTCAATAAAGCAACTGCTTCTTATTCATTTGTAGGCCAGGATTGGCAGAGGGATTTGACTAGGAATGGTCATCGGCTGCGAAGTGTTAATTGGGAAGAGATATTTAGAATACATGGGCGTTCTCTTCATCTTTTCGTTTTTCTTTCCGTTCTTTTTTTGCCTCCGTTCTTCTGTATGTTAATGGGAAGCGAGCAACTGACTACATTTCCCAAAATGGGTGTGTTCCTCATACATGCATTCCTGGCGTTCATGGAAGTTGTCAGTCTTCTCAAAGCAACGGACAGTCCTCACTGTAAACACAGCAACGGTACCAAAACCAAGATGAAACTCGATTCACACATGAATAATGATACACAAGCGAAAGAAAGAAAAGAAAGATCGTGAAAAGCATCGGTTTTTATCCGGATGTATTCGGCACGTTAGTATTCCAATCACATGAATATCGGATAAATATACATCCTTCCCGATAAGAATTAAATCACATGATCCACAAGTGTGCTACAAAACCGCTCCGAGTTCAACTTTTTTGTTTCCTTTTTTTTCTCCTTTTCTCTCTTCATCAAAAAGTGAACAGAACCAGCCACGACCGTCGTTCTCGAATAACCTCACAGCGATGTGTTGCCATGAGGCCATTCCTTGCGTCTCAGTGGTTCTGGAGAATGAATATCGTACAATCCTTGATAGGAAGTTTCTTTCCCGTTGATACTACGGGTCCTCTTCATTGAGGGCGATGGGAAGGGAATGTCGATGATGGGATACATAAAATCAAGTTACATGGACAGAATACCCCTTTTGTCCCCGTTCTCTTTCATGGTGAAAAGAGCTGGGTGACGGGGTTGGAATCGGCTATGCGTTGGCGTTGAGATCGGAGCCTAGTGGGAAAAACGCTGTGCGTGTTTGATGATCACAATTCCATGTCTGTCTATTTGTTTTGTATGGTCTGGAGAGAAGATGCCATTTTCATACTCTGCAGAGCCATGTGCATCTTTGTCCCGCCTGGCTTGTGGTTGAGCTGTGGTTGAGCAGTCATCGCCACCGCCAGCCGTGTCTGATTTTTGTGTGCCTAGAGAGGTGAAGGTAGCCCTTAACTGCCTACGAAGTTTGCTGAGGCATATATAGGATTGAATATTTTGAGTATATGAACAGATTGTACAAAATATATAAAATGTAATACTAAGTTAAGTGAGGATAAATTGGAAAGAAACGAACTAGTTAACTGTTAAAGATAAAATGATGTGCCTGATATATTCTTTGAGGATTAAGTTACCTAGGTTCAAGTCAGTCACTCTTACCAACTACCGCTCAAGATGGTTTGTTTGCATGAATGAATATACGATCAAATTAAAGAGATGGTAAACTAAACGAGCCTGAAGATATGGCGCAGCATCACTGTCAAATGTCACTCGAGGACTTCATCAATGTTTCCGGTCCTGAACCATTAGCAGCGGTTCAACGCTCACGGATGAAGGACAATTTCTACAGCATTGTCAACCATTTCAGAGCAGCAGAAACATCCGACAATGTGTACAGTCGCCTTTTGCTTGTTTGCTATATGTATGAATACTGCCGGTCGGAGCTATCTCAGGACACACCCCTACGCACCTTCTATGATTTTATGGGCCTAGATGTCTGTACAGAGCATGATCCTGATTTTGAGCACGAGGAAGACTAGCTGGATGAGAGCTTAGCTAGCTTCGCACACTTCTTACTCGATAATAATTTTTTCATACCGTGTCCGTGAGCTCGATTTACTGGCGTGTTTGTCTTTCTATAGTCGAGGCTTCTGGCCTGCGCACTACTCAACCATCCCCCAGCACATCGCTCGATATTCCAAAGAGTTCATGGAAGGCATCATGAATTTCTTCCAACATCAGATCGGATATCAATTCTTCGAGGTATCTGCCTCATCCGCGACCACCATCGCTGTGTGATCTCGCGTCAACTTGGCCAGAGAGAAGCAATAATTCGATTGACTCAACAGGGTGATAATGCTCGAGATGATGAAGGCAACTAGCAGAGGGCAACCATTTGTGTATCTTGGGGTAGCTCGCATCATTTCACATGCCCTAACGCAAGCCGGTGCAAATGGCCCGTTGGCGGGTCATCCTATCTAGAATGTCACACGGTTTCCTTTCTGGCCGGACACACTGTCTAGGGTGATTCTTAAAAAAAAAAAAAAAAAAAAAAAAAAACCGCACTCATGATTCTTAGCATGCTTGACCGTGGTGTCTCCCATGTTGTTGATAGTGTTAATGCAAAAACGACCACAATTACTGTAGAGAGAGTCTTGTTCTTCACAGACACTAAATATTTGATCAGAACCTTTACATATCAAGAAAGATCCATGATCAAATCTTTTTAAAAAAATACTCTTCAAGTTCACTGAAGTTGGCTCAATACTCTCAGTTGAGCAAACCAAGATACTGCTACAACAGAAAGAACTCAAGGAGAAGATTGCTGTAATCGCAGCGAAGGATCTTTAAGATCAAACAGTTGAAAAAGGACCAAATGCGTCTTTGGCAAAGACGGTGAAAGACTTGGAAATAACCCATGGAGAACTTATTGGTCAGAATACCTCCTTGAAGCTGAGGTATCGTCCGCCTTGCATCCCCGTCTTCTAGCAGATATCATTGTCTTTACGGCCAACAACGGACACTGGGCTTGCAAACAGGGCCTTTAGTGTGAGAAAGCAAACAGAAATTCGTTTCCCCAGAGCCTAGGAGAAGGGTCACGGCTGAGGAAACAGCGGCAGAGCTGCACATGATGTTAAACGAGGATGGAGAGAAGGAGACTGAGACATTTATTATTATTATGTTCTTTTGACTGATAGTCGTACTTTTCCTCCATGGAACTGTTTTACGTTCAAAGGCTCTTGCAACCTGCTCTTTCCATTGTTATTCACGATCTGGCTTCATTTCCAGACAATTAGCCTTCTTCAGCCTCATGTGCTGGACAAATAATGCGCCAGCTGCATCATCATCATCATCATCATCATCATCACTGCTGTCCCCAGCCTGGAAAGGACTCTTCAGTGCCATTGTTATTCATAAACCGGTATGTCTGTGTTGGTGGTGGTGGTGGCTGGGAAAAAGGGCGTTGTTGATGACAATGATGAGAGCAACGAACGACGAGGAGTATAGAAGGGTTGGAAATGGCACCATGTTTTGTCTGTAGTGATTGAGCTGTGAAGAGGAAAATGCAAAGTTTATTGCATGGATTCTTTCCAGCTTGACCAAAATGAATACAGCGAAATCAATCAACGTAGATGGGCGTGGAGGAGGGGGGGGATGGGACTCGGGCGATGATTCATTTGGCGTGGCGAACTGGGTGATTTTTTGAGGGTAACTGAGAGAATAATGTGGACGGACGATCTCATCGGCGCATCGCTTTTGGCTCATTGTGATCATGGGGCAGGCCTATTCCCATGTTTTGCTCAATGTGGTTCGCAGGACACAGCGACTTCATCACTTCATCTCGTCCACAGGCTGTCACTACTAGAGGAGCGAGAGGGTAATGGCGCGAAAAACAAAAAACCCTGGACGTTCCCTTGACAGGTAGTGCATTTGCTACTGTGAAGTTGAGGATAAAAGGGAGGGCATTTTGACGCCAGGGCAATCTGCACTGATCACAACAATGCACGCAAGCAGTGCTGCGTATCGCTGATGATACGAGATTTGGGATAGAAAGCAATGCTCCATTCATGTCGTTTTGTGAAAGAAAGGACCTTTCATTCCCAAAATAGAAACCAAGAAATCGTTCCTCCAAACATCATATTGCGCTCTTGACTTGAAGAAGCTGGAGTTGATAATTGTCCAATCAACTCAAGCATAAAATTAGGGGGTGGATTCAGGAGTGTTTCGGCACAGAGGAAACAGGCGAAACGGATTTGAGAACGGTTTCAGGTTTCTATTTCGAGCACTTGAAACTGGGGGGGGAGCGACTTGCAGAATTATTCTGCAAGGGATGGCAATGTTTCGAATTGTCACTGGTCCATGGGAAAAATAGGCTAGTTTCATGCTTCAGGGCTCAAAATTAGAAACAACACTTGAGCCTGAAACTAACCAGCTAGTCCGCTGTGGCTGTACGGGGATCATGGAGCTATGGCCAGCCAAGGTGAGTTCGGCCTTCGAGCAGGAGGAAGCTTCAAATTGACCATTGCATGGCGGTGAGAGCTGGATGGGATTCTTTCATTCGAGCATAAACAAAACCCCAATAATAGTAATAACCTTCTCGCGGTCCTAGATGGGAGATATCAAATCCCAGCAGATGGGGAGAGATAAGCCATTCATGCATTGCAGGTGGCTGGGTGGATATTTTTTTTTCATGTCATACAGCTCAATGTGCATAGCTGAAGCGCGAAAGAGGAGTCGGCCAGTGAGGAGATCATCGTAGGATTTTCACAGAGCCGGGGTAGAATACACATACCGGCTGCTGGCGCCGTGGGATGTTGTTGAAGCCCAATGCCAGTCTGAGATCCCCAAGTGCGAGCAACATTACTGGCTGATAAAAGTTCCCGAATCACCAGCTATGGGGAAGAGCGCGACAAACTTGAGCTAGGAGGAAGGGCATCATGCCCATATGTCGTTTATGGGGGGAGACAAAAGCGACACAGCATTGAGAATCCCGAGTACAGGCAGAGACAGACGGCGTTGGCGTGTTGTCAACCACTTACTTGGTGCTGGTCCAGCCGCCGAGATGGAACAACCCGTCCCAAGCACGAACCAGAGAGCGAGGCTTGGAGTCGCTGTTGCTTATCCTCGACATACCCGTGGCACGAGAGGATCCGGCCGACTCGTCAATTGGCCATTACGGGCCTGTCGAGCAGAGATTTATCCCGTTTTTATCAAAAAAGGGCCAGTATATGCCCAAGCTCTGCGGGAGGTAAACATCAAAGACAGACATATGTCAGGCGTCTATAAAGGTGGATGAAGGGCTGTGGAATCGAACCTGAGCAAGTTATAAAAGCTCTGCCGTCCAGAGAACGATGGGAGTTCAAATGCTTTGATCATTGCATCTGGCGACCGAATTCCTTATTCCTATCCTGAGCCCACTTAACTATCCAAGATTTGAGCCGAACAAGTTTGTGTCAAGCTTCTGTGCATCACCCTCGTTCCAGCGCACCGAACCTCTGTGACTTGTCCCATTGAAGTGAAGGCAATTCTAGACATCTCAGGGCGGCCCCACAATCGACAGAGTTTCTTTCCGTGCTGTCTGTCTGTCTGTTGTTTAGCCTCCTCCTATTGTTCTTTGCAATTGGTACGTCTCCACGAGCATGGATGCGACTCCGATCCTAGCCCCGTCTGTGAACCCTTTTGGGGACTGATAATTGGTGATTTACTGCGTAGTGCCTAACTCTCCTATCGAGCCAACCCGATTCCAGCAGAACCTGCTGCAGCTTGGGGGCAACAGCCGTCACCCATCAGTGCCGTCACCGCAGTCGCCCAACTGCACGACCGCAAGTGTGATCACTGGCTCCGTGGTCGATTTGCAGGCGTCTACATCCAATCGCTGCGCCGCATCGCCATTCCGCCGCCGTCGACCCTGGGCGAAGCTAGGGCTTGCACCACCGCCGTGACTAGGCTCTTTGCATGTTAGCGGTTGCTAAACTTGGCCCCTGAAGCGTGCTACTGAAACCGCCGAGTTGCTGCTCAGCCTCGCACTGGCCAGATTTACGCGCCGACCCCCAGTTGCATCAAGCAAGCGTCATATCAGCTTCACGCCCGTCCCCCCTCCATCGTCCAAAGGGAGGAGAGCGGCACGCAAGGGCGGAGTACCCTGTTCGGCTTTGGTTGGAAAGTCATTTTTCTCTTCCATTCCTAAAGCCGTCGCATGCAGCGAGTTTATGTGTGTTTTCTACACTCGGCCTCCCTCCAGCAGTTTGTTATTAAAGCTCGCTGCCGGCCACCTGCTTTACCTCTTCCCTTCTACGGTCTCGCTCCCCAAGGCTTCTTGACCTCCCAACCCTCTGGTGTGGCCCTTGATTTGTACTCTCTTCGTGCCCGAGACATTCACTTGTTGTATCGGCCGTCTACTCTCTTCATTGCGGATAGTCAGTTACAATCATTGCCGTCACCATGCCTCCTTCGAAGCCCACACTGCCTCCCATCTCTACTTCAAAGTCACCAACTTTCCCCTCTGAACTTCACCAGAGTCCCGTGCTACTCATGGGGAAGTTGGAAGGTATCAAGCAGGAGGATTCTCTGCAGAAAACACCCATCACACCCCCTGTGGCATATGCAGACTTCCTCAAGTCAGTCACTCCTGTCTTGACCAGCCCGATGAGAACTGGTTCGTCCGTCCTATCCGAGAGGAGCTCGGGACATACCTCCCCAACCACTCAGCCTTCAACTGCTAGCAGCACATTCTTCTGTTCCTGCGATAGCCATAAGCCGCACAAATCACCCGCTGCTTCCATTCCCCCACCATCCCCTTTTGCACACCCAAGATCCGCCAGGACTCCCAAATCGTTGCGCGCGCTCAGGATACCACCATCCCCCAGCATGCGCTCACCCATGAGTGCAACATCTCCCAAGAGTGCATCGTGCACATCAGCACGGTCGCAGTTTTCTCCGTCAGACTGGTGCGGCTCGCCAGGTGCTCGCTACTTCGATCCTCCGCGAAGCGCATCTGGACGAGCTGTTTGCGTTCGACATGTTGTCACCCGCACAGTAACCTACAAGCGCACCCCACTTGATCCAGCGCCAAAAGGCAAGCGAAGGAAAACAAGTGAATAAACGACTCGGAGCGAAACAAAATTATTGTTTGCTCATACCATATTCTTCCTTGCTCGACAGCACTTAACATCCCTCTATAGAGTAAACATTACTCGAACACCAAACCACCGACATGTCCCCTCCCAACCTATCATTCTACCTCACCATCATACCCCCGACCGGTTCTCCTTGAAGTCGGCATATTTTTGCTATGCAATAACGCTATTGTCGCGCGTCCTCGGTGTATTAATTACACTGCACCACAGGCACAAAGGAGTGCCTCGCGCGTATCACACACCGACATTGATCCGATCAGAAACTACCCGACAGCCATGCGCATCCTCATCCCCCTCACTCCGGATGTTTTCGTCCCAATATGACGAGCCTTCTCTCCTCCACCAATGCTCTCTATATTCCAGGCAGGATATACCCTGGACTTGCATAACCATCCTTCTTTATCTTTACTTTTCTTAGCTGCTTTCTGCACTAACGCCGGGAGTTTTGGATTATATATATATATAAATATATATATCTATATACATATATGGCCCGGTGTTCTGGTTTTGGTGTGGGATATGATATGATTTCTTTTCGACGAGGTGTTGGGTTGGGCCCCAGGTTGTTGGATTTCTACCATTATTACCATATTCTATGATGCAGCCACAGCAGAGGGACGAGCTTGTATCTATGTGATATTTTGATCTCTCTCCACGACGCTACTTTTTGTTCGTCTGTCCTGCACCACTCTAGTTTCCTTTTGTATTGAATTTTTGCCTGCTACCGTCATGTCATGACCTCATTAGCCAGGGGGATATAGCTTTGCATATTTACGTACATATACCTAGGTTTTCTTGTTTTCTTGTTTTCCTTTGCTTTTACCAATTTACACCGTATATAAGTAAAGCTACTGTTTTCTGGCGTGGAGGACACCACTGCTGCCCTGCAATGATGTATGTACTAGAGAATGTAGCTGCTCCCCACCCGCTAGAGTTTGTAATCCATTCGTTATTCGCCAGACGTTGGGTTTTAGCCCTAATTTCTGCGTTACGGTACTACGTACTGCGGGTGTTGGAAAAGTATATTTCATGCACACGTCGAGGCCCTGACGAATGGGCGAACCGATTCATCTCTCCGTAGCGTGAGATCTGCATTTCGTTGGCTTGTGGGCAGGGAACCGGATTCGCTGTGTCGTTGGTGTTTCTCACTTTGTCGAGGGGGGGTTGCACAGGAGCAAGCAATGCATTTTGGTCGGCGCTTAAAATAGCATCCATTAGACAACCAAAAATCGACAGCCATTTTGATCTGCGGATTTTTTCAATTCAAGTTCCTTTTTTTTCTTTTCTTCCCCCCCCCTTTCAGAGAAGAAAGGTTATTATTCCACAGAGCAGCTACTGTCTTCTTTTTTTTTTTTTTTTTGGGGGGGGGGGGGGGCTTTGGTTGAATGTGTAACAGTTGCTCCAACACTGCCCCTCTACGATGCGTTATTATTATTGGTTATTGCTTGTAGCTATATAAACCGTGATTGAAGAGGGTTCATTACATGTCAAACGATTCAGCCTTGAACAACGGGAAATAATAAGAGTAGTGGGGGAACCATGGATATATATATTTATATGTATCCCTTCAGCGCCCAGCAGGCGAGAGGAACAATCATGGGGAGAGATGCTTCTGTTCTCAACTGTGGGTTACTTGGATAATGACGTTTATCACTCGCCTCGTGATATTTTTTTCTTTTTTTTTTTTTCACTCTGTGTTTGGTGGGGGGAGGAGGGAAAGAAGATAGTGAGCGCTTGGGGATTGTATAAGCATACGCTCTTCTGTTTTTTGATATATTCTCTCTTTTACGTCTTTCCTCCCAACCAACGTAGAGGGGGTCAAAAATAAGAAGCAGCTAGGGGGAACATTATTGCAAAAATTAAAACCAGCCCACACAGGGGCTTCATATATTCACAAGTGTTGGCTATTCTCAATCACGGTCCTGATCGAATCCCCAATCCCCAACCCCCAACCCCCACAACACTGGCTGGCATACATACAACATCACTGAATCTAAAGTAGAGCAGCCGATATTGATCTTAACATCATTTTAATAATTGTATGTGCTGACGTGCGGAATATGTAAGTCCTTGCAAACACTAGAAAGAAACAGGGCAGCTCTCCCTGCCATGTATTGCGTATGCATTGACCTTGCAATTAACCGAGCACCTGAGGTTAACCCTTTTTAAAACAACGTGTTGAAAAGACGTCTGTAATTTAATTGTAGCCTTCATAACATCCTATAGTTAGTGTAAGTTGCTGGGTAAGCATAAGTTATCAAAGCGTAAGATGATGTTGAGTAGCTTGATTCTGAAGGTAACAAACACATTTCAGAGTCCTGTTGCCATATCGATGGTTTTCCTGCTATAAAAGATATCAACCTGGGCGAATAAAAACTGGTTATATCAGCAGGGCATCGCAGGATCTTCATATTTTCGAGTTCCCAAACTCTCAATGGTATCAGCGTTTTATCGCCATGTCTATACCGTAAGGGCTAGAATATTATCTGGCTGCGGCGTTTGTTTCGCAGAGGTATCCCAACATCGGACAGAAGAAATAAATCTAAGTAAAATTTCCGGGTTTGTCAGCTCACAAGTTGCCATTCCAACGATGTCATACGAGACGGTCACCGAAATCTGACGGGTGTTATTAGCACAGGATGTTCCTGGATTGAATCATGTTCCCAAGCTCAGCGGCAAATATATCCAAAGAGGACCTCATGATGTTCCAGAACAACAGTACGGAGATGAGGATGGTAAGTTCAAGACAGGAAGTTTGCTGGAATCTTGGAAACCCGCGGCTGCTCGCGCAGTGCGGGGTGTCGGTCTAATTTTAGGTGACGATGCCACGGAATCCAGCATCTGGAGTTCCAATCGCATTGGTTGAAACACAGTCCGAAGCATGCAGGCTTCCAGAAGCGCTGAATGGAAGTTGTTTCAGACAACAATAGCAATGGACTGGCGCAGTGTCGGTTCTGGCCACTAACGACTAGCGGCCGCGAGGGAGGGGAAACATTAATGAGCAGGATTAGCGTGGGCTTGTCGCTGTTGTCCGTCGTGGAAATCCTCGCTGTCGCCTGGTATTTGTTTGAGGCTGTGAAGGCTCTGTCCCGTGATTTTCCTTTTCTTCCGCTTCGGCAGACCAGCGGGCTGTAAGGAGCAATTAGCATTTTTGTTCAAAGGACGTGGAGGTTTCGCGTGTTCTGTTTTCTGCTTAGTTACTCGCTTGATTCTTATCCCCTTTCTTTGCCCTTCCTGTCCCTCCCTTTTCTTTTTTTTGCCTGCTTGGTTGGAGGGGTAAAATCATGGCTCAGCCATTTGCTCCGCCCAGCGATTCTGCCGCGTTGGAGACTCCCCGCGTGCCATCTCGATTACTCTCCATAACTGCGCTGGCACGGTTCGAATTTGAGGCCGGCAAGGGCAATGAGGGAACCAAGATTTTGATGGTGGAATGGGAGGATGATGACCTCACAAGGTCTACAGGAACCTGGCATGTGTCCTGGGATGGCAAGCAAACGGTCCTACCTGCAGATGAACAAACATCGGATCATATCCGGCGATGCTATTTCTTACTTTCTCCCGGCACCACCATTCCTCCTGTCGTCACTTTGGCCTACGAGCCGCCGCCAAGCTCTGCTGCAACGGTGAAAAAACCCGATTCCGTCCAGGTGAACCCGCTACCTGCCATTTTCCCACCTGAGCTAGGAGCTACGGCGAGAGCTGCGGGCAAGAAAGGAGTGCTTCACACAATATGGGCTAAAAAGAGGCTGCAGGCTCTAGAGAAAGAGATCAAAGAGGAATCAAAGTATAACCTCGAGGGCGTGGCTCTGGAGATGGCCCTTCAAGAAAAAGAGTGGATAGAAACAAACTTCGGCGTTGGATCACGTCTACCGCCCCTCCAAACAACAAATGTGTCGTCCCTGAATTCTGTACCTCTTAGTCCTACTACCCCTCTCTCTCCTGGCGGTGGGAGAAAGCTCGCTGAAAAATTGAAGGGCTTAAAATTGGGAACGAGTGAGAAGGATCTTACCCGGAAACCTCCACCAGGTAACGCCAGTCGCCTTCTCTGGATACTTCGGCGTCGGGGTTGCTCTGACATGCTGACTCCTTCCAATTTTCATTTAGCAAACCAAGCTGAATATTCAGCGTCCCATCCTCTTTCTCCAGAAGGCCCGGATATGGCTATATCGTCGTTCAACTCATTTCGTCATACACCCATCTCGGATCCCACGAAATATCCCATTCGAAACGCCATAGCCCACCTCCCCCCTGCTTCTATAAAAGCGCAGCAGGAACAACATATATCAGAAGGGGGATTTACCAGACTAACATCCCCAAAAATTGATCAGAACACGGATGACGGATTATTCGCGAAAGCTCTCAGTCCACGTTCTCCAGATATCCCACGAAGCCCATTTTCATTCTCCCCTGAAGAAACTATTCCCTACGCGAGGAATAAACTAAACGAATTATGAAAATTAAGTGTTTGTTCGATTTTATAGCGAAACAAACCTTAACAAAACAAAATAAAACAAAATGGGATGTCTCAGTACTCCTACGTACTTCCCACAGTACTTCTATCCGAAATGGAATAACACGTAAAAGCGATTAACAATTTTTTTTCAAGATCCGAAAAGCTGGGAAAAATTGGCAACCATACATCCACATACATGTACAAGCCCTCCTTTACTGCTTGCAGCCGTTCGCCTAACCTTTTTCCTGACTACATAGATGAAACCCTTACGTCTTAAGACTTACCCTTTTCCCGAATGGCACGTTCACCTCTTATTTAATTTATCATCATCGTTATTACCTTAGCTACTAAGCTTTCAACGCCATCGATATATCTCTTGTTTTCGCCTTCGGCATGTGCCTGTTGAAATTACTGGGAGGGCTATTCATTGAGTTATTTTTGTTTTTAGCTATTCAACCAATCGCCGCGATGCGCTTTCAAGTTGTTTTTCTTTCTTTTGGAATATATCGGGTATAAATCATTAACCCATCTACAATTATGTCCATCAACACTCTATCAATTCATTTTATATTCTAATTCTATTCTTCGATTGCTGGGTTGAGGAATGGCCCAACGCCGAGTCCACGGGTATTTCAATTGGATCACACATACATATTCGTTACTTGAAGGAAATCCATTCCTTTTCATAAACATTAGATAATTGCTATGGCTCGAATCGATGAGTATGGCAGTAGGGCAGCAGTAGGGAAAATATGAAAGGTTTGCAAAGAGCCCCAACTTCAGCTTTTTGGCTTATCTTAATCCATATGTGAAAAAAAAAAAAAAAAAAAAAAAAAAAAAAAAAAAAAAAAAAAATTCGCTCTAGTAAAGAATATCCATAAGGGAATCCAAAAAAATAACGTAATAACCGTTCACAGAAATTTCAATGATTTCCTGAAAGAAAAAAGGAAAAAAAAAAAAGTCAATCGAACATAATTGAGAGATAAAAAAAAAAAAAAAAAAAAAAAAGGAAAACGGAGAGGAAAACAGAGCTACTCGCAGTTAACCAGCAACTAACCACCACTTCGCCCCCGTTGAATAAATAATGAGCAAAATCACTGCTTCTTCTTTGACGACGCACTGCTATTTTGCCTCGCGACCTTGGGAGCGTCCTTCTTCGCCTCGTTCTCCTTGCTCAGGGCGTCCGCTTCCTGCTGCTCCTTGCGCTCCGCATACCATTGCCCAGCTTGCAAGACCAAAACACCTATCAAAACCAGCGCCAGAATGGTATTACTCGCCGCCATGACCTTCAAACTATCTTCACGACCGAGTACCTGATCCGACTCATCCTCCGGGTCCGGGACACCATAGTTACCCGACGAGACAATACGCAGGCCCTTGACGACATTGGCGATATAAACGATGACGCCGCACATGTAGAGGACGAGGCTCGCGCCGTCGAAGAGCATGTTGGATTCAGAGGGTTTGTAGAGTTTCCTGATGAGAGCGGCTAGGCCGAGGAACATGACGATGTGCAGGATGCGCGGGATGAGAGGCGGAGAGGCGTGCATGAATTTCAGGTGACTTTCTAGGAATGCGTAGTAATCGCTGGGCGTGGGTTTGGTCGACCATAAGATCGGGTAGTCGTAGGGAAACATGGAGAATATTATCCCGAGGAAGAAGGAGGTGGCTGTTTTGTAATAATAATAATGACGATGATAAAATTAATCAGCGATCGTGAGATGATTCATTTGTTTGATGTTAATTCTTATCATCATTCAAGTGCAACTCGGCTGCACCTGATTTGTGATCCCAATTGCAGTTTTCGAGCCACGCTCACAATGTGCGCTGATCCAAACTGAGATGAGTGGGTTTCCCGGGACTTACGGCAAACAATAAGGAAGGTCACAAAGGACCCAGCATTCGAAGTCATGTTTGTATTAGGTCAGGGCAATAGATACATATATTTATCTCAAATCGATGCGCGTGGAAGTCAGAGCTGACTCAATTTGGATTTCTAGGCTGCGCTGAATATTATTCCTTGGTAGAGGACGCATGTACTGACGTTAAATCAAAGTTCTAACAAAGACGAAAGTTAGGATTCTGTTCTTGAATGAATGCACCATGTAGTATTTTCCTCGAAGCATAATTTGAGACAAGGCTATTCACGGTGCAAGAACAAGGCAGCTTACCGATGTACGTTGGTCGGTTAGTTTGCGACTAATGCCGTTGCGGAATCGTCACCTTTCATATGCTCGAGATGATCAGATGATATGTAGGCTGCAATTCGTCGCAAAGCAGAATGTTGCCCATGGAGATATTGAGGCAGCATCTAGGATACGTGGTCAGTATAGTCGCTCATCAATCTGAAGTCTCTTGAAGACGTTGATATGCGTAGAGGTTATTTCCGACAAATCTCTAGCGTTGCGACCTCAGATCATCTTCAATTGGGTTAGTTAGTTGACTAGTTCACTAACTAACTACCTAGTTTAAGGGTTGATTACTATTATATTAAGTAAGCCCTTAGGTCTTGGCGCCGAGACGCAAAAGAGCTCCCCTCGGACAAGGAACAAGCTCTTCGCACGATGCAGCGTTCGCTCTGAAGAGGAGTCCAGGCATGAAGAAAAATTAAGAAATAGAATGTTTTCAAAGGGAAAATTAAGACGTTTACGTCCCTTCAGGGCAAACATTAAGACACGGACCTATTCAGCAAATTGGCACAATGAAGACAGAGATTCATCAGAAGCCAAGGACCATGAACAAGTTGGCCCTGGTGCAGAACCGTAATATTGCTACTCTGCCTACGACTACCTGTTTGCATTTCGCATTTTGATGGCAAAATGCCCATCTAGTTAACTAACATCCTGCGAGGATAATTCATGACATCATTACCCGCAAATCAAAATGAAGCTGTTTTGCCGAAGAGAAGATATCGCACCGTAACTTGGAAAACAAGCTTAAATTTAAAGTTAAAAACCAAACTCTAATTGACAGCTATTATTGCTGAAAACATAGGGACGTTGTTGGTTATTACGCTTCAAAGGGTTGAGCATAGGATACAAGCACATACACTCTGTACAATCGACTTTGAAGAAAAGGAAGTAGCTTTACTCATCAGTGCAGGCAGCCTCAAACATTCAGGCTTAACGAGTGAAAACCTTCTGCATCGAGGGATACACTGACACCTTCAAGACATCAGCCAGCACCGGCTTCTGATTCTTATTCGTTCCGTACCGCAAGGTCTTGATAGGCCTGGGATCTCTCTTTTTGAACCAAGCCACGTGAACGAAATCAATGCTGACTTCGAATCCTTCACCTTGATCATGCACCATGATTGCGGCCTGAGGGTGTTTCAATTTGCCATCGAGGCTGACTCTCTCCTCTGGACCCCATTTGCCTCCCAAGTTGGTGTTAAATACGATCTGGCCCTCTGCACGACGGAAGGAGATCAAGAACAAGGTATCATTTCCATTCTTGAAGGTCACCTGGGTGTTGTCGATGGTGTCTGTCTGAATCTGGTTCAAGTCCACTGAGGTAGAGTCGAGAATTATCACACCGTCAGCCGTGAGGTCGGATTTAAGGTCGAGCGAGCTATTCAGATGGAGCCCTGCTGATGGAGGAGCAGGACTAAAGAGAGTTAGTGAAAAGCGTTCATGAGAATTAGCTTCGAGTGGGAAGCTTACGGGTTGGTTGGTGGCGGCGCTGGTTTCTTCTTCAGCTTTGGATCGAGAGCCCCATCAGGGCCACCTGCTAGTGATGGAATATCGCGGAAACCTTTAAATCCGGATAGTATGGTTGCATTTTTGTGGTGCTGGGCGGTATTGAAGGAGCCAAGAACTTCAAGCTCAATTTTTTCCATCTCGTACCTGCCCAGTTCCCTTCCATGCTGTCCTCTGGTTAGTGTTTGCTTCGAAAGTGTGGGAATTGTAGGGACATACCTGGTAAAGTCTCCAGTACAAATTTTTCTGGAGAAATTTGGTAACAGTAGCTTCGTCCAAAGATGCCAAGACCCCCCTCTTAACACATTGCACAAGAACATATGTAATCGAGAGATAGGAGGTGGCCTTCGAATCAGTTGCTTCTACGGAAGTGCAGTTACTGCAGACTTCCTTCCCATCGACAATCGACGGGAAGCTGAAATTGTAAACCTCAGTAACATAGTCACTTTCTGGGGTTCTGGGCTTCCCATCGCCTGGAGCTAGATATATTTTGATAGTGAAGGGATTTCCACCCAACGCATACCTGTATACCATTAGCTTAAGATCAACCAAGGATAGGCTAAGGTAGTGTGCAATTACTTCTTGTATCGGACGCTAAATGCAAAGTCGTTTGATTTAACTCCATCATCTGTCTTGTCGCCGAGGGCAGGGTTCTTCAGCAATTCAGTTCGTGAAGCTCCATACTTTTCGTTGATTATTTTCCTGATATCAGTCACATGTAGGTCCCTGTTATACGCCCCTCCGGCATTGTATTTCGCGTCCCATGTTTGCAATTCGGGATACGTATAGCCAAAGTTCAAAACGTCTCTAGCGCCCTCAGGGGTCCAGCAAGTGCCCTTTGTGTCCGTATGGAAGGGACGAAGTTTCGTCTGCGGCGTGATGGTATCTGCAAGTCCAATGGCCTCTTGAAAGAAAGTGTTCTTGTCTGCAGTTTCGAACCATTTGTCTGGATTCAAAGCCTGCCAGATAGCCCACATCCGATCAATGTTGCTTCAGATGCTGTTAGTTACTAATTGACACCTTATCGAACTTGGAAACCAAAAAAAAAAAAAAAAAAAAAAAAAAAAAATTCTTACCAATGGTGAAGCCAGAAAAGAGGGTCAAATGTTGCCACGGGAATTTCTGACATATGCCCAGTATAATTACCTCCCACCCAGCCATGGACGTTGTTATGGATATATTCGAGATTGATATCTTTGCTGATGTCATCTTGTCCTTTAGCACGGAAAGTGGTAGCGAAGGAAGGGTAATCCAAGGGGTGTGTGAGCAAACGGTACACCATTTCGGAAGCGGCTCCGTATTTTCCATCTCCCATCCAACCTGGGCTTTTGAGCGCAATCCCGACCTGGTTGTTGTTTACCACGCCGTTTTTCCAAGTTTCGGATTCAGGATTTTGGCTATCTTCAATATCAGGGCTTCTACTGGTTCCGATACAAGGTCCGAACTGTACCACTATTAGTCTATAATCATCAAATCAACAACAGAGAACATGCAGATTACATGCATTAAAATACATCCCCTTCCCACCTTCCCCTGCCCAAGGGTCGAAGACTTGACCGACTCCTTCGGATAGAAATGGCTCGTTTGTTGACATTTTAAATTGGTAGAGAGGGTTTTCCACTCTCTCTCGTTTTCCATTGGGGGTTGGGATAGTAGTTGTCGGGTATTTGGCGAGTGTGGGCACTCTATGGTTGATGGCCCAATCCCAGAATGGAAGTCTCCAGGAATCCGCAGCTTCCTTGAGTCCGGCTTGCTTATCCTTTGGGAACTTAGGGATGATATCCGAGATCATGTTTTCGTAAAGGAGTTGCTGTGCTTGTCAGATTAGATCTCACAGTTGGAAACCTTTAAGCAAGGAGTTTCAGGCAAAGACATACTTCCAATAGTGCAAGATACGGACGATGCCATATTGGGAAAAGGATATTGTTATGAGTGCAATACCCCTTGTCTTTGATATCTGCCAAGTCGGTGTCTGGCTCATCGTATGGAACATATGGTTGGCCGTGGATCCCTGGGAACATGGTTAATACTTACATTACATCGTTCACTTATACTCTTGATATTAAACACTTACCAGCAACTTGGAAAAAGGAGCCTCTCTCTCGAGGAGACGTATTCATCAAATTGCGCCATGCCATCACAAACAGGTCTACCTGATCGGCATTTGCCTTGTTGTTGCTCCATTCGTCAATTTCTTGACGGATTGGAGCTTTCTTCTGGTCAGGCACCGTCCCTGCTTTGATGCCGGTAATTGCGTAGTACTCATAGGGACGTTTGCTGAGGTATTCGGGTGGTTTATAATTGGTTCCGGCCATCTTGGTTGACGGAGCGTTTTTCTCTCTGGATGTGTGTGACGAATGGTTTTGAAGGGATGGGCTTTTGGAGGGACCTCCGAATATTTGGCGAAGCATAGAGGAGATTTTAACAGGGCATTTAGAACTTAGGAAACTGGAGAATATATAGCTTGCCGATGGTAAATAAGAGCATGATAGATATGGGACCCGAAAAAAAAGAATCACTCTTTTGTATCTCGTCCCATGGCCTGGCCATCATGTTTTTCTCAATTTTGGACACAGAATGGAAGCAGCCAATTATGATGAACAACTAGACGTCCACATCCCCGCTCCAAGGAGAACGATGATGGTGGCATTCTGAAGCTCGCTTTGGTGGCTTGGAAGGATGCCTGAACATAGTCCCATCACATCATTCAGAGTCAACGCAACACAAGTGATATTCAATGTGCTATTTTGAGTAGAGTTACTAGTTCCGTTTCTTCAAGCAAATTGAGGGAGCATGGGATGCATCCCTTGCTCCAGTCGAAAAGCTCCGTGGATTCTGTGGCTGGCTAGACGGGGCCAAGTCACCAATTGTGTTCAGCCAAATGCGTCATGTCATACCCATGCTTCTGCACGCGGTTTCTCCGGCGAAGTTGAAGACCAAAATTGGTTTGTTGGGCGATTTGAATGTCGTCTGGAAGTGGAGCTTGCGCTGCATCTCCCCTAAGCTAGGCCCAAATTTCGGTCTGAACCTCGGGTCATCGTCTAAAATTTAGCCCTCTTGGAGAACAGAGCCATGATCATCAATTCTAACTAGATTGAGTAGATGAGCTTCACCATCTAACTGCTTTGGACCTAGAGCCTGCTTGACAATCCAATGTATCCTGGTCCAGAATGAAAAACCTGCAGGATTCAGCTGTGATTGAGCAGGAGATATGAGACTTGGGGCGCCATGAACGGGGAGAATTTTCCGCACAATTCTTTCCCCGCCAGAGAGTTTGAAATCCCGTCGGTCCGTCCCGCTGATATTGAGGTCTACTTTGATATTTTACGAAATACAACTTGTGGGACTGCTCCTGCCGATCCTCTGCAAGAATGACGATGAGACGACCAAACGAGGACTGTCCACAACCAGGTAACTATCTCACATCGTGGATTCGTGGATCGATCACATCTCCTCCCCCCGTCATTGAGATTGTGGTTGACGGCGAGGAGCTGAAGAAGTAAGCTCCAATTTTCCACACCCCATATTTTCCTGTCTTTCAAATTTGGACCCTAGCCAGCCCTTTCATTATCAGCTCGCCCACTGTTATACTACTCGTTTGGCAATTTCGAATCGACGATGATGCCTGAATTGGCTCAGATGTTATTGTTCCAACATACCCTGCGATTTCCCTGCTCTGATACGTCTCGCAAAACGCAAGGAACCTTCGGTCTGTTCACGCTTTTTCCTCAGGTCACTATTCTGCATGCATATGCATACCCAAATTAAGGTGGTCCATATTCAGAAAGCTCCACCGGACGCCACCTGGAAAACAGCCGAATTCATCGACAACTTGGTCCCTCTCTATTTTTACAACATTTATTGCATCAAAATTGGCTCGCTTGGACGGCTCACATGTCAACCCTGTCTGGATTTTCATCTGAACAATACTTATCGACCTATCTGATCTAAAGTATGAAGCGACAACTTCGGGCAAGGACCTTTAAGTTGGCAAATGCTCACATGAACCCACTGTGCTTGAGGCCATCTTTTACCCAACCACATTTATGAATCTAGGGTTCAGGGATTGAGAAACATCTCCATACCATGCAGCAGATGCATATTGAAGTTGCAACAGCAGATCACCTATTTCGAGTTCACTCCTAAGGGCCACTTAAAGATCTTAAAGATCTTATATCCACTCTTTTTTGAGAAAACGACGAAAAAATATAAAAAATAAAAATCGGTGATCGCTTTGTTTACATTGTTATGAAGCTTATCGGTTCAACGCTCACTTTTGACCTTCGATCTTCCTTCTTATCTAGTTCATTGTTTGACCCGATAGCAGTTTCTTTTCACCTTGATTTAGATAATTTGATAAGTTATTGTGAAGGTTGCCAATCGCGGAGAAGGAAGCAAACTTCATCTCGAGTTCACTTTTGATCCAAACGAGTTATATCCCCTCCTTTTTGCTTTGCCTCAATATCCAGAGTTTTCAACTAAGCCGTGGACACCATGCATACATTTCATTGAAGTTCCAAATCCCTTCCGGAATTGCCCAGTAAATGACACAAATTGGACAAATACTGGCAACCCGCACATAATCCAGTTCCAGAGTGCATACTTGTATCAGTTTGTTTTGGCCAAGTTCTACTATTGCATTTCAGAGGGGAAATGCTCCCAAGCTGTAATATGATGAATATTTTGTCTGATTTTTACTTAGACCCACCGATTGTATGTTATTGAGATATAATCTGTGGTAGAATTGAACAAGCATCCCAAGAAAATAAGGTTATTGTTTGAGTTCCACTAGTCTAAATCAGGCTAAAGAGGATTCGAGCCCCCTGAGGTTTGTGTGATGGAACATCTGTCCTACAGCAAGATGCCTCTACGTTCAGATTCGGCTATGACCTCCAGTCTTTTGAATGAAGCAGGTTATCGCAGACCAGGATTCAAAGAGTGGAAAGCTGAATGTTTCGGAAAGCCAATACTTCCAAGAATGCAGTTGTTCCGTGTACCACATGAGAGAAATGAATTGTTCATGGAAAATAAAATGCGGATATTACAACATTTCTGCCTCCCCGTGCTCCCTTCCGCCCTTCCGACAATTTCTCTTTTGAACTTCACTATGCTTCCCAGAGCTCTTTGACTCCTGGTTTCACTCTGAAGATGGAATGGGGTTAGGACTTGGCGGGAACATAGTATATTTATTTGATGCTCCTGAAGATATCGACAACGATGTCTCATCCATCAGTCAATGGGATACTCCACGAACCAAATACAATGTATCTGCTGTCCCAACTCCAGACGTTGAAAGCTCGTTTGGACTAAACTATCTCAAGGCATTCTACCATGGCTTGCCATTATTGACAAGCTGGAAAAATGATAGTGTCACGAAACGGGATTCGAAGTCCAAAAGTAAACAAACAGAAGGACCTCCCGCATTCGAGATTTTAATAGCACAGCAGAGTGCGTTGAATTTGGACACTTCACTTCACCAAACAACACCTTTCCGTACCAGCTGGAACTGAACAACTTTCTTGATGCTGTAAGAAGCAAAGAGCGCGCACGTGCTGATGAGGTAGTGAAGTGAGCCCTCTCTGAAAGCGCGGATGACAGCTTCGTCTTTTGCAGTTGGGATTTGGAGTCAGCGGTGTTGCAGTTGTTTTTACATCAAGAAATGACCAGATCTTCGACGGCAAGCACAATATCAACCGCGATAAAAGCTGGTCAGATCACTTTATCAATGCTACGAAGTTATCATCCTGGGGACCCACTTCAAGGCCGAAGAAGCGAGCCAAAACCCCCAACCATCAAGCAGCAACGACGAGATCCATTCTTTTCACAACATATAGGGTTAGGGAGGGTTGGGGTTTAGACTAAGGGGTGAATGGATAAGATGTGAAATGTGTTCTCCACGTTGTAATTTACTGATGTATCGCCGTTGTTTTATGCTTAGATTTCGATTCCCCTGCTTTTGGTGAGATTTATATGGCAAATTCGTATCCATATCGCAATCCAGTGTGAACTACAGCAATTTATGTGGAGAAGTGCGGAATATAAGTCCTTGAACCCACTAAAAATATAAATCTCAATACTCCGCACCAGAGGTTAAATACATCCACTCCTCATGGTAGATGTTATGTGGCCTTGTTGCCTAGCTGGAACAGCCACACTTTAGACTGTCAACCCCTAAATAAACCCACACCAACAGTTTTGGGCTTGCCAACTGGTTACAAGCTTACCATAGTTAACAAGTCAACTAATTTTCCACACATACTCACTCATGAAAGGGGGATGGAGTATATTATAAAATTAGAATCATTGAACTGATTCCTTTGAGCGGATTTCATAGAAAAATTCGAATTTCACAGTTGTGTGGAACTAAGTTAGCTTAAAATAAGAATGATAATAAAAAATCGTTTTGGCTAGCTTCCTGGTTGCACGGGACCCATATGGCATACACCTCTCTCAGTCTTTGATGCTGGCTAATGTTCCGAAAGAACGGAGGCGGGAAAACAATAAAAATAACAACAATAAAACAAGAATCAGGATAAATGGAAAAATGGAAAAGGGAGAGGTTAACAATAGAAGTGAAGGAGGACAAGTAAGAGGTACTCCATAGTTAGCAGTAAGTTAAGTATCAGGAAAATTATCTACCTGCCAATAAAAAACATAAAAAATAAAACGAGAGATTCAAAACCAACCTCTTTCACCTTACTCCGTACTCCCTGCTACACAGTCCCAGGTTTCTTTCTTTTTTGATTTCGACTCGCCATCCACACTCCCTAGAACATTAGAAAGTTTCCAACAAGAGAAACAAAACGAAATAAAATTAAAAAAAAAAAAAAAAAAAAAAAAAAAAAAAAAAAAACCCGGGGCTTCAGGGAACGGAAAAAAAATATGGTAAGTGTAGATAAATAAAATAATAGATAAAGGTAACGCTTAACTAAAGGCCTTTTGAAGAAAAAAAAAGGTAGAAAACAGTAGAGGAAATTAAGAGGAAAGCAAAATGGGTTTAAGACAGAGAAAACGTAATCATTAGAATTGAGCGTACGTAAGTAGGTAATAACAAGATAATTGGAGGTGAATGGATAAGAAAGTGGATAGAATAAATGGAATGGAGATGAAGAAGTAAATTGCTTCATAAAAAGCTTTCCCTTACAGCCAAAAACCGCTATACAACAAGAGAGACAAAAATTGGACAAAATAGAATTCCACTGGGCTCAAGGTATTTGTGGTTGGATCACGGGCAGGAAGGCATATGTGAAATCGTTTCGCGGCTCGGGGTAGTAGGCCGTAGCGAGCTAGTAGTGGGGTAAGGAGGCTGAGAGTTGGGGAGGGAGGGAGAGGGGGGAAAATGGGTTTGGAGGTGGCCGATAGATGGAAGGGTGGAACGGAAATGTCATCGTTGATACCTGGGTAGTAGCTCTGGAGATGCCAGTGGCTGTGCCAAATCTTCCTCAGTGAGCATCGGTGCCGATGGCGCAGGCCGATCTTCTTCGCCAATTGAGGGACCGGATGCAACGTTTCCGGCTGTTGAATGGCTTCGTTCAAGATCTGGCGCACTAGCTTGGGCGAGAAGGCGTTGCCTTTCGAGCTCTTGTTTATCATCCTGGGGAGTCTTAGGGGAAGGAATGCCCATATCTACATTGGGTCGAGGGCTAGGCGTTATGGTATTTATTGATGGGGCCGAGGCTGGAGAGACGCAGTCAGGATATTGCGATGCGGAGCGGCTGGTAGGGATTCTATAACTATTGTCTACTTCAAAAAAAGTAGGGGCAGATGGAGCAAAGGCTGTGGTTGCCGCGGACGGTTCATTTTCCACACCGTCGTCATCCGCTGGACTGCTGGGGAGAAGAGTTTCCTCGGCTCTCCGTAGTTGGGTTTTCTCATCAACCGCTTCTTGGGGAAGCGCAGGAGGGATGAATTGAGGAGGAGGATATGGAGAGAAGCTATCTTGTGGATGACCTTGCCACAAGCTTACTTCGTTGTGGTCGTAACCGTTTTCATAAGTATAATCGTGCTCATCATATCGGTGTGCATAAGGGTGATGGTGATCAATTTCAGTAACGGTATCAGGTTGGGCAACTTGAGGGGTAAGGGGATGGGAGTCCACAACGGGGTTCGCTTCCGATGTTTGCGGGTGGTGGCCTTTGCCGGAATCCTTCGTACCTATCACAACTTCGAAAACGCAGGCAACCACACTCTTTTCTCGTCGTACTGTATCCGTGTCAAGTATATTGTTTCCACAAGGAGACACCGGGTTACGCCCTTTTTCCGACAGAGTTAGTATTTGGCCATTTGGGCTATAGTTATAGCTGCTTGAGCCCGTCACCATATTCAAACGCGGAATAAAACGGTCTTGGCTCGCTAACTTCCCACGCAAGTCCATTACCACTTCGAGATAGTATCGGAAACTAATCATGCCACCAGGCACATGCGTTATAGTTGGGAAAGTATCCTCTGGGATCCTGATAGACGTTTTTACGGTCGCCGTCAGGGCGACTGGGTCCACGATCAAAGGGGCAAAGATTTGAGTCAGGTCTTTCCTGAAGACGCTACTTGATCTTGTGGCCCCGAAGGATAGGCCACCCAACCCGGTACGAGACTTTGGATAATAGTCTTCGAATACCGGCTTCATGCCTTTTTCAGAATAACCCACTGGAATTGCAGGGTGGTAATCTATCCTCCCTTGTCTATAGAGGGTGATAATAATGCCATTAGGGCTTCGGATAGGTTTCGTATGCTGTATTGTGATCTTCACTGGCAGGACGTCACCGGGAACGCCCCCCGGCCGCGACAGCTCCGTTGTGGCTGTAATGGTCCTTTCTGCGGAGGGAGTATTCGAGCTCAGAGAGTCATCGTTCGCGAGGCTCAAACTTTTGGCGGAATTGGGTTCGCTGATTATTTGGAAGCTCTGCGTGCTGTTGCTCATGCAGCTCGAATTGCTCAGTTCGCTGGGTACGGGACTGAGTGGCGGTTTATTTTCAATTCCATTGGCCACGGGCTCAGCAACAGTCGAGCTGTGCGTAATCTGCTCCCGAGACGCGGATTTCGTCTTCGACCGCGCCTTGGATCTTCTTATTATTGGTTCAAGAGAGATAATGCGGGCTTTGGGAACAGGCAACGGTGCAATGTCAATGGTTTCTAGGAGCATAATTCGTTTGTCGCAGGAAATGGTTGGAGATATAGTCGTAGGTCGTGTTAGAGTGGATGTTAGCATATAAGATATGGTGCCACGTTCAAACTAAAGGCCGCGTCAGTATATCTATGCGCAGAGCTCACAACGACCCTCCAAAAAGTAAATGCGCAATATTTTCTAGAGAACAGTCAATGTACGTTTACATACCGTAATGCTGCTGGGCAATCGACAAGCTGGAAATACCATTTCAAACTGGAACTTGTATATTCCCTCAACTAGGCGACCATCTCCACACAGGACAACTTCGTCCTCGAAGAGCGTAGCAAATCCGTTGCCCAAGTATTCGCCATTCCTTTTCCCACGGCCCGGACCAAGAAAGCCAGACGCATCCGACACATCGCCCGGCGCAACTGTAGTTTTGTAGACCCTCACATAGCCATGCAGGCAAAGCACCAGATGAGTGATGCGGATCGGCTTCACGACCTTCAAGACCACGCAGCCCTTCACTAACTCGCCAGAAAAGTATGTCTTGTATGGTTCATCCAACTGTATATAGAATTCAGAAACGTTCCGAGTTCTGTTGCTGAAGCGATCGGTAAACTTGGATACCAGGGAGCGGTTTCGAGTCGACGGAGGAGAGGAGGATCTGGGAACGAGATCAAACGACATGGCAGATCAACTGGATATCGTCTCCATACACACAGCGGCTCGCATGAGTATTCGACGACGGACGTCACAGGAGGAAAAAGGGAGGATGCAGAGGGGAGGGCTCGACGTCTTGTTGTAATGAGGGTTTTCCGGGGGCAGTCGCTGGCACGCGCCACGCTTCCACGCTTTCGGATTGCGCGGTACAAGGAGAGGCTGAGCGGGTGCCGTTGTCAATTCTGACGACGCCGAAAGCGGGAGGGTTGAGGAGGGCGAGACTCCCGGTAGTGAGAGCAAAGTGAGTGGACGCGAAAGCGGGCGGTGATCGTGGTGTTCTTGTCAGGAGTCGGAGGAGCGACGGGAGAGAAGGCGATGTCGGGTACAACAGTCATGGTCCCGGGAAAACAGAGCATTTGCAGAGGCCCCGAGGATGGTTCAGTCAGAAAGAACAAAAGGCATCTCATGGGACCAGCCGCTTTGCATGTTGCAGGGGGGAAAGGACCAGTCGTGGTGATTGCGGTGGGCGAAGGAGGGGGAGAGTGGTGGTGGTGGTCGGTGGTGGCTCAGGGACGGTATCCAACAACAAGTCTTGCGGGCTAAAGCGTAACACTTGGGTCCAGGTCTGGAGGAGGGGATTATCCAAAGCTTATGATTCTTCAATTTACTCTGTATTCCACTGTACCGTTACCACGGCTGGGGGCTATCCATTATTGCTTCAGCTGTGCTACACTTGGGTCTCTTCTAGACTCTACTATGTACTCACTGTTTACCACTACTTTCAACGGGATACTCCATGTTAATCTGCTTTCGTTTGTTATGCACTACTCCGTACCATGTACTCTCTTCTTTTCGTCTTCCCGCAGCCACCGAGACGCCAACAGTCTGGGGAGCAGCAGCCCGTCGGACTCCGAGAGGCAGGCGCACATGCATTGTTAAGCAGCTGCGCAACCCGGCGATGGAGCGGATATCTGGCCAGACAAAGGTTTCCGAGGCGGTGGTTCAAGTCAAGCTTTTGCCAATGTGAAAAGCTTGGGAGTCTTGTTGATCCGATCGACAATCGGGCTCCCAGTGAGTCCAGTCCCTCCAGTGTGTGTGATATATAACATGTTTATTGAACAAATAGTAAGTATCCCAAGAGAATTTGGAGACACCAATTATTTGATTGATGAAATGAATCTGCCTGTCGCTTTACTCACCCAGGGGTGAGAACGAGAAAAAGAAGGCATTGCCGAACCACCAGTTTATCCAACGATTTCTTCTTCGCCTGTGTTGGCTGCCGCCTGACGGCGGCCAGGAAGAAGCCCAACCCATGAAACCATGACCTCCCACCGGACTACCACTGGGTACACGAGTAATGTTCGGACCCAAAACATAACCGAACGCCCTTGTCTCACGAGAGTATCTGAGAACTTTACGGAGTCCGGGCTCACAGGTTCGCAACCATGCGAGGATTTGAACTAACTAACGAACTAACTAGTGGTTATTTGGGGTTATTTGGGGAGGGTTCTTGGTGGCGTTATAACCCATGTTACTAGGTATGCTGGCTCAAGCCGTGCGTTAACCACAAATTACATGGATAGTTAGCCAATCATACGTAGTGTTAAGCTTAGTCATGTGCTTTAGTCATCATTTCTCTACCAATAAGGACTGCTGAATCGTGATAAGATTTTACTTAGTCATCCAGTCAGATTGTGTTGGAGGGATTAGATTGGGTGATTCGTTCTCTCTATGTATCATCATACCACTACGAGCTGGTGGTGATTGAGCTCTTTTGCCCGAGTGGTCGAATAGATTGCACATTGTTGTGTCTCTCAACAGAGAGAATTTGATCATTTTTACTCATTTTTTTTGACCACGTTGAATCATCATTTCGGCCATGCTATAGAGAAGTCTTTTTATATTATTGACCTCTATCTACAGAGAAATTGAACTATTTTTGATCATTCTATAAGGAGATTTGTTCCTTACAGCGAATCCCCCAAAATAACCGAGTTACACCGATGGGTTTCGCCGAAAGGCCCGTACGGATAACTGAGTTATCCAGAGGGGTTCATGTTAGAACAGGGATAACGCGCTCCCTTGATCACTTAATAATAATTAAGTGAGCGCGACACTGGACTTTCTCAACAAGCGACAAGGGAATCGATTCGTGCAGTGGCCAATTTAAGCTTCGAACACCGAAGCGCCGTCACCAGCTTCGCGGAACATGCATTCTTGGCGACGACAACAAGCAGCTATCAACCAGGTGGGGCGAGCGGATGGACAGGGGAACTTGAATCCGGGTCAAAATTTCTGAGCGTGGTTTCAGCCAACATTTTATTTCTGAACTTTGAACGCTGGTGGGGCCTGATTGAAACTGACCAGTGCCATGCTCAGTCGGGTACAGTGACGAGTTTGCGCTGATTTATGTTTGAGAAGTCGAGGAAGGTTAATGCACATATACTGTCAAGGCATAGATAAAATGACGTTCTGCAGAGGGCTGAGTAAAACGCAATGATAGTTGCAGCGGTCGAGTATCATCTTTGGGCAAAAGCTGGACGATGTTAGGAGAAAAAAAGGGCTATTTAGGCCCTGTTGAACTCTCCAACCCTGTTTGACGAGACGCTGGAAGAGGCTGGACCATGCCCGGAAAGGTCGAACAGCGTTCAGCTCTCACCCTAACATGATCGAGTTGCCATTTTTAAGGTGCTGTTATTGCAGGAATCCAGATTTTGTCGCGGGTGAAATAAACTCAATAACGTTATTTTCATCCATAAAACCAAGTAGGCGACGACGAAAACATCTTTTCTCTCTCCTCTCTACCTCTCTTTCTTTTTTTTGTTGTGTTGCCGTTGCTGCTGTTGGTTGGTTCTAGGGTCGAGCTATTGAATGGTATGGTGTCATCTCATCTCAATTGAGCAAGATAAAATAATCACCAGTTGGTGGAGTTGTCAAAACCTCCAAAACATCAGCTACTCCGTATCTAGCACTCACTACCCGTCGTTACCAATTTGAGTTCAACAACAGTCGGGTACGATTTGAGCTCTATACTGCGGATGTGTTTAAATTGAAATCGACTTTTCACCGACATCATCAGAGTCAACAGAAGCCACCTCTCTACTAATTTAGAACCGAACATGCTGCTGGTGATATTTCTTTTTTCGAAGCTGTCATCATTATCGATTTTAAAACGGTTAAGCTTCCAGGCTTTTGAGGGTAGCTATATTGATGAAACCATGGGAGAAATGGAGGCCCGATTGCGTTGACAGACTTCTAATGCCTGCAGAAGTGAATTTTTTCCCCCTCTTTACAATTTCAACTATGTAGTTGATATCTGCATTGGATTCATTCCTCCTTTCTTTAAGCATAGAAGTACGGATTCAGAATTCAGATTCAACTACATAATAATGATTCTGAGGTTGACCATTGGTTTCAAAGGAAGGGAGTCCAGTTTACGTTACGGATCCAAATGAAGCACCAATTAGAGTTAAACCCGGCCGCCAGAGAAGCTGCCCGTATCCCATATATCACACCTGTGCTGTGAAATGGGGCGTGGCAAGTGCGCATACCCCAGATATCCATCCATGGGCGATTACCGGTGATTTTCCCCTTGAAGCTATATATTGGGTGAAAGACGTCATTTGAGAGCATCAGTGTTCAGATTTTCGGCCAGAAAAACTTTCAGCGTCATTCAAACTCTCATAGCATTCTCCTCGTTTGGTCGTTGTGCTTTTAGGGCGTTGTTCATTAAATTATGTTTCTCAAACACCAACCCTCCAATCTAATTTCCGATCTAACCGTGCCATGCTTATTCACTCTCTCTAGTGAGTGCGCCACAGCGTACGGAAAACCACAGCGTACGGAAAACCACAGCGTATGGAAAATATTTTGAATATAGTGATCTTCAAAAATTAATTAATAACCACCACCACATCTATCTATAACATAAAGATTATCTATATACTCATTAGAAGGTGTAGAATCCACTGTAGATTGAAATTCTATAGAATTATCTTGTTGTGATTGAGTGACTGTAGATTTTATAGGTTTGATTCCAATTGACTGAAGATTCTTATTGAATGTCTTTTTTATCTCATCTGCTCTACAGGTCGTGATTTTGTGATTGATATTTTTAATAATGAGGACTTCGCCTACTTGCATCTGTCTGTGGGAGGATTTGATGATTCAATGTCTATTTGCTCAATAATGACCTGCAAGTTCACCCTCACAGGGTGTGTTCAATTCTGTAACGGGCGTATATCGATTAACGATCTAGCACTATCCTAAATACAGATTACGAATTGATTAAGGAAAGAAAGAGAAAAGAGATCAGAAGGAAAGGTCGTACAAAGGGGGTTCTTATAGAGGGGAGATCAGGGCGGAAGAATATCAGAAGCCGCCCCACAGTGGAGCACGGAGCAGAAGAACATTGAGGGTTACGCAGAAGAATCGTTAGAACTACGCGAGCGCGGAGCGTGAGGCAGAAGGAGTTGGTTGCGTAAGTTAACTACTAACGGGTGCTAACCCGTCATATAGATATTGCAGTGAAAAAAATGATATTGATTGAAGACAGCTTCCTATTGATCAAATCAGTTGATAATGAAGCTTATATTCTCACAAAATATCTGTTTTGAATTCATGAGCTTTTGCTTGATCCATTTGTAATCTAACAGGCATTTGATGAATTGATATGCTCACATCTTGTTTACTCTGAGAGGTGCAGTCTCTGGATCTGTATGATGCTGTCTCAACATACAGTTCACAGCGGCTTCAATATGCTTGATGGTGGGCGGGCAAAAATTAATATTCAATTGATGAATTTATATCTTAATTGCCTTCTTCTAGCTGTCATTCAATGCTCTATTCAGTGGAACCCTCATAGTCCTTGATTTCTTCCTGTTGATTCTCCCATACAAGGTGGCATATGGGACTTTGAATTCTTGTGACAGAGATGTGATTTTTAATTTTGAATTGTTTTTGTATGCATCAACAGCTCTTTGCAACTGCTCCTCAATGTAATTAGAAGATTTAAGCATGGTTATAATTAATGATGATTGTTTGAAGATGAAGAATGAAGATATTGATAATATTTTCTGTACAGTTTGGTTTTCCGTACGCTGTGGCGCACTCACTAGAGAGAGTGAGTAAGCATGGCACGGTTAATCTCTAATCTATTAGGCCACTAGGGCAAAAGAGCTCAATCATCACCAGCGCTGTGGTGGTATAGAGGGTACGAATCACCCAATCCAATCCCCCCAACATAATCCTCCAGTTGGTTGCAAATGTATTAATAATGTTGACAGTGAGTGTGTTTTAGATAGCATCAGATTGGCTTGGCAAGGTTTAATCTGCTTCCGAATTTCTTGGCAAAAGTCCGAACCTTGTGACCCCTTCCCTCTATCGAATTAAGGAGACGACGAATGTCGCTTAACGTCAAGGTAAGCGTAGCAATGCATCAGTCGCCCGCGTCAGATATCGCCGCCGCCCTTCAGGATGGCAAAACTCACCTTCTCCTGGCCGCAAGCGGCTCTGTCGCCACCATCAAATTACCACAAATTATCACCGGGTTGAGGAACTACCCCGACCTCTCGATCCGCGTCATCCTTACCAAATCGGCAACTCACTTCCTCGGTGGCCAGTCTGCGGAACAGCCAACAGTGGCTTCTTTAGCCTTGCTCCCGAATGTCGATTCGGTCCACCAGGATGAGGACGAATGGCTTGAGCCTTGGACCCGGAACGCCAATATACTTCATATAGAGCTGCGCCGTTGGGCGCATATGTTGGTAGTCGCTCCTATGTCGGCCAATCTATTGGCCAAGGTGACGGGTGGAATCTGCGACGACCTCCTTACGAACGTCATCCGGGCCTGGGAGATTGACCCTCGAAATCCTACGAGGCGGTTAATTATCGTCGCGCCGTCAATGAATACTATGATGTGGACCCATCCGTTGACGGCGAAGCAACTGGCTATCCTCAACGATGAGTGGAAGTGGTTTGAGGTCCTTCCACCGCAGACAAAAACATTGGCATGTGGTGACACTGGGCAGGGAGCTATGCGCGATTGGAAAGAGATTGTCGATGTTATTGAGAATCGACTTGCTGTCAAAGATTTTGGCTTGTGAATCTAGCCCCAGGCGAAAACATACCGAATATACACCCCCGGCATCAGCTTGATAACTTGCTTTCTAGTGTTGAATCTACGTTGTTGGTGCAATATAATCATTTGAACGCTTGCTTTCTAGGCCGGCTTTTTGTAATGGGACAGTTTTACTCCTTACGGACCAGAGCCTCAGCATATAGGACGCCATCATGTGTTTCTGTCAGAACCTTTGAACCGGCGAGGTCATGGCCACCCAAAAATGGGTTAGCTCTTTAAAATGAAAAACGGTTCTCATATTACAGGGCAGGCCAACTTGAATTTAGGTACCGGAGGCGCGCGCTGCAATATTTGAAGCATTCGAGGGTCTTCTTTAGCTTGAGGGATAAAAAATCTTGGGTGGGGATTATATTATCTCAAATTTGTTATTCCATGGAATACTCAATCACATAACCTCGTCTAGATGTCGTCCACTGTTGATGTGATACTGCACAATTACATATAGAATGTGCCTCTAGGGGCCGGAGTCGCCCAAAACGGTTACCGAATCGGGATGGGTGGCTTGGGCCCCGCTAAACCTGAACTGAAGATCATTCAATGCCGTTTTCTCTTGAACGAATTACAGCGGCGGCGTCACATTCCCAGCCAGACCACTGCTACGGACTACTCTCCCCAGGCCGGGCTCCGCAGCCACCTTTCGTATATACTAAGAAATGCCCGAGAGATTCTAAGAAAGTCGAAAAGAATAGAGAAGGAAAGACCTATCATCTCGTCCCGTTGTTAGAAACTATAAATAACAACATGGACTCCCATGTCCTTTCCATTCTCACCAGAAAAGTCAACTTGTCCTTAGCCTACCCTTCTCCCGCACCTTTTCATTCCATGGCATACCTAGACCTCCAATGAAAGAAAAATACATGCCAGGGGAAGCCCATGGTCGAAAGTTTTACCTCTCCTACGCTAAACGTCGAGAGTTGCACCTTGCAAACGGATCGACGCTATCATATTATGCCCCTAATACCAATGTATCTGCTACTTCATTGCGGGGCAAATGAAATGGGAATTTTTCATTCTTGGAGGCAACCTCCTGCTGATCCAGAATGAGCACATGCTTACGATAAGCAGATACTGCTCAGAGTCTTCATTAAAGCCTGATGATCTCCTACCGGCCCTCTCTACTAACGATATCAAGTCCTAGTTTCACTGGATCAGTGAAAGTTTCAAGGGTTCCATTAAAGCTCACGACACACTAACCAACTTTTGGGGGACCCTGAAGAGATGCTATTATATCAAGAATTACAAGGAGATTGAGTCTAACATGAGGAGGGACTGCATCAATGTATGTGTTTTTTGCCCCATAAGATTCAAACAAAGTCCTATCCCAGAACGGCAGTACATGAAATAGATCAGCAGGGAGATGGACTTTGGGGGTTTTCCATTACCCAAAGCCACAGCAAATTCCATTGATCTCTTGCAACGTTTGGTCACCCACTTTGTTCACTGTGATTTGACGTTTGCGGATGAGAAGCAAAGACCCTATCATCTGGTTGGTCTTAGATGTCGAGTACCTCTGCCTGCAGTGCGGTATCATTGTTTGACACACGGCATACCGTGAACCCTCGCCCGGATGGCATGCTCCCCTCCCGTCCCAGAGGGGAGGTAGAATTTGTCCGACTTCTGGTTCGATGGCGGTGGCGAAAGTAAAGCCCACATGGCGGGGAGCAATCGACAACCGCGAGGTTGTTCCAGTCATTAGGTGAAACGACGACCATGGAACTTTTCCCGATCACTGTCACTAGAAAGTGTGATCCTCTCCAGTGCCAATCCTGCCTGTCGAATCTGAGCTAAATCCCTGCCGATCGCGAAAGAAAAAGTGCAAAATCTTCATTCATTAAATGTAACTATAACAATAAGGGAGCCATCAGTGTTTCGCCGGAATGCATGGCGCAGCACTGCGCCAATTTGCATGGCTTGCATTGCAATTGTATGCACTGACTGCCAGCGTACATCATCATAAATGTACTTGTGCCAACCGCTACGCTCCATGTAGCCGGTCGCCAAAAAAAAGCGACTCCAGTTCCTTGCCGAAAGGTAGTACTTTAGCTAAGGACCAATTAACAATACCTGTGATCTCAAAAGTTTTCTCATTGACTAGGATATTCATTCGGGAAAGGTCATTGTGTGCGAGGGCTTGTCAGTATGTCTGGGACTGCAACTGCTGTCGAGCCACCAGAGATTTTGTGGGCATTGTCGTCGCATTTTGATTGAGTTGGAGATTCACGGGCCTCAAAGAACCTGCCGGTCTCTTGCTGGGCCCACGAATGTTCCGACATGATTTGAGAATGTTCTGCTGCGTACCTGAAGTGGTGCCAGAAGAAACAGACGGACGACCAAACCGGAGAGGCATTGTCGTCTCCAATGGTGGAAATTAAGTCGAGCTTGAACGGAAATCATGAACGGGGTCTCCCTCTACGAAAGACAGAAAGGAAACATTCAATGCTAATACTACTCTGAGGCCGCCTTCATATCATCACGTCACCCATGACGCCATTGTCATCGTGGTGCTATCAATGACTGGTTGGCTCGATATCGATTTTGTATCAGAGGGATACAATCCTCAAACGGAGAAATTCTGGCACAATTATTTCATAGCCATTGATTCAAGTGAGGCCGTTTAGTACGGCAAGCTTGAAATCCCTACACCCAGGATCACGTTTGACCTAGTTGCTCATTCTCTCGAACCTGTCCCTGATGAAGTTTTTCCAAAGTGGCCAGATTCTGGGATGGAACTCACGCAAATGCTGGTACCAACTACTGTTGAAGTTTACGTCAAGCGACCTGCTCTGGGACTTTACGAAACGTTGGATAACCGCAACCAACTGCATCAACTTCCGAAAATGTTCTTAGCAGAGGTGCAAGTGATGGAAGCATTGTCCCGACACCCGCACCCGAACATCATCCGCTGATATGGCTGTCGGGTTATGCGTAGCCGCATTACTGGACTCGTCATGGAAGGACATGCTTACACCTTGTCCACTTATCTCAACGAGGGGATTTGGAAGATTGACGAAAGCTTATTCATGAATGCTCTCGAGTCACCTATTCGCCATCTACATGGGCCTGCGATGAATTTACACCCGCGAACATTCTGGTGAACCGAGACGGCATACCCGTTCTGATTGATTTTGGAGGCTGCCAACTTATTGGTACGCCATTGAAATACATTCGGGGACCAAAGGATGGATTGGTGGTGACATCAAGGACTATGCTATCTCAGACAAACAAGATGATATCGCTACCCTTGCAAAGATCGGTGTATGGTTGGACGAGGTGGGGCTCATAATCGTCTTATCTCCTCTTTCAACTCCTCTTATATTGCTCCGTATGAACAACTAAGGCCCATGATCAACTGGATACATAAGTAAATTGTCAACTCGAATCAAAACAATCATCAATACATAGACAGTAATTTATTGTTATTATATTGATGGAAGGGATGGTCCGAGCGGGCCTTTCGAATCTATTTTTCTCCACCAGCGAGTTTCCTCTCCTAGCGACGCTTCGTTGTTGACGAAGAACACCTCGATCCTCCCTCCCGCACTATTAGTTCCTGGTTACCCAGTTGCTCATTATCTGGGAATGGGATCATAGAAAATCCCGTGTGAACCGTAATGGTATAGTCACCTAAGAATGACATGCGAATACTCAGTGACCAAATTGAACAGAGGGTTCAAACTTGAGCATGTTTCAAAAGTTGCACAGTCATTTTTGGACCCCCATTCAACCTATATATCACGCATCTAACTAACTACTGCCTGCAAGCCAGGCGCTATATCATAGAAGAATATACAAACAATTAAAAAGCATTAATCTAGAAACAGTAGCAATTATTGGCTACCATCATGACACATGATTTAAAGACAGAAGAGGGAGATTGCTATAGTGCACTCAAATCAACTTCATCTATCATTATATTAGTAGTGATGCTGCCTGTCTCAGTCTTATATCATGTCTATAATATCCTGCCTTCTACCCCTGACCCACTTATTTTGCTAGATAACCATACTAGTATCATTGCTAGATATTATTGTTAGATCTTGATATCAGACATAGACGGGCAGGCAGACAGATGAGTGAATGAGTGGGAGGGAGTAATCTGTATATCTCGCCAACTTAGCACAGGATTTCCATACAAGCGCTCTCAACATCATTTCATAATATAATATCTCAATAAAGCTACATCAAAGTCGTTGTGACACCGCAGTGCCTGCGCTCGAGACATCATTCTTGGTTTTGGCTTTGATCAGATGCATCTCCACGACGTGGGAAGGGAGGTCTGACTACTACCTGTATCTAAAGTGTCGCATGTTGTCTATTGGGATAAACGTGGGGAATATGCGCTGTTCTCCCGGCTTCCGTCTGGGTTTAGAAGTGCAAGAGATAGGGAGAAGAACTGTTATTTTCCGCTTCGCCTGCTCAAAATTTTGAACATTCAGCCGTGAATGGTCCACGGCTTACAAAAAGGTTGGAGAACTGGAATATTTTCATTTCCTGGCCTGTTTTAAACAATATCCTCGATGAAAATAATGACTTGAAAATCGAAGTAATCTTGATTGAACTCCCGATAATTCTCCTTATTATTCCCGCGATATCGTTGAAAACCTGCAGCACCCCTTCGCAAACAGATATACAGTGCATTAAAATTGCAATTCCCTTAATCCTTCCCCTTCCACATACTCTTGACCATAGCACTCCCTCTTCACAGACTCTATAATCTCTCTATCTCCCCCTGCCAACTTCGCAAGATACTGTTCCAGCACATAAATATTATCCGTCCACATCTCCGCTTCCTCCTTCCACCTCTGAATATCTGCCTCCTTCATCTCAATCCCACCACCACCAGCTCCACCATTTAAGTAACTCTCTTCCTCCGCCCTCAAACTAGCCATCTCTGCCTCCCGCTCCGCTTTTTTCCTCACCAACTTCTCCCTATCCCTATCCTCATCCCCTCCACGGTCCCCGATTTCAGTAAGAGCTGCCTTCTTTCTCTCCTCCAGCTCCACCACAACTCTCTCCAGTTTCTCGAGTTCTTTCACCAGGCCACGCTTAACCTTCTCTCTCTCCTTCTGCTCTTCCCCAGCCCATGCCCAGTACCAATTGCCACTTCCGATTTTTTCAACGTGCAATTTTCCATCGTCCACCAGGGCTTGGACGTAGTCCTTGACCTGCATGCCATTTATGGACGTGACGGAGGGGAGACATTTCTCGAGATCTTTGAGCGTGTGGCATGTTTGCGATGCGCGGAGGTAGTCAAGTATTAACTGTTGTTTGGCCGGTGAGGGGAGTGATTTTGAAGGCGCCTGGACAGCGATTAGAATAACCGGTACACACAGGGAGAAATACAGACGGAAATAATACAGGAATGCAAAACCCGATATACAAGAGCATACGTTGGGATCTGTAAGGGGCTGAGGGGCTTAATACCATGATTGCTTGCAAGACAGCGCGAGATACAACCGCAAGGGACAGATGAAGCCTTCTCGACTCAAAGCAGGTATCAGGCCTGCTCTGGAGAGTCGAACTCTTTTTTATTGTGAAAACTTAGAATTGTGTAGTACCAGGCAAATCTAAAGAATCCTTTCTTCACTCTTATAGTTGATCAGTCTCTCAAGAGGCAGCGAATGATGTTCCCCTTTTCGGAAACGGCGAGTCTCCCAGAAACAAACGCTGAAAAGCATGAATGTTCAGGTGTCTAAATCAACAGAACCCATTACCCCCACGTTCCTTTCATATTATTTCAAAGCTATACAGCTACATATCAGGCAATTGTGTGGACATAGCGAAACTCTCAGGAGTGAAGGTGGGCTTCTGCATGTTCGTCTATGGAGCGCCACGCTCACATTCACCCCGAGACGAGAAAACAGCCACCGATTATTACATTAAAAGCTCGAAGAACCGGCAAAACATTAGAAAATGGTCTAAGAAGCGAAGAGAATTGAAAGGGGGAAGGTCTCCTTTCGATGTTCAAACATGAGCTCGTATACTTGTACAACATTCGCCGTCGCTCAGGTGCAAAAGAAAACGACATCGTGGGTATCTAAGTTTCGTAGAAAGAAGATCACGAGAAACACATGGGCATAGCCATTTTAGACTATATATGGTGGAAGCTGGAATCCAAAAAAAAAAAAAAAAAAAAAAAAAAAGAAAAAAGTAAAAAAGAAAAGAGAGAGAAAATCCAGAACTTGTTTGCGTCACCAGGAATTGAACAAGAATTATGAGGATGTGGACGAGAGAAAGGCACGCACGCAAACGGAGCAAGTTACTCTAGACAGAACATCCTGTAACTTGGTTGCTACAAATAATATAACCAACCCCGATATCGGGAACCTCTAATAGCAACATAGTTCTTTTGAAACAGTCGACACGCAAATACAGATAATGATCAAAAAGTGAAAAGCACCGTCGTGGCGTAACCAACTCAAGCTAGGGACGCTACATTTTATCTAAAGGAATATTCTCGCAAGAACTTGGGAGCTGAACTCCCAACACATCCTCGAAATAGAACGGACGTTTCCCTTCTTAGTGAAATAATAATGGTTCCCAAAAGCATAAAGAATGAGGGCCATATGTAACCGTTGTGGCAGATTCTGAATTTACAGAATATTCGTTGAAGAGATAAAAGCATCGGTACCCATTGACTGCACAACAGTATCGGGGACTCGGGTATGTCGAGGGCCTAAAATCTCAACTCCCGATCTCGCAAGGGTAGTTTGGTCGTATGCTATTTGGCAATTGTGGTTCAAACTCCACTCAAACACACAGTCGTCGTAGAAATAAGCCAAGTTATCATCATGTTTTCACTATATGAATATATTCGGAGCCTTTAACTGGAGTTATATTGGAGAGATGGGTGAGAGAGGCGAAAATTATATAGCACGGGAAGTAGCGCAGATCATAAGCAAACGACTCGTGAGGATGTCAAGTTGCTGTAACTGCAGAAGAAAGGGAGCAGAAGCTGAGCTTGTTCCAACAACTCCGGTGGTTTTTGAAGTTATACAAGACGTGACCCTGTGTACGGAGTAAATCGATACCCAGGGTGCCATCACGGAAACCGATCAGAGACACAGTCCATGAAATGTGGGACTTAGTATCCATGGGGCAGCGAGCTTAAATCCACGAAAAAATGGCAAAGAATATTCCATTTAGTAATGGTAGCTCACAGCGCAAAATTAAGGCCCTCGATCAGCCCTCCATCGTGAAAAGTTTAAGTTTACCATCCCGAAAATTGTGACCAAGAATACCGAGTACTTTCTGGCATATGGAATGGTCCACCAAGCAGTTTCTATTCGGGTTCCGTGGAGCGGTCCAAATCAACTCTGCGGTGTCTTTTCGTTCTAGTTTTTCGTGGCCTGGCGAACTTTTCTCCGCTGATTGCGCTACGACTTGCCGCAGTAATCCGCTTGCGACCGCAGCTCGCGGAGGAAGAATGAGTAAAGTGTTCTTCAGGATCAGTTATCTCCTCCCCTTCAACAAACACCATATCACCAGTTTCGCCCAGTGATTCATTGGCGGCTTCTTCAAGGAGTATCCCTAATGCAAGCAGTGCCGTTTCATCCATACTCCGCCAATCTGCATGCCCTTGACCAAGAGTCGCATTTGCATAGAAATCGGAGGCGTAAGTGTGAATAGCTTTCAGGATATCGGAATCCGGTAATCGTTGGTCAGGGGCGAGACGCTCATTGGCGAAGTAGATGTCATTCTCTGCGTATCTCACTGGCGCATTCACACGGCGGAAAAGTACTTCCTCCGGTGTAACAGGAACGGATGAGACAGAAGACACAAGGTTCTGGTTGAGAAGTATTCGAGGACGGAAGCCAGAGGAAGAAACACGACCTGGACGTCATTAGATAGACATAGCGAACATTTTTCGGGGACATTGCTAAATACCAGCTGCGGCATCATAGACATTCGCTTGTCGCCTTGGGCAGGGTAGCAGGTCACACAGAGATTCCGTCATGAGCAGATCATCTCGAGCAGGGTGGCTCATGGCAAGAACCCCGCTAGAGACATATCTCTTGAATCAAACCTTCGACATGACCATGAATGTCGTGCGCTCTTTGTTACATTTTGCTTCCGAATTTAAATTATAATTCACGGGCCGATTTGTCCCCGACCATTGACTTTTCCTATGACATAACTAACGACGTTTAACTAACGTAATTCCCAAGCGAGCGAGCAGCCCAAGCGAGCGAGCAGCAAAACTAGCATATCTCAACTAACCAGAATTTAAATCAAATTATCTACTCCCACCAACCACTAATTAAATTAAATTAAATTACATGAAGTTGAGGACATCTTATTCTTGTATGCCCAACAGTATTGCAATTGCTGCAGCGTTGTGGCGCTCGTATGCGGGGTCTAGGCTCCGGGGCCGCAGGTACGGAATGTTGAATAACAGGCTGTTCAGCAGGCTCAGCTGCAGGAATAATAAGATTCTGAGCTTCATTCCTAGTTAGACCCCCTGCACTTGGGATCCTGCGTGTAGACCTCTTGCGTTTTTGCTTCTCTTTCTCATTTGCATTGAAAATATCCTCATACTGCTTCTTCATAACCATGGCGCTGACCATCCCGTATTCGCAGGCCTTGATTATTTGGTCAAAGCCTTCCACTAACCCATGAGGTTGATCCTGATCCATAAGATTTCTGACCTTATTCACCTGCTTCTGCAATTGCCGGGGGTTACTAGGTGTTTGTAGGATCCAGGATGACGTTGAATTGCTTGACCTGCTGGCTGGGGGAGTAGGGGTTCGGAGTTGAATATTCAGCTGCTGAACAACGCATTGAGGATCCAATGGAACTATTCCAGTGGCCCTGAACCCACTTTGAATGTTTGAAGCCTTGAAGGCTTCCCGACGTGCTGCAGGATAGGCATCTAGGAAATCTGCCTTCTTAATGGTGTTGAATCCTAGCCGCATTCGCTGTTCAACTAGGGTTCCGTACGCGCGCTTTAAAGGTGCAAAAACACCCACATCTAGTGGCTGCAAAAGGTGTGAAGAATGTGGTGGCATGCAGAGAGGAATAATCTTATTCTCACTGCAGATTTGGTCAAATTCCGGAGTAAGATGACTGCCGTGCCCGTCCAGAATAAGAAGAATATGGGTTCCAACCCTGCGTGGATTTGCAGCTGGAATAAACAGCCGTGTAAGCCATTTGATTCCTATCTCATCTGTGGTCCAGCCATTAGGACTAACATCCAATCTCCAGCCTTCCGGCAGCCCGTCAAACCAGCCTTCCTGAATATTGTGACCTTTGAGGATAATATACGGCGGAGGGGCCCATCCTGACGCGTTGACTGACTCAATTGCAGTCACCCACTCACGATTCCCAGGCTGTATAAGAGTTGCTCGTCCGTAGTGCTCAGCACTAGTAATGACCTTGGTAGTTGCACAGAGCCCCATTGCAAACCCAGCTTCATCAAAGTTGTAAATATCTTCAAACACAATCCCATGCTCAGTCATTACCCTCTCTAGGGTCTTAAACCAATCCTCCACAATCCTGCGGTCTTCACACTTGGCCCGATCATGGTTATAGCGTCTTGAGAAGCGGCATTGGAGCTCTGGACGGCGTGCCACTAGATTTGACACCCAGTTCTTGCCAACGCGAGGAGGGTGGTTTGTATGGCTAGGCTTCCGTATGGCAAGAAGATGATTAGCCATATTCTCCACAAATGCAGGCCGGGGTGGTAGTCCTCGTAAAGCTAGGTCTAGGATCCATTGAACAAGCTTATCCTCTTCAGCAGGAGTTAATTTATGTGAATTTGCGCGTAAATTCACCCGTGAAGATCGACCACTGAGTCTATGACCAAGTGTAGAGCGTGGCACATTAAAGATGCGTGCAGCTTCAGAAATAGAGGATATTTCCTGCTTTTTAATAGCATTTATCGCGAGTTCAAGTCTTCCCTCTATCTCTATAGAGTTCCTAGCATCTTTAGAGCGAATTGGTGGCATAATTGCGCGTTGAAGTGGATGAGTAGGTAAATTAGTAGGTGGAAGAATTTGGCTGCTCGCTCGCTTGGGCTGCTCGCTCGCTTGGGAATTACGTTAGTTAACTAACTAGTTAACTATTTCTGTGGGACGTCTAACGTAATCAACCACCTAACGCTCGTTTCCACCGCCTGGAATCATCTCAACGATATCTCAACAACGCAATTAGATTTTAAGATAAAATATTATATGATGAAAATAAATACATAGAATTACATACAAAAATATATAGCTAATCTTGTAGACGTTTGTTTGGCTTAATAACTCGCCCAGAACATGAAATCTTGGGTGGAGGCAGATTCAGCGAGCAGGCAGTCATCAAATCAGTAGAGATTGCAATATTGTCAGATCCCTCTGGCGGCGGATCTGTGGGAACACTGGCAGGGCTCTGAAAATGCGATTTAGCCACTCTTTGTGAAATCGAGGGTCTGATTTCCTGATTAGGAAGGTGATTTTGAATTCTTCAATCTTTTCCTTATTCAACTGTGATTGCAGCTGTACAGCAGCTCATTCTTCCCTTTCTTTTTGCTCTTGAGTCTTTCTTGCATCTCTAAACTCCTTTTCAATCTGCCATTGAGCAGCTCTTGCAGCCTTATCCATCTCTTTTTGCTGCTTTGCTGCCTGACAGGCAGCATTCCATTGCATCCACTGCTTCATGATATCTGCCTCCTGCTCCTCAAGAATAGCGTGTTGCAACTTGGCATCCTCCTTACAAGCCTGCTCATCCTTTTTGGCAGCTTCGGAAGCCGCCATTTGCTCGCGGATGTGCTGCACCTTTGCCGGTGAAAAGAACTGTGCCAATGATGGATTTGAAGAATCTAGCAATCCCATGACCCTGCCACGCTTGCGATGTCTCCTTTCTTGATTAAGAGCTTGCTGTAGCTGCCTGTTCTCTATTAAAAGAATCTCTTTATCAAGAGCAAGATTTTCGCCCGCATGGATCAGTTGGTTGAGATCATTAGATATTCAACGCTGTCACTGCTTGACTTGCTTAATCATTTTCCACATGCCAACAATAGAAGTAGGCGTTCTTGGCCTATATTGCGTGTCTGAGGGGGTGCAAGGCCGTATTGCAAGCTTTTTAAGAACCCGTTCCGGATCAAATGGATGTAGGCCAGCGGCGGCGAACGCGGATGCAATATTTGAAGGTGTAAGTGCCTCATGCCATGCAGGATGAAATAGCTGCCAAAAAGACCTCTTTGTAGTGTGTATGAATCCCATTCCAGTTCTCATTCATTCATTCAATTGCTTGGAGTATGATTTGCCCAATGGTCCAAATATTCCAATATCTAGCGGCTGTAATCGGTGTGTAGAGTGGGGAGGTAGGACAGCAAGTAGAATCCGATTTCACTCCGCGTAATTGATGAATACTATATTAACATGGGATGAATGACCATCTAATATAAGAAGCCGGTATCCACGCCCGGCTTTCTTTTTTGTAAGAGGTTCAAAGACCTTCTTTAACCATGTTAATCCATATTCATCATTGCTCCATCCATTTTCTGAAGCAGCAAAGTAGGCCTGATCCTTTTCACTATCAAAATCCTCCAGCCAAGTATCTTGCATATCTCTTGATTCTCCTTGATATATGAGAGCAGGCGGGAGAGCAGTTTCATCAGCACAAATTGCAGCAAATAGTGTAATGAATTCTCAACTGCCATTCTGGCTGGCACCTATCACACGTCCGGATTTGAGGGCGGTAATCGATACAATACGTTTGAGAGTGTGGATGAGTCCTAATAGGAATCCTTTTTCATTGAAGTTGTAAATATTGCCAGGTTCAATATTGTATTGTGCGATCTTTGCCTGCAGCTGTCAGATTAAGCAAGATCAGCAAAATAATCATCAAATCTCATGATACAAGTAAAAAAGTAGTAGTAGTAATAAATCTATTACAAGATCAAAATAATGCTTGAAATATGTTGAATTGTCTGCATTCTTGTGTTTTTGGTCGATATTTCGCAGGTAAACCGACTTGATTACATCCTTGCGGCGTGGGCAGAACCTTGTCACCCAGTTGACTCCAACAGGCACTTTTAGGATCTCAACAATGAGATTATGAAGGATTTGAGGTGTACAAGGGAAACCGCGATCTGCCAATTGATTGATATGAAAAAGGAGCTGTTCTTCTTGCGAATTTGAAAGGTTTTTGCAGTGGATAGAGATTGCTTCCTTTCCTGACACTTGGAGGTTGTTATAACACCGTGATAATGTATGACGGCTGATTCCATATTTTTTTGCAGTTGTAGTGTAATTAGGAACCAACTGCAAGTTCAAATCATCAATCGCTGCTTGTATAACTGCTTCGTGGTGCATGTTGTGGGTGTTTGAAGGTGGATGAATGAAGGGAGAATTTGGCGAGCGTTAGGTGTAAGCGAGCGTTAGGTGGTTGATTACGTTAACTAAGTGGTGGTATTAGCTGGGGCATAGAGGCTGCGCTGCGCTAGTCCGTGATAGGCAGCCTAGGACCAACAATTCCAACTTCTCAGCTACGAAGAGGATAAAAGCGTATTCGTGTCTGCAAAATCTCTGATGAATGAATTCGTACCTGCTGAATAGGTCCCAAGGATCTACCAGCCCGTCTGCTTTCCATGTGGCTCACAATGCCCACCTCATCCAGTCAATTGAGCCTGCGCCTGGTATCAGGTTCTCCAGCCACCCCACAACGCCAGAGCTAAACCAGGGAGAAAGAGAGTCTACGGAAGATGGCTGGAAGGATGAGGAGAAAGAAGAGTCTCGGGCTCACAAAGCAGGCGTTAATGTTCTGACGATCGATCAATATGAAAAGCGCTTGTATGTATAACCCAGCAGAAAATCATTTTACGGCCAAGGGTCTTGCTAAGGACAAGGAATACAGTATGGTATCTGGTGGCGCGGATGCGTCCGTCCATCTCTGGGATTTGGAGACTCGTGGATCTGAGTCAAGCTATCTTTACAAATCCATTGCTTCGGTGACAAAGTAAATCCATTGTCTTAAATCCAGTCCATATCATTTTTTTCAATCAGACAATCTCATCACCCATTTAGATCAATGAGCCCAGCGGCGCATACACATGCATTGACTTCTATTTCAATTTATCCCTTTGACCCGACTCCGTCGACTATATTGACGACTTCCCACGATACCACTTTGAAACTATCTTCGCTTCAAGCTCCTGCGATTATCCCAGTTTATACATTTTCGCTGCACTCCACTCCGTACTCACATTCGTTTTCATCGCATCCGTCGTCGCTCCTTCTGGCCGCCGTAGGAACCTCGGATAAAGCAGTGAGACTGCTCGACCTTCGTTCCGGGCTGGCCACCCACGCATTACCGGGACATAGCTCCGCTATTCTCTCCGTTTCCTGGGCCCCCCATCATGAATATCTGCTCGCGTCTGCGTCCCATGACAACCGGGTCATCCTCTTCGACGTCCGCCGCGGGGGCCATAACTCTGCTCTAGCTTCACTGGACATGGACGACGCAGTCGGCGTGGTCGCGCCGCACGACGCACCGCCGTCGTTCACCTGCCGGAATCCATATGCGCCCGACGTCCGTGCGCATAACGGGGCGGTGACGGGCGTGCGATGGACGTCCAGTGGCAGCCACATAGTCACTTCCGGACACGACGCGCGCATTCGAGTCTGGGACGCTTCCACGGGGGCAAATTCGCTGGTCCATTTCGGCCCGCGCGTCCGCAACAGCGCTTCACTGCATCTCGCTGAGAGGGCACCGCTAGTTTTACCCAGCGATGTCGCAGGTGCGGGGCATGCAACGCTTCTTTGGCCCAACTGCGGCGACCAGGACGACACAGGGGAAGTATTCGTTTTCGCGCTTCGGGATGGTGCATTGATCAAGCGCCTTCGTGTGCCCGGCGTACCGGGCTCACGGCAGAGGATGCGAGGAAGGCCCACGGCACTTAGCGCGGCGCCCACAAATGGCCTTGCATGGCGCGGGAACGGAGCATCGGGTGAGGGCATGGAGTTATTTTCTGCCCACGGAGATGGAACGATCAGGGCCTGGGTCTCCAGAACGTCGGATGAGGGGCATGAGATCGCGGAGAACGAGGAGGAGATGGAGGAACGGAAGAGGAAGCGGGATGTTCTCGATGCGGTGTATCGCGGCCTGATGAACCGGAAAATCACTTTCACTTGATGCCACTGGTAAGCAAAACGGGTTATTTTCCCGGTTATGTACTACCAATTCTCTAACCTCTCACTAAATATAAGGTAAGGTCGGGGCTTATACCGTGCTTCTGAGCTTGATAACTAGATCAGAAGGGAGTGCCACTATTGCAGGTTAAGATATATTGTAAAGAGATACCTAGAACGACTAGCAATATGCTATAGCTACAGCAGCAGTTAAAGTAAACAAGAGGAATTAAACTGGCTGTGTGACTATGCATGGGACCATGACCAATTTTAGCATTGGTTCCATTCTCTTATATTTTAGTCCTGGTCTTATATATTGTATATCTGTCGGAACTAAATAAGTCTGAATATTGCCCCAAATACTGAATATCAATAAAATAGATTGAATTGCTTATTCTAACTCCTAATAATTACATGATAATCAGGCAGTATTTATAGGGAAATCTGTGCTTAAATATACACATGAGATATTACTGAGCATCAGTGGGGCGTTGCTTGGTTTCATATAGTGGGATGTTCCAGATTCTATATTATTTCAGAATCTCTATATTATAGAGAAACCAACTTTTTCTGTGAAAAATGTGGGATGGTTGATCTACGGACAGAACCTACTAGGGATTGCAACATGCGACGGAAGAGAAGTTTTGAACGTATCACCCAATATCGCTGATCGAGCGATGATAAACCTTCACAGGTGGTTCCTGTTGGTTCTTATTAAGAATATCTGCACCACCGATCACTTCTGCATCCGACAAGCACGCCATCTTCCACGTCTGGTAGTTGGTGCCATCGAACGTGGTGACGGACTTTGTGTTCAACGAGGCCTGCGCTTCCTTCTGGTATTCGCGAGCCAGCATGTTCGGATCTTCTTCTGGTATAGGGTTCGGAGGAGGTGGAGGTGGTGGCGGCGCGCGTGCTGATATCAGTCGCTCGCAGAGTGCAATGAGATCTGCTGCTGCCATGGTCACCATGCCGTTAGGATTCGGCGTAGGTATCGGCATAGGACTGGGCGTGCCATCCTCGGATTCCTCGCGTTCTGGCATCTTGCCAGTATCGCGTGCGGAGCCAGAGGTTGTCATATCTTCCTCTGCCATCGCGTATTCAGTTTGATCACCCTCCGCTTCTGAGCCGGATTCTTGCTCAGTAATAGGGGGGAAGGATTGGGGGACCCTTGATTGCGAACGTAGTGTCTTCTTACGTCCTGATATTGGGGTCGCAGGTAATCGAGAACCACTCATAATCAATCTGACTTAGGGAGGTTCTGAATGAAAATAAATAAGTTTTTGATCCCTTCAAGATAGTAATGAAATCTCTGCAGCAGTCTCGACAGCAATTCCGTCAATTACACCACTTTTGTAGGCAAAGAGCTCTCTTTTCAGGGGAATAATGTCTAACTCATCCAATATAACATCAGTCGCAGCGTATTCTAATCAAAACGTCTGTTTTTCTTAAAAATCTGCAATCCGGGCCATAACCTGTGGGATGGTTGATCTTCTCATTGTGCGATCGCTAGCTAACTATATATAGGGGTAATCACGTGCGGTGGAGGGCCGCCTGGGTAACTAGTGCCCAACAGCTTTAACCCTAATCACATGACGTACAACAGTCGAATTCCGTGCGAATGTTGTGCCCCCAAGCTGGGGGATGTCGATTTTTGGTGTGCGTTGGGGCTCAATGCCCGGAAGTGTTGTGAGGCTTGTGCCTCTGCAGGAAAATCCTGCAAACCTGTGAGTGTTTTGCTTTGATTTCTATTTCCTTTTTCCCTTCCTTCAAATTTGTTTTTTTTTTTTTTTTTTTTTTTTTTTTTTGTATTTATTATATCCAAATTGAATTTTTTTCTTTTCCTCTTTTCCCTGATAAATCCTTCTAAAAAAAATGCATTTGATTGGAGTTTGGGTGAGATTTGTGCTTCTAGCGTTTTTCGACTTGAGATTTGCGCTTCTGGCGTTTGGGAGTATGTTGGTTTTGTATTTGTCGTTCATTTTCTTGTTCGAGGAAGATATCGAATGCCTGAGTGTTTAATATGTTTTCTTCCGGTTCCCATGTATCACCACTAGGTCCCCAACCTGTCCATCTCACAAGATATTCCGGAGGTTTGTTTTTTCGTTGTCGTTTTTCAAGAATTTCCTCAACTTGATATATATTCTTCTTCGCCGTCGACAAGTTCCGGTCCCGGTTCCGGTAAAGCTCCATTCCTGCGGTTGTATGGCTCTAATAAAGAAACATGGAATACAGGATGGATGTTTCTATATGAAGGTGGCAGTTCCAGTTTGTACGCTTGTTTTCCGATGGTATTCAGAATCTTGAAGGGTCCAACATATTTATGGTCGAGTTTACGAACCGGGCGTAGTAATCGGAGGTTTTTTGCATTGACCATGACGTAGTCACCTATTTTAAATTGTTGAGGCTTATGTTTTGCATCGTAATAGGTTTTCTGCGCTTGTCGCGCTTTTTGTAGGTTCTCGATGAGCTTGTGGCGTGTTTCCTCAATATGTTTCGCGCGGCTAGCAGCATGTATGGCAACCGGTTGTGGTGGTTTGCTGACGTTAATTTTCAAATCAGGTCGATATCCCATTAAGGCTTCCGCGGGTGCTATTCCCGTAGAGGCATGTTGAGAGGTATTGTAAACAAACTGTGCTAGTGGTACCCAGCGTGCCCAGTCATCTTGATGATAGTTGATAAAGCATCGGAGGTAATGTTCCAAGATTTGATTCTGTCATTGCAAGTTTGTGAAGAGTGGCATCATAGCTTAACTCTTCCAGTTTGGTTGCATATTTGTCAAATTCTCGGCGAATGGAAGGTAGAACTTTCATATAGAGGTGTGATTTCCGATGGTATTCGCTATAAGAATGCCGCAGACGCCCTTCAATTGATTGTAAATGTGAAGCAAATTGTTGAACTGTCTGATCTTCTTGTTGCTCTGTTTTCCAGTACTGTCTATCTGCATCTCGGAAACTTTTATCTGGATCGGTGACTTGACATTGCATCCAGCTAACAAATTCTTCCCATGGTGGCAAAATCCGCATATCATGTGTATGTTGATACCAACGTTGTTGCATCCCGACATTGAAATGAGTGACGGCTTCGATGATCTTCCAATGGTTGTGTTCATTGTAATAATCAAGATCACTGGCATGGAAAGCGATAGCAGCTGTAACAAAGTTTTCAAATTCTTTCATGCTTTGGCCTCAGAACTTTTCCACATCTCTCTGAGAAGGGTGACCGCTCATGCCGGGATCTCGAAGTTCTAATTGCCAAAGTGGTACCCGACTACGTCTCCCACTGACAGTAGTCACGGCGCTTTCCACTAAGGTTGTTGGGCGCTTGTAGCGTAGGTTCCGGTGGTCCGAAGATGCTTGTGGCGTTTTCGCGGTTACAATTCATGCTAGTTGCGTCTCTACCATGGTTCGGATGCGCTTCGAGCGTATTTCAGGTGGCTGGGATGGTTTCATCCAATTCTTGCAGTAAAGTATTGCACCAGTGTTGAAGTTCTCACAATTCCTTCTCAGCCTGTAACTTCTTAATTCTCCTAGTCACAGCTATCTTCTCAGCCTCAATTGCACTCAGATCTTCAGAGGAGGTATCCCCTTCCGAACTGTGCTCAGAGTCTGATTCCATAGAAGAGGTTGATTCTTGTTGCACACTTTCAGTAGCAGAGGTGCGCGTTTCGCAGTTTTCTTCACTGGTGTTTGTTGCTTCTGGTTCGGCGGTAGCACGAGTACGGCGGATGCTGTGGGTAGAGGCCATGATATTACTCAACGGACCGTCTCTCGAAGATTGAGCGATTAGAAACTGTGAGGGGTGATGACAGTGTGAAGAGTGAATAGTAGAAGATAGTATATAGTGTAGTGGAAGATAATAATAATAATAATTATAATAGTAGTGTAGTTGAAGTTGTAGCTAATCGCTAAGAAGGAAAAGAATGAGAAAGAAGATGTGCGAAATACATGCATCCATATATATATACATATAGAAATAGCGGTAGCGAGAGTATAATGAAAAGAGGTAAGAATAGACGAAGATATAAACAAAGATAATATAATAATAAGGAAATAATAAACGAGTGCATTACATGATTCATGTAATGCTGGTGTGGCGAGTCTCTGCCACAAGAATGGCAGATGTATGAAACATTTCCTCAAGGCTTTTCAGAGTGCTACAGCTGTTGAAGAGGATGGCTATTCTCTGTACAGACAGCAACATGATCCATGTGGTTGTTTTTTATTGACAGCTGTAGATTACATGGAATTCACCTATATGAGTCACGTGCAGCCGTTGGATATCTCATAACGAGGGATTAAACGGCGCGTTTTCAAGCTGGATAAGCGAGCGCAAGCGAGCGATTGCGGCTTGTCTTCAATAATAGAACTTATCAAGTTCTTGCTTTGATATACCCCCTTCAGCTGAATAACATCAGTAATGAAGCTGGACAGATGTGACGGGTTAGCACCCGTTAGTAATTAAGGGAATTTATACACACACCCGCGAATTACTAACTACACCCCGCTAAAATTTATTGGGAATAGTTCCGTATGACCCGTACCATACAAATTTGTATGAGAACTAACATCGCAAAATATAGCGAAAATATAAAGATAATATACAAATTAATTAATATACAAATTAAAACTCCCACTCCCACTCATCTATCAGCTTTGAAGAGAGCATTCAATGCCCCTTGCACATCCTGCGCCGTATCCATGTGTTCTCTGGTAATTTGATAAGTGTAGGGTCCAGTGCCACCGACATCTCCAAATTTTGCCAGTACAACTTCAGTTTGATGCCCATTCACTTCAAATTTTGCATCTTTTAATTTTTGCAGGCCAGTGTCTCTCCGGTTCTGGCTTTCATATAATATTATGTAATAGCTAGTTGTCAAGGAGATTATTTTCTGGACGCCTTTACCGGACTTCTCAGTCAAAAAATTAAAAAGCTTTTTATAAGCCATTGCGCATTTCAGAAGTGCTTTGTCTGTTCATAGCATATTTTCAGCAACAATCATATCAGCGGATCATTCTGTTATAATCTGATCTCTATGTTCTACACCCTCAATACCATTCTTACAACTACCCACGAACGTAGGGGTACATTTGAATTTTCCACTTTTCCAACTGTTTTCGTATAATTTTAACCCCCCAACCCGTTCAATATCATCGCACACCCTCTGCGATTTCTCTACGTGTGTGTACTGCACAGGTTGAGTGGTCATGGAGCCCTCAACGCCCTCCCGTCCGCCCAAGGACATCGACACGGCCTACACCAGGCCACTGGAGCCGGAGTCACCGGCCAATTTTGTCACTGAAAAGGCTGGCAAGAGGCAGAGGAAGACTGTCACAATGCCTCCCCCAGTCCTCAAAGGAGCCAGCGACAGCATCCCCACAGCCACCTCTCGGCTGCAGAAGCAGTTTGAGGAGGCTCAGCAGCAACAGAATCTGCAGCAGAAGGCCCTCATCAGATTGGTGAAGACTCTGAACAGCTGGGTTGAGGAGGAGAAGCAGCCAGTCAGTCAGAACTTTGCCCGAATCTTCTGTGAGAGGTTTGTCAAGTATGTGACAGCAGATCTGAGTGCAGCATCAATTCTGAGAGGGGGTGCTGCCCCGGATACTCATCCGCAGCCAAATGCAGCAAAGACAGCTGCGAGGGAGCCGACTACCTGGGCGGGTGTTGCTCAGAGGGGGAAAAACTCTGCCCTCCCTGGGGTTACCCCTGCCAAGACTGCGGCTTCCCCAGCAGGCAGGGCTAGTGGAGCTAGCCTGCAGCCCAAAAGCGCCAGTCAGCCAGGGGGCCCCACAGGGGGCACAAAACAGCAGGAGGACCCACGAGTTCTCGTCACCCTCCAGCCAGAGAAACGGGTCGCCCGGCTACAGCCATATGCTGTGCGGCAGGCAATCGTTGCAAACATTCAGGGGGTGGGGGATGTGGCCAATGTGCCGAAGGTGGAGCCCACCAGGACAGGTTGGGCGATCACACCAAGCGACAGAGGCATACGCGACGCTCTGACCACTGAGAAGGCAGTGGCTACTCTCTGTGAAGTCCTTGGCGCCACGGAGATCCGGCTACCAGAGCGGTGGTACAATTATGCTGTCCCAGGGGTCCCAGAGTCTGTCCAGGACTGGGAAGGGGCAAGAATCCCCACAGACAAGATGATTGAGGGAGAGGTTCTGGCTCAGGCAAAGGTAAAGCCAGTGAGCTGTCGACCCTCGCGTCATGGGGTGAACCCCAAGACAGGGAAGATTACATGGATTGTCTCCTTCCTTGCCCCGGTAAAGGGCTTCTCACTCTTCAATGCCAGTGAGAGGGCCAGGCTGATTGAGAAAAGGCCTTTGGCAGTGAGACATAACCCAGGATGCCAGGGGTTCTGCCACCCACCAAAGTGTGCGCGACTGGCAAGATGCTCCAACTGCAGTGAGCCCACAAGCCAGCATGAGGGGCCAACAGGCGCGGAGTGCAAGAGAGCGCCAAGATGTGCCAACTGCTGCCAACCCTACCCAGCTGGGCATCAGCACTGCCCTGCCGCACCCAGGCGCGTGAATGGCACCCTCAGGCGCCTAACTCAAAAAGAGCTAGCAGCTGTTCGCCGCCTTGGCGACAGGTGCCACAGGGATGCTCAGGAGCGACAACCGCCGCCAGCACAGCCAGCACCAATGGTCGCAGTGGTGGTGCCTACACCAACTGCTCAGTCAACCCAGTCAACACAGCCCGCTGGGCTAGCACCCCGCAAGCGGGCGGCGACTCAGAGTTCCATCAGTGAGGGGGGTGCCACCTGGCAGATGGCCCGCACCAGGCGACGCTCAGCTCGCACAGCAGTGCGGCAGCACAGTCAAGCAGCTAAAGAACAGTCTGACTCCAGCATGCAGACGGCAGGTCTGGAGGCCTTCAACCTCATCCCGCAGGTGGACTTCGGCAGCAGCTCACCAAGTGACTCCTCATGCTAGAACACCAACACCAGCGACGCGGCTGGCGCCGCAGGAACAACCAGCAGGAAAATCGCCCCCTGCAGGTCTTCCGGGCAAATACAGCCAAGGCAGCCCTCTGTCACACAGCAGCTCTACAGCTTGCTTTCAAGCAGGGCTGTGAAGTGATCTGTATACAGGAGCCATACACACACCCTGGCATCAAGACTTCTAACCACCCAGCGTATGAGTGCTTTGCGCCTATAGACCGCTGGGATGACACTAACCCGGAGCAGTGAGAGGAGGAGAGGCCCCGGGTCATGACATATGTACGCAAGGGCTCAAAGACAAGGGCACAGCAACACCGGTCTGTGCAAAACAGGGATCTGCTATGGGTCAGTGTAAATGGCTGCCACATTCTCAATGTGTACAGACAGCCTGAGACAGACGCAGTCATGGACTATCTGACCAATCTGAGCCCACCAGCCCGCTGTCTGATAGGTGGGGATATCAACGTACGGCATGATGCCTTTGAACCAGGGGCAGTGAATCTGCACCGGGGCGGGGAGCTTGTCCAATGGGCCAGTGAACATGGGATGGACTTTGTGGGAGAGATAGGGGTTCCGACTCATGCAGCAGGTCATGTGATTGATCTCACCTTCTCCAATGTAGCCTTTGCTTCCACTACAGTGCGTCAAGATCTACACTGCGGCTCAGATCACCAGTTTATGATCACTATGCTGCCAACAACACCTCAAACACAGCTGAGTGATGCTCGCATCAAGATCACAGACTCTCAGCTGGAGCCCTTTGCAGATCTTGTCAGAGGTCTCATGGTGGACATGCCTTGCTCAGAGGGGGTTGGAAATGTGGCACAGCTTGATGATCTGACCCAACACTTCACTCAGAGTCTTCTGGCTGCAGCTCAGGCAGTCAGTAAGCCAGCTCAACAAGAGCGGACCACAACCTCCTGGTGGACAGCAGACTGCCGAAGAGCGCACTGAGAGCTCACCACTCACCAGACAGAGGCCGCGAAACACCAGTTCAAGGACACAGTGCGCAAGGCCAAGCGTGCATACTGGAGGCAGGTGATCAATGAGGCCAGAGATGGTAGAGACCTGTACCGGGTGGTGGCATGGCATAAGCTGGAACCCAACCTCAGAGCACCCCCTCTGGTGATTGGGGATCAGGTCATAGAAGAGACAGCCGCCAAAGCTGAGGCACTTCAACAAGCAATTCTGAAGCGATACAACTCAGCTGATGATCTGGAGTATGACCCACTGGATGATGAGCACTGGAGCGGCATGGGGAACCTGCCCTGGAACCCCCGGATTGGGATGGAGGAGATGGAGCGCAACACCATTGGGGTACAGAGCACCTCCCCAGGCACGGATGGAATCACAGTGCGGATGCTCAAAGCATGCTGGCAGCATGTGTCCCTCTTTATACAGCAGCTATACAACTGCTGCCTCCGGCTCTGCCACTTCCCACGAGCCTGGAAACTGGCAGAGGTGGCAATGATACCCAAGGTGGGTAAGAGAGATAGAAGCTCAGTCCGCTCCTGGAGGCCCATTGCCCTGCTTTCAGTAATCTCCAAAGGGCTGGAACGCATCATTGCAAGGCGACTGGCGTACACGGCACTCATTCACGGCATAGTCAGCCCACAGCATGGGGGGGCGCTGCCCAGACGATCTGCAATGGACCTGGTAGCTGCTTTCACTCATGAGGTGGAGGCAGCCTTCGCACAAAACAAAGAAGTGTCCATGGTCACAATGGATGTGCAGGGTGCCTTTGATGCTGTGCTGCGCAGGCGACTGCTTCAGCGGATGGCGCAGCAGGGGTGGCCACGCGAGCTGCTGCAGCTCATTGACAGTTTCCTCACTGAACGCAGAGCTCAGGTCCGGCTGGAGGGGACCACCACAGCAGCACATCAGATGCAATGTGGCACGCCACAGGGGTCTCCTTTGTCACCAATACTGTTCCTTCTGTACCTGGCAGAGCTGCTGTGGCAAAACTCGGAGTTGCGCTTTGGCTATGCGGATGATCTGAACATCTGGCGGGCGACCCACTCACTTGACAACAATGCCACCCTTCTCAGACAAGATATACAGAGTATTCTGAGGTGGGGGGAGATAAACAAGGTGGCCTTCGCACCAGAGAAACTTGAGATGATCCATCTTACAAGAAAGCGACACAATGAGGCACCAGCAGTAGTTGTGTCTGAGGACCTCACTGTTCACCCTGTTACTGCCCCAGCTGGACAGGAGCCAGCACTTCGCTGGCTGGGTGTACACTTCAACAGAAGGCTCACCTGGAGACCACATGTCTCCACCCGGGCAAAGAAGGCAAGGGCCGTGGCCCAGCACATCCGGAGTCTGGGAAAGACCAGAGACGGGCCCCCAGCAGACGCTCTGCGGAAGGAGGTCACCACCTGCGTGGTTCCCTCACTGCTCTATGGCACAGAGGCCTGG